AGCTCGAGGACGTGGACAAGCTCGAGGACGTGGACAAGCTCGAGGACGTGGACAAGCTCGAGGACGTGGACAAGCTCGAGGACGTGGACAAGCTCAAAGTCGCAGACGTGGTGGAAGATGCAGACGTGGTGGAAGATGCAGGAACAAGGTTGTACATATAGAAAGCACCTTGGGCAGCCGAGTATTCGTAGTCATCTGTATCGTCGTTGTCCAGACCAGCGTCGCAATGCCACTGATTCTCAGTCGGTACCCAGAAAGCTCTGAAAGCTGTCATGCCTTCTTGTACAACGAAGTTGGCGCAAAACTGGATTACGTCGCAATCAGACAAACCAGCCGGGAAGAAAGTGTTTGCAGCTCGAACCCAGTTGGAATTGATCTCCGAGCAGCCAGCCTCAACTTGTGTCCATGTTTGAGAACCCGAAGACACTGTCGCCGCACTGCAGAGGCTTGTGCATGTTGCAGTTGCAGATGCGGAGCTAGAAGTCGTGGTCAAGGTGGAGGTTGTAGCCGTCTGACTGGAGAAGATCGTTGATGTCGTTGTGGAGCTAGAGGACGTAGTTGTGCTGCTTGAACTATCATCAGCTCCAACCACCATCATAGCATTCATAGTGAAAACTGTCGGGTCGTCCACGAAAATACCATCGTCTGCCACCAGTCCGGTCCAAAAGCCACAGTGCCATTCGAAATCCGAAGACGACTGGTAGTAAGTCCATACACTAGCGCTCAGCTGCTCGGCAGTAGCCACACATTGACTCAAAAAGGCAGTGGGATCATTGCTATAGTCTCCATCTCCTGAAGTGGCGATGGAGTAACTATTTCCGAGAGTTGTAGGAATTGCGGCATAGCAGCTGTAAAAGAATTGCGTGTATTGAGTGCCATCCGGTGCTGTTTGATCCTCCAACGGCAGGATGGAGCAATTTGGTCCACTTGTCTCCTCGGTTTTGGTTGCAGTTGTTGTAGTCGTGGAGCTACCACCTAAAGTTGTGCTATCAAAAGAGATCGGACTACTAGTCGAAACGTAGACCGATGAGGTAGGACTCGAGGTAGGGCTGGTAGGACTCGAGGTAGGGCTGGTAGGACTCGAGGTAGGGCTGGTGATGACAGTCGTAGTGGCCAATGGCAACGAGTCGGTAGTAGAAGTAGCGTCAACAGTCGTCGGGCTCGACCCCGGTGTGGTCGAAGTTGTGGTTTGCGGCGATGGTGTGACAGTACTCGCAACTTCAGTGTTGTAAGAGTCTGTGTCTGTATCTGGCACAGGTGTAACAGGAGCACAGCTACTGTCGGTCGCAGAACCGACATTCACGGACATGACATTATCGGCACCAACGCAGAAGCCAGCGCCTGGCAAGACAAGAGCGCCACCAGAGACTGACCACACAATTGTTGTTGGCATTGCCGAGACTGATGAATAGATCGTCAGAGCCGACGTGCCCGAGCCACCGCTAAAGCCAACGACCAATGTAGTGCCGAAAATCATCAGCACGCCATCAGAGGTCAGAACGAAAGCCACAGCGTCAGCCGGAGAGCTGACGAGTACAAGTACTCCGTTAACATAACCAACCACCAGAATGTCTCGCTTGTGTTTGCCAGGTCCACCAGTGTTTACCTGAAGGGAAAAGGGCTGACCAACCGTAGGTGCCGAGGAATCTGCAGTTAAAGTGGTAGAGGAGGTCCCCGAGGTGGTCACAGTCACAGAGATAGTAGTCAGGCTTGTGGTACTTGGCAGACTGTCACCTCCTATAGTGGTTGAAGTCGTAATGCTTGTTGAAGTGGCAAGATCAGCCGGAGTGGCTGAACTTGATGCGACGGACGAGGCTGCAGCTGAAGTTGTGGATGTTGTAAAGCCCAAGGAACTCGAGTTTGGAGTAGTGGTCGGTATTCCTGCTGTAGATGTCGTCGTACTAGTGGCTACTTCATCAGCAGGCGCAGTGCTGGAAATGCTCCCCTGGTTGGAGGTCGTGGTTGTCGACGTAGACCCATAGTCCGATGTTGTGGAGCTTGCTGTGGAGCAATCAGCAGCCGGTACTGTCACTGTCCGCACTTCGAGGATGTCCCTCTTCTTTAGAGTAGTCGTGATAACCTCAAATGAGCATTCCGACGATGAAGTGGTGGGGGAAACAGTGCTTGTAGTGGTTGGAGTGAGAGCAGAAGTTGTCCCTGGCGTTGTGGTTGCGATGTCCAAGGTAGAGGATGTAGGGGTGCTCGCGATGGTTGGAGTGAGGGTAGATGTCGTTTCTTGTGTCGTTGTTGCGATGGAAAAGGGAGAGGGTGTGGAGGTGCTTGTCGTGCTTGGAGTAGCAATGGGTGAGGAGCTTGCTGCATTGGTCGTCGGCACCGATGAAGAATTAATAGGCGTGGAGCTGGAGCTGGACGTGATCGAGCTAGTCGATGTCGTCGACTCTGAACTGCGAGTCGTTGCTCCGGACGGCAGATTAGTGGAGGTAGATGTCCGAATCGTTGCGGTCGATATCAACTCGGAGGCAGAAGCTGTAGTCCTATGCAGCAGAGTGGTTGGTGACGTCGAAAGATTTGGCCAACTAGACGAGTGAGAATGCAAGCTGGAGGTCAGAGCTCCCGATGACTGTGACACGGAACCATGCCAATCTTGCCAGCCCTGTCCGTCGGACGTGGCCGGAGGGGAGGTAGGATAAGTGGTGCCAATACTGACGGAGGTGGTCGAATCGCAAGGGCAAGTAAAGATAAATCTAGTGAGGGTCTCTGTGGTGGTTGTGTCATGGTTAGCCAGTACGCCGAATGAATGAGTGGACGCCGCAAGGGCCAGAGCTACTGTGAGACGTAGCAGGCCCATGGCAGCTATTTCGTGAACAAACGAGAGACGAAGGTCAGTATACAAAAATCAAAGTCAGCACATGGTTGCCATGATGCAAAGGACAGAGGTTGGAGGTGAGGAGGAGGCGAGAAGGCTGCTTTTGACTGAACGCGCTGTCCCCCTCCCGAACCATCTCCTCTGAAGCCATCACTTTCGGCGACGCTGTGGTATAGCATTGTATGCCCACATCGATCCCCCTTGGTGGGGAGGCGAAGCGCCCAAGTGGCAGTCTCGAACATATTGAGTTGGAAGCGGAGTCGGATGGCCTCGAAAATCACTAGAGTCGTTGATGGTGGAAATAGGAACAGGAAGCATTGGGGCCCAAAGCGGAAAGCGCAGCTTGGCAGCTGAAGTGGCGCTGGCCAGAACCGTTTGTGTCGTTGAGCAAACCACGTGGCTGAGCTGAATCGGGCGCCCCGGACACCAAAGAAGAGGGACTGCGCGATTGACGACAGACGCCAACGACCCCTATCGCCCGAGTCAACACGTTCGCTCTTTGTTGGGCAAGAGTATGTCACCCCTGGAGCCTCCTGAGCTTGTGTCAAGGACGAGGACGCGCCTGTCCGTGGCACCACCACCGACAGCACCACACGACTCCTCACAGCCTTACTGTGCCATTCCTTCACCTCGTTGTCGCTCTGAGTGGGGCATTCCTCCAGAAGCTAGAGGGAAAGAAAGGCAAAAAAGAATAAGGGGTCCACAAGAGATGGGGATGAAGCGAGAACACCAGATAGGGGCAAGAGATGGAAAGTAGCAGCAAACATTTATCGTCACGCACTCCGCTTTTCGTTTTCGCAGGGCCCTATGCAATAGGGTGCTGGAAGTGCTTTCGTGCGGGATGGACCACGTCAGTCTGGAAGATCAAATATGGTGCAAGGGCCGTCAATGTCACAGAAATGACAGCCTTGTATACTCCAAACTGTCACTGCACCGCAGGTTTGTCAAAATATCTCGGTCGGGAGCGAGGATCATCTGCCTCAATTTTCTTTCAATATGGCACTCGAAAAGTTCTGAGCAGACCGGCTGCGTGGAGCTCGTGGATGGACGTAGCAAGCGATAAGGTTGGCACCATAGCAAGCCTGTAAAGATGGTCTTCACCGCAGTGTTAGCTACTCGAAGTTGAGCATTGTCGAACGAAATCTGCTGCACGTTGATGCCCTAGGGTACTACAGCACGGTGTGCCGGATGTAGTGCTCCTTGCAAATCCACTGGAAGAAGATGCTGCACAGTGAAAACGGTCGAGGAGGTATGCGAGAACTGGCGAGCCTGGATTGGCCTAGTGATCCGGGGTGAGGCGCGAGCACGTTTTACCCACCTTGGCGAGATCTCCAATCTCACTCGCCATTGTTGCGGCCTTCGTGTCCTCCGAACTCGCTTTCAGGCATCAGCAATTGACCGGACAATCGTGACCATTCACAATGTTTCCAGTCAGTCCCTCTGAACATTGGACTTCCCTATGACACGGTATGTCATATTTGATACCCTCCCAACTCTGCGCGGGCCAGAGAAGATGAGATGGCCTCTCCAATTCGGCCAGGATCCTCGGGAACCTATGCCTCACCGGTAGCCACCTCACCTACGACCGAATACCCTTTTCCGAGCATTTCGCAAAGACAACACGGAGGTCCAAGAGGTGGCTTGCGCCGCGGATCAACGTCAAGTTCAATTGCGAGCACCCTCGACACGGCTTCACTCAACAATGCCCCAATAACGGAGACTAGTCAGAATGCCATCTCAACACTGCTGCAACACCCGATCATTCACACAGGCCTAAGAACAGCCACTGTTCCTTCCAACTCTGGCTACAAGGCTCCCACACCGCGCGATATCCCTCCTGTCGCGCTCACGAACATCCCCCACATCGAAGCCAAGGCGTTCCATCCTTACCTGTCGCAGGTTGGCTCGCTGTATGAAGCGTTCCAAAGAGCAAAGATTGAGGGCGAAGGGGAGACATCATTGTTCCACCGAGACAAGAGGAACACCAAGAATGAAGAGTGGGAGGTTATTCTTAGCAAGCGACTGCAGAGACCCGGGCATTCACGGGCGAGCTCAATAAGTTCAACGACATCGATTCCGTCAGAGGCGCCTCAGCCGAAAAAGAGACAAAGTGGCCAACGGCGTCAGGTGGTTACGCCGTTGTCGACGATCCCCGCCGTCTACACGGAAGAAGATTTCCATCTCGAGAACCCGAGGACGTTTGATATCGTCTCTGAGAACTCGGAGATCGTCCGTGACCCCAGCGGAACTCCTACTGGGAGGAAGTCTCTGGCTACAAATGCGATTCTGCAAGAGAAGTTATCGTGGTACATGGATACGGTCGAGGTCCACCTAATCAACTCGATATCGACGGCGTCGAAATCATTCTTCTCCGCACTCGGGTCTCTCAGGGAGCTGCACAATGAGGCTGCTGATTCGGTAGATCGAATTCAGAGGCTGCGGAAGGAGCTGGCGAGACTTGACAAGGAGATGGCTATCGACGGACTGAAAGTCGTCAACCTGAAGCAGCGTCGTGACAACGTTCGTCAGTTGGCGCAGGCGATCATGCAACTTGAGGACATTGTCAAATCCGTGCAAACATGCGAAGACATGGTTAAAAAAGGCGAAATTGATGAAGCATTGGATCGATTAGATGACGTGGAGGCCTTAATGGCTGGCAGGGAGAGCAGATCTCTCAATGCAGACCAACAACCCCGTTATCAGATACGTGATCTACGAAGAATCAAAGCCCTTGAGGGAGCTTTCGATGACCTGAATCAATTGCGTCAGCGGGCTGGTCGGGGATACGAGGCCCGATTTCACAACAGCCTGCTCAGCGATATCAGACGGCATGTGGAGCACACGGAGACCAGCATGACCCTTCAGAGGTGGGGGGTCGCCTACACAAGGCCCAAGCCGGGCCAAAGGAGAGCACCTTCTGCGTTCCCCGGCTATATGAATATTGGACCCGAGCTGCGGGATGAACTAGAGGCTGAGATGAGAGGCTTATCGAGGGCCAGGTATACCACCCCGGCGGCTACTAGTTTCAGAGCAATCGTCCTGAGGGAGATGAAGAGCATGATTCGGAAGCAGCTTCCGAGTTCCAACGATGATGACAACGTTTCTACAGTCTCCGCCTCAACGATGGGTGGAAGAAACATGAGCCAGCAAGAGAAGTCGTCGATCCTGGCTCGAAATCTGAGAGCCTTGGACGCGCAGGATTGGTATCAGATGCTTGCCACCATTTATACAAATATCAGCGAAGGCCTGCGCCGACTCAGCGTGCAAGTCAAAATTTTGCTCGATATCACAAGCAACCTGCCAGACCACATGATCAAATCGCCTCCGAGAACTCCTGACCCTGCAAGTATTGATAGAGTGATGAGCCCTCCGACAGGCCGAGCTCGAGCTACCAGTTCCGTGCAGGCAGAAATGCAGCAAGTTCTGGATCTGTCCAGTCTTTTAGGAGAAGGCGTGGACCTTGCACAAGCGCAGATCACGAAAGTAGTCAGAGTCCGATCACAGCAGAATTCGGAATTGCCATTGTCTGATTTCTTGAAATACTTCACGCTCAATAGACTATTCGCCGATGAGTGTGAAGCGATATCTGGCCGCAGTGGTACGGGGCTCAAAAGCGTCCTCGACACCCAGATCAAGGATTTCGTCGCGCGATTTGCAGACTCTCAGAAGCATGAGGTGATCAAGGTGATGGACGCCGATAGATGGGATGCCAGAGATTTCGGCGAGCGTGAAAATGAGATTCTCACTCGGGTCATGGAAGGCAGTACCAACGACGCTCTTCCCTGGGTCGAAAGTACCATGATCTGGCAGCCTTCAACCAATGGCGCTGAGACAAGTAACGGTGCCGCAACGAACGGGACGGCTGCTGCAGGCGCAAAAGTGCGCAGCGCTGTGATCGATGAACAGAAGTACATACTTCCAGAGTCAGCCATTGCTATGCTACGATCCATGGAAACTTTCCAACATCTCGCAGCTGGCATCCCGAGTATGAGCACTGAGGTAGCGACTTCGTTGCTAGAAAGTCTCAAGTTGTTTAATTCACGAAGCTCGCAGCTGATCCTGGGAGCCGGTGCCACGAGGAGTGCAGGACTGAAGAACATCACGACAAAACACTTGGCGTTGTCGTCCCAAGGGTTGAGCTTCATCGTCGCACTCATACCGTATGTGAGAGAATTCTTCCGCCGCCATCTCCCTTCCTCGACGGCTTCACAAGTTATGACCGAGTTCGACAAGGTCAAGCGTCTGTTCCAGGAACATCAGAACGGCATACACGAGAAGCTTGTCGACATCATGTCCGGGCGAGCCTCGATGCACGTCAAGGCGATGAAGAACATTGACTGGGAAGAAGCGGCCAAGAACACGGCCGTGCATGTGTCGCCCTACATGGAGACGTTGACGAAAGAAACGGCCACCCTGCAGAAAGTGCTGGCCAAGCATTTACCGGAACCTGTGGTTGCGGGGATTATGATGCCAGTGTTTACAAGTTACCGCGACCAGTGGACGAATGCGTACAGAGATGTCACTATCAAGTCCCTCAAGGCCAAGGAAAGGTAAGTGCTCAGATTGCAGAAACTGGGGACCGTGAACCTTGTGTACTGACTCTGTTGATTTAGGTTACTAGCTGATGCATCTTTCTTCAACCTGCGAATCAGCAAGATCGACGGCTCGGGAGATCTGGGCGAGCACATCGTGAAACTCGTCCAGGGAAAGCCAGTGGTTAGCAGTGCAGCAGCGGCACCACCACCACCCTCATCGCCAATCCCACCATCTGAAGCCCCTGCCACGGCAGACGAGGGAGAACCGAAGCAGGAAGCCGCGCAAGAAACCCGAGAGAAGAAAGCCGAAGCAGCAGAGAAGCAGGAGGATGCCAAGGCATAGAACTATACCTAGTATAGCCCAGGTGGTGCAGCTACGGGACCAGATTTCGCCCAATGGATTATCTGTGAGGGTGGCTCTGTGGGACGAGATATAACTTGGCCGGGAAACTAGATTGGTGTTGAGTGTGCCGTTGGAGCTGCGTTCGAACAGCCACGATTTTTCAAGGATGCGGCGTGTGCTTGTTTGATGTCGCGTGCCTCGTGCCTCATGGTTGTCTATGCGTCGTCGTACCAAGCAAGCGTTTTGAGTAGATATAGCAACATGCTCTTATATTCTCATTGGCAGTGAGCAAACACACACAGTTCCCCCCCAATTCGACTACCTCCACCTGTGGTCACAACAGCCATCCCTCGTCCGGTCCCTCCATCAATCCTCCATCACCAAAGATCCTCCTAACAACCCACCCAAGCAAAGTCTCGAGCACAGATCTCACTCTCCTCTCCCGCCTCAATCAGCGATCGTTCCTCTCAGAAACCTGCTGCTCTCCATTTTTGGGGAGGGGTGCCGGACTAGAAAATCGCAGTCGCATTGACGTGGCTGCTCACGCCGCCGTGGCAATTGAAGGGGGCGCTGCTGAAGAAGAAGGTCCAGCGCTTGTTCTTCTTGCACAGCTGGCTCAGCTTCTCGAGGTCGAGCATCTCGCCGAGCGGCATGCCCCACAGGGCGATGATGAACTCATGCAGGTAGTAGTTCTCCGGGGTGGGCCAGCGCTCAAAGGCCGGGGCGTCGCCGCCCACGGCGGCAAAGTAGGAGTCGTGCAGCCAGTCCTTGACGGCCTCCTCCTGCTTGACGCCGCACCACTGGGCGTCGGGCCCGTGGCGCAGGGCGAGCCGGTCGCGGTCCTCGGGCGCGCGCTTGTAGTAGTCCTCGACCCAGCCGGAGCGGATGAGCAGGATGTCGCCGATCTTGAGGTCGCCGCCCTGCGACTGCGGGCGGATGTCCAGCCCCTGGTGCTTGCCGCACGCCACCAGGTCGTCGTAGCTGATGGCGTGCGACGTCGCCGTGTCGTACTTGATGCCCACGCTGTCGGCGTACGAGCGGTAGTCGAGCAGCACGCCGCGGCCGGAAAAGCCGTGCTCGGACCAGTGGTGGATGCTGCACTTGTGGGCGTTGGCCGTCGGGCCCATGATGTCGTCCTTGTGCGTGTTGTTGTAGAAGGTCTGAGTCGCCACGTGCGCAAAGTGCCGGAACCCGTCCCACTGCGTACCGGACTGCGTGTTCATGTGGTAGATGTCGTCGTACGAAATGCCCTCGGCGATGGGCACGATCTTGTGCTCAAACTTCTGCCGCCCAAAGGCCGGCTGCAGCGGCACGTCCAGCGGCAAGTCCAGTCGTGCCATTTCTCCCGTGCGGATCTCATGGGAGGCGGCGGCCTTGACGCGCGTGGGCGTCAACAGGTTCAGCCGGCCGATGTAGTCGTCCTTTCCCCAGACCCAGGCCGCCTCGTCGGGCGCGCCGACGATTTTGGGGAGGTTCTTGCGGGTCGGGAACGAGGTCGACTCCGGGTCGAAGGGAATGGTGGTTGCCACTTTGCCCATGATGGAATCTTTGATCTGACTCAATCGCCTGCTTGCTTGGGAGAATGCGTCCGTCATGGTGCCTCGGGAATCCTGGGCAGGATTGGTACCTCGATCTCTTTATACTACAACAGCAAAACAGGAAGGCCCGGCGAACGGCAACTCGCAGCACCACCGCTCCACCACAATGTTTATCTTTGAGCTGTGGAATAAATGAAAAAAGTGCTGACCACACACGAGGGAGCTAAACTGTTCTTTGCTTACCGCCGTGTAATCTGGTTCGAATTCCGAGGTATATCGGTCGGGAACATCAGAAGGTCTGTGTTTCAATCCATTTTGAGGGGAATAGCCGGCAGGTCAGGAGAGCTAGCTTGTGAGGAGCTCATTGCCCCGCAGAGGATGGGCTTGTATGTCATGAGGCAACCCGGCATTCAGTTCACTTCTCGTATAGGATTCCCGCGGGACAGAATTGATGACGATAGCCCTCAACCTGGGCCCTTGGTTGGAGCCCTGGCTTCGGGAAGGGTGTTTCATCCACCAGCAGCTTGTGTGACGATTTGAGCACAATGAGGGGCAGCCAGCCCGTACTTGTAGCTGTCCTCGGCCTGGCCTCGGCAAGTCCAAGCCCACAGATTAAGGCTAATTGGTAGCATTTTCTTCACGTATAACCCATCGAAGAACGAGAGAGGTATATTAGGTCATGGGATAGGGCAGAGATGAATTGGAGCTTGAGGGTTTGAACCTGCGCACGGGACAGTCAGCTTCAAGTCCACCTCAAACCAGGAGGGAACTTACAGGATGCTCCAGACGGGAGCGACAATGGCATCGCTGCTTGCTTTGTAGATCTGCCTGGAGCGCAATGTCGGCTGATGGTCGGCTGATGCTGTTGACACGCGATAGAAGCGTGGTCTTTGAGTGCCTGGAGCCCCATTCAATGGCCGAGGCTGAGCAAGGCTGAAGTCCAGAGTTGCGACAAAGCGCCGCTCCGGAGGTCGATTAGGCTCCCCGGAGGGTGCTTGAATTCCCGGCACTCCGATTGGTTCCAGCCCCTGCGCAGGGAACTTCGAGCCTCTCCGCTTACGGACTTTTCGTTTTCCTGGGGGGAGAAACTGCAATTTGTGCTGCGGCGTCTGGACAAGTACCTAGGGTACTTGACTCTGGAATTTGAGGTGAAGCTGGAAGCCTTGTCGGCGGTGAACAAGACTGACTTGTCTCGCAACCCTATCTGAGTCCTCGCTGGCCTCATCAAAAAAGTCAATGCGAGGGATCCCAAGTCTCCCCTCAGCTTTGCAAGGTTACAGCTAGGTCACTATGAAAGCTTCAGCAGCCCTCAGAAGCCTGCGCCTCAGGCAAGCGAGGCTGACACTCAGCAAGCAGACCATGTATGCTCATCGCGATTCTCCCTAAATCTTCGCAACTAACATTGCAGCAGTCGGCCATTCTCGTCGTCGCCCCTTCGTCATGCAGACCCCTCCAGCTCCTCAGATGCCGAGGGCCTCAACAGAGTCTCGCGCCATGTCACCCAACCCAAATCCCAGGGCGCATCACAGGCCATGCTCTACGCGACCGGCATGACCGAAGCAGATATGAACAAAGCAGAAGTGGGAATTTCGTCCGTCTGGTACAGTGGGAATCCGTGCAATATGCATTTACTGGACCTGTCCAACGTGGTGAAAAAAGGCGTCGCGGACGCAGGACTCCAACCCATGCAGTTCAACACGATCGGCGTGTCAGACGCGATATCAATGGGTACGACCGGCATGCGCTACAGTCTACAATCAAGAGAGATCATTGCCGATTCGATAGAGACGGTCATGGAGGGTCAGTGGTATGATGCAAACATCTCCATTCCTGGGTGCGACAAGAACATGCCTGGTGTGGTTATGGCCATGGGCAGAGTGAATCGCCCGTCCATCATGGTGTACGGCGGATCCATTGCCCCTGGATGTGCGCGGACGCAGAATAACGCGGACATTGACGTCGTCTCGGCGTTTCAGGCTTACGGTCAGTTCATCGCGGGCGAAATCAACGAAGAACAGCGCTTCGACATCATCCGCCATGCTATTCCGGCTTGCGGGGCATGCGGTGGTATGTACACTGCCAACACTATGGCTTCGGCTATCGAGACCCTAGGCATGACATTGCCTGGGAGCGCATCCAATCCGGCAGTCTCCCAGGAGAAACAATTGGAGTGTCTAGCCGCCGGAGGTGCTATTAAGAATCTGCTCAAACTCGACCTGAAGCCCCGCGACATCATGACCCGTGAGGCCTTTGAAGATGCCATGGTGGTGGTGATGATCACCGGTGGTTCGACCAACGCAGTGCTGCATCTGATTGCCATGGCCGATGCGGTCGGCATCAAGCTCACCATTGACGACTTCCAGGCGGTTAGCGACAGGACTCCATTCCTCGCGGACCTCAAGCCCAGCGGGAAATATGTCTTCAATGACCTCCACGCTATCGGTGGCATTCCAACCCTTTTAAAATTACTTATTAAAGAAGGCGTTGTCAAGGGGAAACATACGACCGTGACGGGCCAGACACTCGCCAAGAACGTCGAATCCGCGGCCGACTTCCCGACAGATCAAGTCATCATCAAGCCATTTTCTCAGCCAATCAAGAAGACTGGACACATTCAGATCCTGCGAGGCAGTCTCGCGCCGGGCGGCTCCGTGGGCAAAATCACCGGCAAAGAAGGGTTGCGCTTCCAGGGCAAAGCAAAGGTCTACGACGCAGAGGACTTGTTCATCCAGGCTCTCGAACGGGGCGAGATCAAAAAGGGCGAGAAAACCGTGGTGGTCATCCGGTACGAGGGCCCCAAGGGCGGACCGGGCATGCCTGAAATGCTGAAGCCCAGTTCGGCCATCATGGGCGCGGGCTTGGGCAAGGACGTCGCCCTGATCACCGACGGGAGGTTCAGCGGAGGCTCGCACGGGTTTCTGATCGGCCACATCGTCCCCGAGGCGATGGAAGGCGGGCCGATCGGCTTGGTGAGGGACGGAGACGAGATCGTGATTGACGCGGAGAGCCGGACGCTCGATCTGGTGGTGGACGAGGCGACGTTGGAGAAGAGAAGGGAGGAATGGAACGCGAACAAGCCAGAGCCCCGGTACAGGCGGGGCGTCTTGGCCAAATACGCCAAACTGGTCAGTGACGCGAGCCACGGGTGTATCACCGATAAGGAGGATGTGTTGGATATACACGCATGAGAGATGTGCGGCGGATGGTATTGTCTCTTTTGATTGGAGCTGGCTGACATTGACATTGACACGCTCTATACGTAGAGCTGGGGAGGATTAATACAAAAGAATTTCAACCACTTTTTGGCCAAACCGCCGATCACGAGATTTATTGTTGGAAAAGAAAAGACCGCTCGATTAGATCCAAACTGCTCTGGAAAAAGGGAGGTAGGCAACAACCCCTTTCCTTGTTTTTTTTTTCCCCCACGACGTTCTCTCGAATGATGTGACAAGAGAAAGGTCAAGGGATGATTCCACTCCCAAGACGGATGCGGGAGGGGGAGATGCCATCAACAAGCCATCCCTCCGTTGCGTTACGTTGTGTTTCGCTAACGTTATGGATAACGACACGGATAGGAGCCCCGGTGGATGGGGCTGTGAATAGCTTAGCAATCAGAGGGGATATCCCATCCCATCCCATCCCATCGCTAAGGATCTTCATGAGAACGGGGATCACGGACGAAAGGGACGGCCACCACGCACGCATGCTTGCATGGGATGGTCATCAAGGCTTCCTCAATGGCCAGGGGGACATTATTTTCCCTCCTTTTTCGTCCGGAGGGAGCATGGGGCAGGAACAAAGAGCCGATTGTACATGGTTCAGGCTTTCATGCTGGGCATCACAAGATGGAAGATATGGAGGGAATGCGGGCTCAATGAACGATGAGAGCTCCTGATATCGGCAACGTAGAGGTTCAATGCCTCCCTGCTAGGTAGCCATGGTTCTAATTCTAGCCCCTGTATTATCCATGAATCTATGCTGTTTGTGTGTTTCTATACTCTATTGTCATTAGAGGGCAAATATGTATCGTACACCTGGTTACAGTCCTGAGAGCAGTCCCAGGCACTGGGCATCGTAATCTATATCGGAGGCTAAATTATGCAAAGTAGAAACTCCTCTCCATGCAAATGCTGTCCACACGCGCGCCCGTAAATGCGAAAAGAATCGAAAAAAAAAGGCCAGACCAGGGCATACCTTGGTTATGGTTGAGCAGGGAGCCGTAGCCAGAACAATCCAAACTGTTGAAGAAAAAGTCCCTTGACCCCAATGCAATCCAGTCCAACTCAACCCCTGTCTTCTGCTCCGCTCACGCGCCAGGCCCATCCAGCTTCACCTTCCCCTTGATGCTCTCCCACCTGGGCGTAAAGCTCAGCACAAAAGTAAGACAGGCGCACGCGATGCAGATTGCAAACGGCACCCTCAGGCCGTCCATGTACGCGGCGAGGATCCCCGGGATGTCGCTCGCGTCAAACACTCTCCTCAGGTCGGTCGCACCGGTCGCCAGCACCAGGCTGGCGTCCACGTTCGGCGCCTTGAGGGGCAGTTCGTGGAGCATCTTGTTGGTGAAACCGGCCTGTGCGGCGGAGATGAACACCGCGCCACCGATGGTCTGAAAGAATAGGATGATGGCAGACACGGAGCTGAGGTCGGAGGGTTTGACGATCGCTTGACCCACGATCACGGGGATCTGGAAGATCAGTCCAAGTCCGATGCCTACGAGGGCTTGGTAGCCGATCCATTTGTCTGACCCAGAGTGGATTTCCAGTGTGTAGATTAGTCCTGCACCGACCGAGGCGAGGATCGATCCGAGTGCCATGAGAGGGATGTATTGACCCCATACTGTGAGGAGACCGCCAGAGAAAACCGTAAAGAGTGAGGCGCCAAGGACAAGCGGGAGGTTGTCAATACCAGACTTGGCGGCGGAGACGTTGCGCGTGGCTTGGAAATAGATGGGCAGGTAGTACAAGAGAACAAAGAAGGAGCCCGCCACGGTAAAGATGTAGGCAGACATAGCTGCGATGGTTCGGTCTTTGAGGAGGCGGGGCTGTAGCAAGGCGCGGTCGCCAGAGAAGTACTCGATGACGACAAAGACGATGATGAGGACACCAAAGAGGACCAGAACGGCGATCACGGAGCCAGAGGACCAGGGTTTCGTCGCTCCGCCCCATTGCATGGCGAGCAGGTAGCAGACGATGGCGGCCATGAGGGTAAATGTCCCGGGGAAATCCATTTGTAGCAGCTTCTCTTTCAAAGGGGCGGCTTGAGGGCGGGCAGCCTTGGGCGTGCGGAAGAAGGCCAAGATAATGGCTGAAGCGGCGCCACCGATGGGCAGGTTGATGTAGAAGCACCATCGCCAGGTGAGATTGTCTGTGAAAACGCCGCCCAAAAGGGGGCCGATGACAGATGCCACGCCGAAGGTGGCGCCCATGACGCCGGTGAAAGCAGGGCGATGCTTAGGCGGAGCAGAAAACGCAATGATGGTATATGATCCTGATGCGATACCTGCTCCTCCCATGCCCGCAATGGCTCTTCCGACAATCAAGGTGGTGGAATCGTTGGCAACCCCACAGATGAGGGACCCCAGTTCAAAGATAAAGATGCTGGCCAGATACGAGATCTTGAGAGGAAAGTATTTGTACAGCTTTCCCCATGTTGCTTGGAAGGAGCCGATGGTCAAGAAGAATCCACTCCCATACCAGCCCACTTGATCAAGCGAGTGGAACTGATCGGTGATGCGAGGGATGGCTGTGGCTACAATGGTCATGTCCAGTGCCACGAGAAAGATGCTGCAAGCGAGTGCCACAACGATCATGGCCAAGGGGAAGGCAGAAGGGTAGTCGGACGTGTCGATCCGAGAGATTTCACGGCCCAGCTCCCCGGCGTCGACATCTTTCTCGAGGACAGCCTTTTCGATCGCAATGGACTGGGGGGGACTCGAGTTCTGCCGGACGGTTACATCCGTTGCTTCTTGTCGCTTCTCCTCAATGACCGGCAACGGGGGCTTGGAGAGATCGCTTGTTGACGTTGAGGCCGAACTTTGAGAGGTCGGAGTGATTGCCATTGTTTCTCAGATAGAGCCAAACAGCGCCTGGAGGGAATGAAGGTGAGGAAGTGGGAAGGTTGTGAACGACGTTTGCATTGAGACAACAGAGAGGGTCGAGATCTCCGGTGATATATGTATCCAAATCACACCCTCCTGGCTGTGAACAAGCAGTACCAAACTTTGCAGGGACGTATGGATCACGATAGCCAGAGCATTGATACACAAAACGATGCGAGAATGCAAGTAAATTCGTCCGTGTCTCAACCTCTGGCATGAACAAAGAACAGCGCACATGGAAACAAGAAGCCAAAAATGTGGACTCGCTAAAAGGGGGGATGAATCATAGTACCCAGCTTGCATCGTATCAATGATAAAATTGCATGGAGATACGATGTTGCCGGCCTGTTGGCGCCAAGTTCCCACCAGGAGACGAGGCTGTAGATCGATGACAGCCTCTGAGAGGCCAGCCCTGAGCCCGGTAAGGCTTTGATCCGCGATCCGAAGCAACAGTGTTTGCCCGAGCTCCGTCGATCAGGCAGCAGTCAGGCAGTTCCAAGGGTCAAAGGGGAAGGTCGCATTCAGCATTCTAGAATGAGTTCCAACAAGGAAAGTCGCAAATTTTGAGCTCCAGCCGCGAGCGAACCAAAAAGCCCCCGTGCCGGCGAAATGGACACACGCTACACGAGGCTGGAATAGCGTGCACTTTCCGTAACAACAGAGCATCGAAGCGTCCGGAAAGTACCACTCGAAGATCCGGCGGCATGTCATGACGTTTTTTTCGATAGAGGCCATGTTTGGCATGCCTCGACCTAGCCCAGACCGGAGATACGAGCCCGAAAGGCCTTATTGCCACTCTGGTGTTCTAGAGTTTTGGTTCTCTTGCATCGCAAAATTCTGCCGAATGCCATGAGGCATGAGGGAGATTGAGGTGGACCTATGGCCTTTTGTCCGTCGATTGGCGAGCGGGTCGGAATCCCTTGGTCAGGCCTCCGAGGGAAAAAGCCCATGCGGATGGTCGGCCGAAACGTCGGTCGGACGAAAAGAGCTGGCACGCTCGCCCTCGACACAAGAACCAAGAGATGGACTCAGCTGGGAGTCATGAATGAGGTTGGATTGGTAAGCGCCGCATGGGAACAAGGTGGTGAAAGGACCTTTTAAACGCCAAACAACGAAAATCTGTGTCGAAGAAGGCCTCACGTGACAAGTCTAAGCCTGTTCAGGGATCAAAAAACAAAATGCCTGTCAGACAGAAGCAGCCAAGGCAATTTTATCGTGGCCTTGTTGAGATTCGCCTCTGTCAGACAAATTGCATCTGGAATGGAATGGTCATCGTACGCCAATACCACCGTGGGTGACGAGCATCCACCAAGTGCTTACAATTCATGCGCTCGCAGGCATCATTCCCAACGTACTCGTACAGGTCTCGACAACCATGACGTTTCTAGAAGCATGGCTCATTGCCTGACTCTTCTCCCAGATCTTTCACTCACGTCTAAACCCACCGCTCTGCTAGCACTCCGAGTCTAGGCCTGGGGAGGCTCTACAGCGATCACCTGAGTCAGCCGTTCTCTGGGAATAAAGTGCGCAGTCTCGGATTGCTGCCGCTATTCACCGCTGCCTATCCTCTTCCTCGTCTCTCGAGTCGCTAGATTTCGAGAGGTCCGCCGTTTAATTGATTACTATGTCTCGAACTGGAAGCATGTCCACTTCACCGTACAACCCCGATGCCACCGGGCTGGGGTTTGACCACAGTCAAGGCCCGCCAAGGAAGAAGATGCGGAAAGGAACAAAGAGCTGCTTGGAGTGTCGGCGGAGGAAGATCAAGTGCACCTTCGAACCTGGAAGGCCTGCGATTTGCAACGAGTGCTATGCCAGAGGTTCGACCTGCATCGATCAAGAGCATGGGGATATCCAAACATATACCCAGACTACTACGGAGCAGTCGTCGTACAGCTTGAGGGAAAGAGTATCCCAACTCGAGGATCTGGTCAAACAGGTGCTGAATCGGTTACCGGAGAAGGATGCCAGCGCCCATGGTGATGCTTCGGGCACAGAATCCGATAAAAGCCAGCTTGATGCTCAGGCGGCTGAAGTGTTGAAGAGCCTCAAGAGCTCATTGAGACAGGAAAACTCCAGCACCGAAGAGTCCATCCTTCTCCCGGGCGGTCTCCGGGACGACGCCCCGGCCTTGACCCTATTCGATAACGCCGTCCTCGAACGAAAAGAGAGCCAGCCGGTGGTGTCAAGAGCACAGTACAATAAAACCAAAACGCTTCTGGCGGCTTTGAACAAGTTGCTCCCGTCGGCGAGTGATTTGGAGGTTATCCTCGAACAATCTCACGAATGGTGGGCAATATGGAGGAAGATGTTTCCCGAAATTACTGACAGTCGATGTGAAACTATCAAAGAATCGGTGTCTCACTCGTTGCGGTCCGAGAAACCAGCCGAATTGGCAAAAATCATGTTATGTATCGCCATCAGCATCCACCAACTACCGGGACATTTCAACTGGTCGCGACTTCAAATCAAAGAGGAGCCTGCTGATCTGATGGAACGATATATTGCGACAGTCGACAAGTTGATTACTTCTGACGATGAAATTGCAGCCACCCTTGATGGCATCGAGTGCATGATGCTTGAAGCAAAGTATCATGTCAATATGGGCCGGCCGCGACGCGCGTGGCTGTTATTCCACCGAGCGCTCGCCTTCGCCCAACTGTTGGGTATTCACAGACTAGCAGCCCAAACAGACAAAACATCCCTGGATTATCAGCGCTCGGTCAATATCTGGTGCCATCTTGTCCTGGGTGACAGATATCTATCCCTGCTCCTAGGTCTGCCATATTCTGTTAGTGAAAGCTTTGTGACACCCTATATCCCGATATCTGGACCTCCACCTGCGTCGGTCAACGATGGCGAGTACTACACCGGGAAAATGCTTCCTATAATCACCAAAATGATCGACCGCAATCAGAGTGTAGTACCCATGGGATACTCGGCGACGTTGAGGCTTGATCAAGAATTGGAGGAGTTGCACAGTACTCAAGATCCCAGTTGGTGGTCGCCGGAGCTTGTTCCTGGTAGTTCGGTCGAGGATCATTTCGACCGACTCCAAGCGCAATTTTTCCATCACCAAGCCAAGGTCATGCTGCATATGCCGTTCATGTTACGATCCTCCACCGACAAGAGATACCAATACTCTCACGCGGCGGCCTTGGACGGCGCGCGAGAAATGATTCGAGTCTACAAGGCCCTCCGAACCAACAAGGCCGTGGGCCCTTTCATCTGCAAATTGATCGATTTTCAATCTTTTACGGGGGCCATGCTGTTGCTACTGAACTTGTGCGGCTACTCACAACAACACCGCGGCAACAACGCTCAGCAGACGGACCTCGAGCAGGACCAAATAGACTCGGACCTCATCGACCAAACGATAGCACTACTGAAAGATGCGGCTAAAGAACCCGGAGGTGTCGTAGCAGCTCAAAGTGCTCAAGCGCTGGAAATGCTCGCCCGTGTCCGGCAGGGCTGCGATGAAGAAGGCGCTAAAGAATGCAGGGGCGAGACCTGTCAGGTCTCCATCCCCTATTTTGGCACCATCTCCATCGGGACAGGCAAGCATTTTGTGCCCATCAAGCCAGGCACATATGTGCAACGCACACAGGATGCGCCCTTGAACACGACAATATCGGCGGGCGGCGTGCCCACCAACACGGGACTGCCGACTCCACCATCAGCCGCTTCGAATAGCACGCAACCGTCGCCCTTGTCGACGACGATCGACCAGCAGCGTGGGCAATACTCCCACGCCCGTCGGCAGCCCGTTTACGAGTCGACGAACTACATCGCCCCGGGCCTTGATCAAGCTTGGCCTGACACAGCCGACGACCCATTCATCACATTCGACTCATTTATGGCCTTTCCACCTCAACCACCTACAGATTTTCCCTCAGCCGGCGGCGTCAGCATCTCCTCGGGCGGATCAGGCTTCACCCCACAACCATCCCACTCTCTGCAGGGCCAGAGTCCGTACAATTCGAGCGCGACGCCCCAGAATGATTTGAATGCTTCGGTCGCTGCAGGCGGGCTGGGCGGGATGGTGACGCCAGGGTTCCCATTCGGCACCTTCCCCTTCGGACAGAGCGGGGTGGACCTGGATCAAGGCTGGAATTGGTTCGGAGTTGACGCGCCCGTCATCCAGTGATGGGAACCAAAAAGGGATTGACACAAGGTTCTTTTGACACAGAGATGTGTTTGTATTTTGATGTAGGACCACCAGCCCAAAATCTTTGACACTGTATGCCACGGAGGATTTTCCCGGCCGCGTAATCAAGGAATGGGACCTACATATATAGTAAAATATATAGGCCCAGACCTCGGAAGGGCAGTGTCAGTATCGAAGCTCTCCTATCAAGATCTCCTCCTGCTCTTCCTCTTCCTCTCTATTTTCATCGATAGTAGAGTAGAATAATAAACGTAGGTTTACTAGTAATAGCTAGGATAGCGAGCGGAAGAACGAGGCTAGTCGGTTAGTCATCTCGATTCGTAGGAGGCTTTCCTTAAGGCCGTACCTATTTATATATAATATATATATAATGGAGAAGAGGAAGAGGAAGAGGAAGATCAAGATTATAAATCTTCTAGGAGTGTCGAGTATACAACTCCACGGTATCGCTACCTAGCCTCGCTGAACTATGCTCAAGCGCTCAAGTATATTATAGAACCCCAAACCCAATCAACACACCCATCCTGCCGAGGTGTGTAGATGCGTATATACCCATTGGGCCCAAAAGCGCCTGAAACTCCTCCGCAAATGATGAGAACCCAAGGGGGTCAAAAATTCGCCTCCGTCCGTTTTCCAGATTGGGGTATCTCAATGCTGTCCCGATATCGTTCTGTCAGTCCTTTCTATTCCCAGTCGTAATATCGCTGGTTTCCCCTTTCCCCCTTTTGTCTATTTCCGGTCCCATTTGCTGTTCCCCTATCAGGTAGAGCGATCCTTTCCCCTTGTACAATGTTCTTGTCGTATGATGTTATCGTTGCGTCGTAAACATGATGCTGTGTATCCCTCTTTCTTTCTGAGGTATCAAATGTTGCTGCGTAATAAGAATTCGTCCATCGTCAAAAGTCGTGCGATGTTTCAGTCGGTCGTTTGTTCAAATCAACTCCTCCAGCCATTGGCGCCACGGTTTCCCCCGGGCGCGGCGTTGTTGCCGTTGTCTCCATTGTTCCAGCCACCCCAATTGTTTGACCCGCCCCAGTTGCCATTGTTCCATCCACCATTACCGGCGGAAGCAGTATTCCAAGGCGCGCCGCTCCAGGCTCCCGATGAAGGCCATGGAGAAGATGCGGATGGAGCTGCAGTGGTGAAAGTGGTTGGCAAAGAAGTCTGGGTAGCCGCAGGGGTGAAGCTTGGAGTAGTTACGGCTGAGGCGCTGGTCGCTGCCACGCTTTGCGTCGAAACAGCTGGCGCACTGGAGGATGTGTAAGTGAGGAAAGTTGTCGCGGATGAGGTGGGAGTGGCGGACGTGGATGTAGATGAGGTAGTCGAAGTGGACGTTGGTGCTGCACCGTTTTCGGTATATACCCGCAGACTGTTGATGAGCCAGTACGTATCCACAAAGGCTGCAGGGCTGTTTTGCACAAAGTCCTGGCAAGTGGATGCCAAGGTCGAGCAAGTGGCGTCGGTGCTCCAGACCTGGCCCGCCCAGTCGCCGCAGAAGGTAACGTCAAAGACCAATTGTTGATCCTTGACCTTGTCGTCGATGTCACAACCACCAGTAAACTGGCCTTGAGGAAGACCCCAGCCCGACGGATCGGGGTTGCCGCTTGAGATATCGGAGGGGATGGCGTTCCTGGGGAAGAACCAGATGCTGATGGCCTCGCTTGTCCATTCGGTCGCGTAGACGCCACCGCCGTTGGAGTTGAAACCGTTACCGAAGCTGGTTGTGTCTTGGCTGCGCATGGAACAACCGGCGTTGCTGGGCTGATCAGGGGCAGTGGTATCACAGTCATCGGTCTCAAGGGTACCAGAGAAAGCTCCTGTGTTGGTAATTGTGCATCCTGCATCCGTGTGCATTGCCATGTTGTTCGATGTTTGACTGTTTACTCCCTCGATGATGTCAACTTCTCCATTGTTGGGCCAGTCCGGGCCAAGCATCCAAAAGGCCGGCCAAGTGCCACATGCACCGGCTGGCATATGTGCAAGATCGAGGATAATCAGGCCGTGATTGTATGATTTCTTGGTACTCAGTCGAAGACTGTCACGACCACGACCGTTGGCAATGGTGAGGGAGTCGACGCCCATGTAGACGCTCCCGTTGTCGATCTTGTACAGGCCAGAGCTCTGTGCTTCGTCGTAGGAAATGTAGTTAACGTAGCCGTTCGTCGGATCGTTGTCCTTTGCCAAGTTAGTCTTCGCCAGTTCCTAACGGAAATGAGAGTACTGTACCGTGAAGAAATCAAACATGTCTGCAAATGACGAGGAGGAGTAGTCATCTTCTAAAACGTAGGCCGCGGAAGCCGCAGATGCCAGGATGGCAAGAGTAGTGACTGAGGCGTGCATTTTGGGCTGTCGGTTTCGTGTAAAGGACGCGAAAACCAGTAATGTCTTCTTGGAAGAATGGAATGAGAAACGCCATGATGAAACAAAAGAACAGCACCGTTATATAATGATGCTTCCATCTTCGAAACGAGCTGTATAACAGGCGTGGCTGGTGAAGATGGATGAAGCGCAGGCAGCTAAGGAACAGAAATCGGCGTGCTGGGGGAGGCTTTTGTTGACACTTCACCAGCCTTAGAACGGCGGGTCAAGGATATGTGGTCACCAGAACAACCAACAAGAGTAGAGAACAGGTATAGAAGTGGAGAGAGGAGTGTCAGGGCAACGACACAGTTGGTTCCTGCTCAGACTGAGGCCCGCTCTAGGGTTGTCGCCCTTGGAGGCTGGGAATCCTGCCAGGCGCAAACCTTGAAGATTGGCGAGAGGCCGGGGGATCGACGCTAAGGTCATCAAGCGAGGCCAGACTCGCCGCAGCACGACAACACGATGGCGCTAGGTTCGCATGCTAGCTCGTTCGGCCAATGGTAGAACGACGTCGCAGACGGTGGCCAGGCGCAAAACACGCTTGTAGAACTGGTCGAGTTGAGGCAGGGTGTCTCAAACTATCTTCCGCGACGACAGGGTCCCAGTACTCGGTGGCGAGCATGTCACTCTCGCTCTTCCTGAAGAATGCGGGCCGAGGCCATCTCGCCGACAACCGGGGTTGGGAGCTTGTCATGTCTTCTTGGCTCATGTCTTATCAGAGAGCCCTGCTGTCCCAAAACACCTCAGACCGAGGAAAACACGTCAAGGCGGGGGGTGTCTCATCTTTCAGCACGAGCTGGGTCGTATTCGTGGTGTAATGTGAGACATATCGCGCGAGACGGGAAATCAGCCGGCAGTTAGGAAGCTGACTTTTGTCACCAGCGCAATCTGGTCGCGCGCGATGGTGTTTTTCGCGCAAGAGGGGGGATGGCGGAGGTCGTGAGAAGGTCTGTTTGGGAGATGGAAGATTGAGAAGAAGCTGGAGCTCGAATAGAGTTTGGCAGGAAATTAAGCGCTAGTCCCAAAGTGGAAGGAAGGACGCGCCCAGCCCAAGGCAAAGGCCCAAATGGTTGTGTCGAGGCCCTGAAGATCGCAGAGTATACACCACATATTGATTATTTTGCTTTCATGTACCTTCGTCAACGTCATCAAACACCTAGAAATACATGTCTGGAGTATGGGTCCCGTTTTGTCTGCCTGCCTCTTTTCTTGTTGACATCCGGCCACCCTTGGGGCCTTCACAGTAACATCCCGTGCCCCTGCGGTCTCCCTTTGCGTGAACCAACCGAGTTGTTTTGTGCGAGTCCAGAATCCAAGCCGAAGGAGAAAGTGAGTTGATCCGGAGATTGTTTACACCTTCGAGGCTTCTTTCGGGACATAGGTGTTGGACCATGTCGCCCTATTCGGCGTGAGGAATCTGGCCAATCCCACATATGGCGTGTTGATGGGTGATTCGCCAGTGAACAGGAACATGTCGTATAGCCAGCCGCCGAAGGTGCATCCGAAGAAGGGAGCAACCATGGGTACCTACGAAAACGGTTAGCAGAGAGCTTTCTGTTGCGGCGGTGGTGGTTGATCTTACCCAGAAGTAATAATTGCCAGCATGCCACACATGTGGACCGTACCCAAGCATATACGACATCAATCTTGGGCCAAAGTCTCGGGCCAGATTGATCGCATAGCCAGTTTCCCAGCCGCTGTTGGCGGGGAAAGTTAGTTCGTCGCTTTTCAGCCGCGGCCCAGCACAACTTACAAGCAAGCGCCGATCCCAAAGATGATGAAGAACAGCCCCAAGGGTGTCAGATTACCAGCCCCCAGATTGCCATCGTCTTTGAGAGCGTAGATCAAGAACATGAGGATCGAACTGGCGATGAACTCGGAGAAGAACTGTCCAGTCTTGGTCATGAACGGCGCCGGGTAGGTGCAGAAGATTCCCGCAGTTGCAGTGTCCGAATAGCCCGGGACCGTTCGAATGTGGGCGCCCCCTTCGAAAACGTCGATGGCCGATTTGTAGTTGGCGTACACCACCCCCGAGGCGCATAGGGCTCCTAACGTCTGGGCAACCATGTAGATGGGGAATTTGCGCCAGGGAAACTTGCGAAACACGCAGTTGGCCCATGTCACTGCTGGGTTTAAATGGGCTCCTGAGATGCCAGCGGTGTACACTCCCAGCATAACGCCCAATCTTTGGAGAATTAGCGACAGGAGACTCAAAAATATGCGATTTTCACTCACCCCCAGCCCCAGGAGATCGACTGGTAGTCACCTTTGGTTCCGTTGCTGAGCACGACTTGAGCCACGACGCCGTCGCCAAAGAGAATCAGAATGAAGACGCCAAAGAACTCGGAGAGCGGTTCCCGCATAAAGTGCCGAAACCTGCTCCAGGCCAGATCCGGCTCTGATTGGACGACATCTTCCTGGGGGACTTTGTGATCGACCAGAGGACCATGTTCCGCGTAGGGAGGCTGGCCGTCGACGGTGGTATGGCGGTATTCGTGGGGTTGGTGGAAGATGCCATGCTCATTGTGGGTGGCGGGAGGGGTAGAGGAGAGGGATTCCTTCTCGAGAGCCATGATGCCGGCGTCGTTGGCCTTGGACGAGTTCACAGGGAGAGAAAGCGAGAGGGACTGGATGTGGTCAGGGGAAGCCATTTGGGGTCAGCTCCCCGGAGCGAGGCAACGAGAGTCTTATCAAGTTTTTCCTCGACTTGGGGCCCCGGTGGGTGTGGTCACGAACCGGGGTGTTGAACCGCATGGTGCAGAAGACAAGCCGCCAGGTCGAAGTTCGGAGGCGGGCGGGTACGAACCAGTCATGACGAGGGGAGGATTGGAGACCAATTTTTGTTGCCTTCGAGAGGCGAGGTTGCATGCAGGGCGGAACCAGGTGGGTGGAGGTGATGAGCTACCAAAAATCATGTATCACGCACGAATGGAAAGGTGTGGTGATCGATCTCGGGCCCACGAAACCCGAGGGTCAGGTTTGACTTGAAGAGGTCAGCAACTACGCGGGAATCTGGAGAGTCTGGGGAGCCTTGTGGATGGCCGTTGGGATGGCGTGGCGAGGGAGGAGGATGAGGGCGAAGCTAGGCACGGGACCAGGTGGTGGATGAGTCGAGTTGAGGTAGGGATTCCGGCCATGCAGCACGCACCAGCACCAGCACCAGCAGAGGGATCAGGGATCGAGAGAGGATGGGCAAGGAGGAGTAGCTTGCGAAGTGTACTCGGTACTGTCATACACGTACAAGGGTGCGGACTCGAAAGTGGATGGACATCTCGTAAGGTACTTCCCATTGTTGGACCACAGGCGGTGGATGGTGGACGCGAGGCAATAAACGGACCAACGAGAGGCTCGGGACAGGTCTGACCGAGGCTGACACTGTCTGTCTGTCTGTCTGTCTCTCTCCTCCTCTGCGTCCTCTTACGGCCATTCGTTACTCTTCCTTGTGCGTCTCCCTCCTCTCCCAGCCACCCTGTTCAAAACTGTCTACAGGATTACTCCCCTTTGGGAACTGCTTGGCCACAACGAATGGACGCCGTACCGAGCACAAAACGCATGCTTATGATTAATCATCGCCACTCAGTCCACAATCATCAGAGCAGCCTTTTACCAACTTGACCACCCCCGAACGACCCTCGTACCTCTCTAACTACAGAGCCGATCCCCCTACCCTCCTCGCCGTATTGTTTCGCTGGCCCTAGACATCAAGCCACCGCCGGGGTAGACTGCTTTGGTCCAGGTACTGGGACTAGGGCCGGTAGATCTAGATCTCCGCCCGAGAACCAACCACCGAGTCCAGTCTGACGAAACGAGAGTTCTCTCGTGGTTGCCACTATTGGTCATTTGTCAAGAGATGGACTCGATGATTATACGCAGTGATACCCCGATCCTCAGTTGACGATACCAGCTCTTTGATTCCGGCGGCTCCCTCGTCGTCATCTCGCGCGAGTGCGTCAGACTGTGCCATTTTTTTCTTCTTCCAGAGGCTCGCCACCTCCACCAGCTTCTGCAAGTCTACACTTCTGCCATCCTCGCGGGTTTTAAAATAGTCATCTCTTCAAGAGTTGTTGGTGGTCGCCAGGAGACTGGCCGGCTTGTCGTTGTTGTAAACGTGGCAGCACGTCCACACACAAGACGCAGATGCGTGATATCGGCTGTACAAAATCCCCCGACAAATCCAACCGCCAGGACGAAACCCGCAAGAAGCGGCAACACAGCGCGCTGCCGTATCTCTGACTCTCATCCTGGCAACCAACCACACTCGCTCTTACCCCGCAGAAATGCTGGCCCCAAGACAAGACAAGGGCCTTGAAAATGCTACACAAATCCAGTCCAAGCTGCCACCGAGTGGCCCCCCCCAGGACGCCCAGAAACGCCACCGTGTCCCTGGGACGCTCTGCCATTGCCTCGTATCCCTTTTATACGCTCTTGTGTGTGATGTTGCTGCTCAGCTCAGCCTCCGCACTGCTGCCGAGAGCTGCCGCCTGGATGAGAACTCTTTTCGAGCTCCGGACAAATTGGCATTGGGCCTGGTCTTTAACGCTACCCGAAGCCGATGTTGCACCCGTGATGCTGGGCGAAACGGCACCAGCTGCCCTTTGTCTAACCCCTCGTCTTCCTGCTGCTGCTCTTTTTGTTCTATCACATTCGTCTCAGCGGAGGTGGTTGGCCTGACGTGCGTTAGCCGGCTAGTAGTGGAACGGGATTGACGCCGCCATGCAAGCCCTGATGATGCCCCCGTCTTCCTCACTTCCCGTGGTGGCCGACTTCTCCTAGAGCGATGCTAGGGCCTTAAATAATATCTCGTGCGTCTCGAACCTGGATCGGCATGCCGCTGATTGCATGATCGAGCACCCAAGAGTCCAACGGCGCTCGTGCAGAGGCTTGGCCCCCCCTCATCCTTGACACATCTCTCGCCATCGCAGCCCGCGTGGGCACTTGGAGACGGTCTCCCCGAAAACCCCGGATTCCGCACCTAGACCAAGTCACCAGTGACTGAAAAGCCTCAGCGGCCTCAACCAGCCTCTGCATCTCGGGGTCTGACACCCCGAGCCCGAGCTTGAGCTTCGAGAAAGTTTCGAGCCACCCAGAAAGTCAAAGCGCGCATCAGCGGCTCTCTCGAACGAGGAGAGCGAGAACTAGAGCTTCGCTCGACAAAGATACTGATCATCCATCCGCCCTTTCGAAGCTCCGTCGTCGACCAAGGACAAAAGGAATTGCCGACATCGAGCTACTCCTCTTTCCCTCTTGCACGCCCATTATTCAACTCTCGCAAATCTCTTGCAGTCCAGGTTGATTGATTGGATGTTGGCCACCATCAGAACCAAAATGGGCGACACCACAAAGTCGGCCTCGCACGAGACGTTCGTGGGCTCCATCGACCAGGGCACCACCAGCACGCGGTTTCTGATCTTCAACCGGCACGGCGAGGTGATTGCCTCGCACCAGATCGAATTCAAGCAATTCTATCCACATCCCGGGTAAGTCTCCCTCTCTCTCTCTTAAAGAACGAGAATGGTGTGATGTGTTTTGCATTTCTAATTTGATGATAGATGGCATGAGCACGATCCACTCGAAATAATTTCGTCGGTGGAGCAGTGCATCGACGGTGCCGTCAAGGACCTCGAGACCCAGGGCCACGCAAGTGCGAATATCAAGGCCGTGGGGATCACGAACCAGCGTGAGACGACGGTAAGACTCCCTTACCCCTCCGGCTGGCGAGCCCCCCCTCCTGCGAGCCAATAATCGGGTTTTGACTGACTCGCTTTTCCTGCTCGGAAATCTATTAGGTCGTATGGAACCACGAGACGGGCGAGCCGTTGTACAGGGCAATCGTTTGGACAGACACTCGTACACAGGCCCTGATCCGTAAGCTCAAGCATCGGTTGGGATCAGACCAGCTGCAGCAGCTTTGCGGGCTCCCATTGTCGACGTACCCTTCGGTGGGCAAGCTACTATGGCTCCTCGAAAACGAGCCCAAGGTCAAGGAGGCCTACGACAAAGGAGTTCTCGCCTTCGGCACCATCGACGCCTGGCTGGTCTACAAGCTCAACGGCGGGCCCAAGAAGAACGTGTTTGTATCCGACCCGACCAACGCCTCGCGGACCATGTTCATGAACCTCAAGACCCTGGACTACGACGAGTCGCTCATTGACTTCTTCCGCCTGGACCAGGCCAAGATCCACCTCCCCAAGATTACCCGGTCGTCGGATCCCGAGGCGTACGGGCGTCTGGAGCTGAGTATGCTGAAGGGCACCCCGATTACTGGCTGCCTGGGCGATCAATCGGCCGCCCTGGTCGGCCAAAAGGGATTCACTCCCGGGCTGGCCAAAAATACCTACGGCACCGGCTGTTTCCTCCTGTACAATGTCGGTGAAAAGCCGGTCTTCTCCACCCACGGCCTGCTCGGCACCGTGGCCTACGACTTCGGCGAGGGAAAGCGCATGTATGCCCTCGAGGGCAGCATCGCCGTCGCGGGATCCAGCGTCAAGTTCCTGGTCGATAATTTCGGGTTCGTCGAGTCCTCCAGCAAGATCAGCCAGTTGGCCGCCACGGTCGAGGACAATGGCGGCTGCGTCTTCGTCACCGCCTTCAGCGGCTTGTTTGCTCCGTACTGGATCGACGATGCCAGAGGAACCATCTGTAAGTGGCTAGGCTCTCTGCTCGTCAGCCTCGCCGATAGCTGATCTTCTTTCTGTCCAGACGGCATAACCGCCTACACGCAACGCGGGCACATTGCCCGGGCCACCCTCGAGGCCACGTGCTTCCAGACCAAAGCAATCCTCGACGCCATGGAGAAGGACTCGGGTGCTAAACTCGCGGAGCTTGCCGTCGACGGCGGCATGAGCAACTCCGATCTGACCATGCAGGTACGTCGGCCGTTGTTTGCGGACTTTTGATCTGTGAGGTGCGGACAGAGTGCTAACGACTAACGCCTGGCTTAGACACAAGCGGACCTGATCCAGATCCCGGTGCGGCGCCCCCAGATGCGCGAGACTACAGCCCTGGGAGCCGCGATTGCTGCCGGCCTGGCCGTCGGGGTGTGGGACAGCATTGAGGAACTGAAAGACATCAACGTCGAGGGGAGTACGGTCTTCAAACCACAGTTGCATGAAGCCAAGAGCAAGGAGATGTTTGAGCGATGGGAGAAGGCGGTTCAGATGTCCAAAGGTTGGTCGTCATGAAAAAGAGAAAGTGGATTGCGCAAACTAAAGTCTTACGTTGCGGCTCGCCCATCCGCGACGCCGCTTAACTACCAATGATGCTTGAGTTGACGGCATCATTGCCACTGCCCATCCCCTCCCTGCGCGCCGTGATGTTGCACGTCTCTGGCTGAATCTCTCTTGTCGTCCCAAGTGCCGGAATCCCAAAGTCACTGGCATTGTGTCCCAGACCCCAAGGACCAACACATGCGAAAGATCTGGCCGTCGCCACATTTGACTGACCGACTCTTGGAGCACTGGTGCTGACAGGATTGTTGGCGCAGCCCTTGATATGATGCAGACGGCGCACCAGCTCGCCTGTGGTTGGTCGCCGCTCGACGCCAGCGCCGGCATTCGAGATCTCGAGGAGCCAAAAGAGCAAACATCGGAGTTCTCTCAGGCATCGGATCTGCCAAGCTCGGAGCTCTGTGCGGGATAATCGCCGTCATTACATCCGTGATACGCGAGTCTGTCGCGGTGGCTTCAGCGAGAACCTTGCGCTGCGACGCGCCGGCCGATACCCTGCATTACATCGGTTTTCGCCGTATTTGACACGTGTTTTGGGTGATGGAGTCGGCTATTCGGCACTGGTTGAGGACCATGTTACCCCAAAAAGCCCACCGCTTCAGCAGAAACCCAACGAACTTTTGATGCAGGCGCCCTTTGGAGATGCAGTCTGCATGCAGCAATGTCTCTCTTTCGTCCTCTTGCTCAATTCCCTTATCTTGCTCAGATTCCCGGTAGAATTCCCAGCAGTAACCTCTTTTCCAAAAGCCGACAGCTAGATCCAATGCTCGTGAGACCAAGACACCCAACATGTCGAGTCAGGATATCTCGGAGTACGAGAAAGACGTCATAGAGAGCCGTCCCGACGGTGAAAAGAACTTCGAGCAGACTTTGTTCCCGGAACTTAAACAGGTCACCAGCAATGCCCTGAGCAGGATCACCTCACGCCTCAGCACTCGAGATATCGTCGACCCTGGGCCACCTCCCGATGGAGGCCTCAAAGCATGGATCCAAGTCGCCATGGGGTGGATTGTTTGCTTTTGTACCTGGTATGTCGAAGTCCGGAACCCCCGGGAGGACGTCGGAGCCCTGCGCAGAATAGACCGCTCATGCTTTTCCTCAGGGGTTATATCAATTCGTTTGGCGTCTTTCAGACCTATTATACCGAGACGTTGGGTGAATCCCAGTCAACCATCTCCTGGGTGGGCTCGGTTCAGCTGTGGATCGTCTTCTTCGTGAGCGCCTTCTCCGGTCGGGCGCTGGACGCTGGGTTGTTCGTTCCCACCTTGCTTATCGGATCGATCATCCAAATCGTCGGCATTTTCATGACCAGCCTGTGCAAGACCTTCTGGCAGCTTTTGCTTGCTCAAGGCCTCTGCACGGGCCTGGGGAGCGGGATATTCTTCTGCCCGACCCTAGGACTTGTGACGACATATTTCAGGAGGAATCGAGGGGTTGCTGTCGCCATTGTGTCGACCGGGAACTCGGTGGGCGGCGCCATATATCCCGTGATTGTGCGCCAGCTCCTCCCAAAGATTGGATATGCATGGACTATCCGCGTCCTCGGTTTCATGAACTTGGGATTGCTTTCGTTGGCGCTGGCATGCATGCGGCCGAGATTGCCTCCTCGAAAGGCCGGCCCGATAGTAGAATGGAGGGCATTCTATGAAGTGCCGTACGTCTGTGTTCTCCTGGGCATGTCGCTCGTCTTTGGGGGTCTGTTCTTCTCCTACTATTACATCGCCTCCTTCGGCCGGACGATTTTAGACATGAGCTATCAAGACTCACTCACCTTGCTCATCATCTTCAACGGGGCCGCGGTACCCGTTCGACTTGTCACGGGTTTCATTGCGGATCGGTTCATGGGTCCGCTGAATGCCATGGTGCCGCTCCTTTTCATCAACGCGCTTTTTGCATTTACCTGGATTGCAGTGAAGTCGCAGACAGGCATGTATGTGTTTGCAACATTTTATGGTTTCTCGGCAGGAGCCTTCCAGTGTCTCTTTCCGACGACGGTGACGAGTTTGAACAACGACTTGAGTAAGAATGGAGTGAGGATGGGTATGGCTTTCTCGTTGTTCAGTTTTGCAGGACTTTCTGGACCTCCGATCGGAGGAGCGTTATTGTCGACAAATGGGGGAGGGCGCGGCGGATATCTGGTCGCACAGATATGCCTTGGAGTACTTACCGGAGTGGGCGCTTGTTTGATGTATGCCGCTCGCGTGTATAAAGTGGGCTGGAGTTGGAAGATCAAATGTTAAAGCAAGGTCGACGAGGGCTGTCGAGAGAGATTTAGGAGTCGGTCATGGTTCCGCCGTGACCAGCAACTTCATCATCTCGTCTACCCCGTCGGTTCTCTTCGAGATACCCGTGATTATCCGACGTCTTGGCCTTTAAGGCAATACCAAGTCGGCTTTCTGCACGCTAGGCAAGCCCTGCACGACATCGAAAGCTCGAAAAGGATACCGGGGGACTGTACTGTGGATGATGGCAAAATGACAGTCCGTCCCCAGGGTGACGGCTGGAGAATGGCTTGCTGGGATTTGCAGTTGGCGAGAAGGTGGAACAACACCACGATCTACTCGGTTGGTACTGGACATTGACAACCCGACTTCCTCGGAGGCACTTGGGGAGATTTGACGCGAACATTGCGAGCTAGGAAGAGAAGAAAAGGTAGAGGATGGGTTTTCACGGGCGTTGATCGATTTTATTTGATGGCGGCATCTGAGGTGAGATGACGCGAGCCCTCAGGAGGCCCATATATTCGAGGGATCCGAGCTTGAATCCTCCTCGTCTGTTTGAATAGATAGAAGCGTCAAGGATAGATTATAGAGACCGGAAGGAGAGAAAGGGAAAAGATAACGATGGCGGCGATAGGAGCAATTTCATGGTTGGATGGTATTGACTGCGCCCATTGTACACCGCAGATGCCCATGCGCCTGCGACCCAGAGCCAAGACCGTCACAACTATTGATCGTCGCCCAAATTTCACCCATCTTCTTGTTTTGTCATTGATGCTTGTGCCTTTCCTTTTCCTTTCCCTTCTCCTTCGCTCGACCGTTCTATGGCCCTTCTGTTATTCCTTCTGCTACATTGACTTTCTGTCCCTAAATAGTTGCGACTAGCACCGAGCATGTTCCGTCCTTCTCTGCGCGTCGTTCGCACACGTGGACCCTAACTGTGATGCAAGATCGATTCTTCATCCGCACCACCCTCTCCATCGTCACTCATCGGGATTATTCAGGTCAATAAGCACCGAAAGAGCTATGAGGCAGCGAGATCCCCTAGGCAGGATCTGGCAGCTCCATGGAAGATCTCCCTCGCATCGGCTCTGAGAAGGAGGTATATGACCTCTCCGTCCTCCGCCACAATGGCTTTCGTCGACGACACTCATCTCGAAGGATTCTTCGAGGACCCATCTTCGCCATGATGATCCTGGCACCGCTGGCCACCGTTGTTGTATTGCTAGGCTGGAGGTAAGTTGCCAATTCCCCAAACACAGTCCATCTGCCTACCCAGATGCTCATCTCACAACAAAAGCGGGGTGCAAGTCGGAAGCTCGTCGGCTCCGGTGTCAGATTCATGCGACACTGTCGCGGCGGGTTTTCAATGTCAACCGGCGATTTCTCACTATTGGGGCCAGTACTCACCCTACTTCACTGTGCCTTCCGATATCTCGGCAGGAATCCCCAATGACTGCGAAGTCACGTTCGTTCAGATCTTGTCCCGCCATGGGGCCCGAGATCCAACCGCGTCAAAGACCAAGACATACAACGACACCATCAGACAGGTGCAGGCCAACGTGAAAAACTTCACAGGACCATACGCCTTTATCGCCAACTATTCCTATACCCTCGGCGCGGACCAATTGACGACTTTCGGCCAGGAGCAGATGGTCAACTCGGGCACTAAGTTCTATGATCGGTATCGTGCACTTGCAAAATCCCTCGAACCCTTCGTCCGTTCATCGAGCGAGAATCGAGTGGTGGAGTCGGCTCTTAATTGGACACAGGGCTTCCATGCGGCGAGACTAGCCGATGAGTCTGCGGATGTCGACTCAGGCTATCCATATCCTGTGATCCTGCAGTATGAAGGTGATGGTTTCAACAACACGCTGAACCATGCCCTCTGCACCGAATTCGAGAACGGCACAGCTAGCAAGGTTGCTGACGACGCTCAAAAGGCCTGGGCCAAGATCTTCGTTCCTTCAATCCAGGCTCGGCTCAACGCTGGCATGCCCGGCGCCAATCTCAGCATCGACCAAACAGTGGACATTATGGACCTGTGCCCCTTCAACACCGTTGCCAACGATGACGGCACCATTTCACCATTCTGTGCCCTCTTCACCGAAAGCGAATGGCACAGTTACGGCTACTATCAGACATTGGGCAAATACTACGGATATTCTTACGGCAATCCCTTGGGCCCGACACAGGGGGTGGGATTCGTCAACGAGCTCATTGCACGGCTGACAAACACCTCTGTCGAAGACCACACGTCTACAAACCATACCCTGGACGACAATCCAGCCACGTTCCCTCCGGGCCGGAAGCTTTATGCGGATTTCAGCCACGATAACGATATGACAGCCATCTTTTCGGCTCTAGGGCTGTATAATGACACGTTACTATTGCCCAACAGGACGGTCGTGGAGGCCAGTGCGGCAGAAGGTTACAGCGCAGCATGGACCGTTCCGTTTGCTGCCAGGGCGTACATCGAGAAAATGCAGTGCCAGGGAAACACGGACGAGCTGGTTCGTGTGATTGTGAACGATCGTGTGCAGCCCCTCTCTGCTTGCGGGGGTGACGCCCTTGGTCGCTGCTCGCTGGGCAAATTTCTGACCAGTCTGGGATTCGCAAAGATGGGAGGATCCTGGGAGCAATGCTTTGTCTGATGCATGTACGGGCCTTAGAGCATGTATTAGACACATCTCCCCCTAGATGTCAGCATATGTATGATCTTCTGGAGAACTCGACCCATAGTGATCTCGCGCCCCTTGTCGGCTCGAAGAGATTGATGTTATCGTTATCTTGGGTTTCCACAAGGCCCCAGGCGATGTGTGTTTCTGGCGCAAGTCAAGAAATCATCCGGACAGCGAAGCTCGGGGCGGCCCGAGACGTGCTCGTGGCGTTGGTGAGCATCATTCGTATTTGACCACTTCGAATGCTTTGAAGCGACATAAAGTTTCGACTGGTTGATCTAGCATGCGGAGACGACATAGAAATGAACAGATGAGAAGGTGATCCAGACCCGAGTATGACGATAAAGACATTGAGAGGAACAGCTGATTTTCTCGCATGTGTCTTTCTCAAGGCGGATTAGTGTCTCTCGCCCCGACCTCGGTCCCCTCTTGATAAAGGCCGTGCTCTTTCTTGCCTCGCAGTCATTATATTGATATCGACTCAGCAGCTCTAGAGGCCACCCTTGGATTGACCGTCCGAAGAGCAATAGACTCTAGGGTTGCAACAACCGTCTCTCACTCTTGACTTGTTAAGCGTCTTATCAAGCATCTGCCACGTCTGCTGCTTTAGCTTGGGAGTCCGTCGAGGGGTAGAGTGATTGATCGCCCCGCCAGGACCAGGCCCGACAACAGCATCCAAGATGTCTCCTGTCCGGACCGTTGAGAATGCCAGTGAGGAATACACCTATATCATCTGGTGGGTGTGATTGATTTTTCCCGTCCGCTACCCGCTTCCTTCAACCCTTCTGCGCCCCACTAATGCTTTCTAACTCCCCGTCAGCGGAGGCGGCACTTCTGGCTGTGTGATCGCCGGGCGGCTGGCTGAGGCCTTCCCCAGCGCCACCTCCGACGTCTCGATCCTGGTCATCGAGGCCGGGCCGGACTCGACAGGCCACCCGCTCATCACCATGGTCGGCGGCCTCTTCCAGGCCATGGGCGGCGAGCTGGACTGGGCGCTCGAGACGGTACCGCAGGAACACCTCGACCAGCGCGTGCTGCAGCTCAACCGTGGCAAGTTCCTGGGCGGCAGCAGCGGCTTCAACGGCACGCTGTGCATCCGCGGGTGCAAGGCCGACTACGACGACTGGGAGCTCGAGGGCTGGACTGGCGACGACATGTTCCGGTACATGCAAAAGGCCGAGACGTTTCACGGCAAAGCCTGGTTCAAGGCTGCGGACGGGTCCCACGGCACGAACGGGCCCCTGCACGTCGAACCACACGACACGGCGCCGATCTCGAACCACGTCTTGGAGTCCCTGCGGGACAGGGGCTTGCCTCTGGTCGACGACATGTTCACCACGGGCGAGGCGGCACATGCCTGCGGACATGTCCCTCGGACGGTGCATGACGGCGTGAGGACTTTTAGCACGGACTACCTGAAGGGTCACGAGGATCGGGTGGATATCGTGGTGAATACCGTCGTCGACAAAATCATCCTTGAGAGCGTTGGAGGCAAGGTGGTGGCGACGGGCGTTGAGGTCGTCGACGGTTCCGGGAAGAGGAGAGTGCTGAAGGCTGGCAAGCAGGTCATACTATCTGCAGGTAGGCATTTCACCCAGCGCCCTTAGTCTCAGTGCTGTCCTAACGTGGTCGACAGGTGCGTACTGCTCGCCGACCATTCTGCTACGCTCGGGCATCGGGCCCAAAGAAGAGCTCGCGCAATTCGGCATCGACTGTAAAGTCGACTCTCCCGGCGTGGGCAAAAACTTCCAAGACCACCTGGCAAGCCGTAAATCCCCTTCTTGCGGAATAAGCCCCCTCTAATGCTCTCAAGGTCGTCTTCGTGCCGTACGAGGTCACGCAGCCGAACCTCACTAACGACCGATTCATCCACCACGCCAATGGCCTCGCAAACTCCCTGTCGACTTACCAGAGTTCTCGATCCGGCTTCTTTTCCACATTCCCTTTCGGTGTTTTCGCGTTGGCCCGACTCGGCGACGGGTTGAACTCGTCCGTCCTGTGGCGGGAGCGGTCGGCCGCATCGCCTGGGACGACACGAGACGCTGCCAACCTTACCCCACAGCAAGCCCACGTCGAATACATGCACACCGAGCTGTATTCGGGCCACGTCCACGGCTACCCAATCCCGTTGGAGGGAAAGCATGGCTTCGAGATGATGACGCTGCTGTTTAGCCAGCAAAGCCGCGGCACAGTTGCCCTACGCTCCACGAACCCGCACGACAAGCCCGTCATCGACCCCCGCTACCTGTCTGACCCGCTCGATCTGCTTATGTTAACCGAAGGCGTGCGCTTCGCTCACTCGATCGTGACATCCGGCTCCGGCACCAAGGGCATCGTCGCCCCAGGCGTGTGGATGGCGGGTCCCAAGTACGCGGCGCTCGGATCCGAAACGACCAGGGAGGACTGGGAGCCGTATGTGCGCCAGTACAGCGCGACGGCACACCACCCGGCGGGCACGTGTCGAATGGGGAAGGACGGCGATGCGATGGCGGTAGTGGATGAGAAGCTGCGGGTCAGGGGCGTCAAGGGGTTGATGGTCGCGGACTGCAGCATCATGCCGAGTCTGAACGGCGGCCACACGCAGATGCCGGCTTATGCAATTGGGGAGAAGGCCGCAGAGATGCTTATCGAGGCGTCCGAAACAAACGTTTAGACCAACCATTTGAAGACTTTGTGTCGAGTAATTGCCTCGTTGGAACAATCCCAGACCGCGTATCGCGAGGGTAAATAGCGAGAGGTAGTACACCGAGTGTGGATTGCCTGTTCTTTGCTCTGCGATGGATGTTTCTCCATTCAACGCTTTGTGGAAAGGGAGGAAGAGCTGTATCCTGGCTGGACTGAGCTAACACATCCGCCACAATCGCAGTATACTCGGACACCTCTTCCTACCATCTTTTTCAGCTTCAACGTAGGATGACTGCACGGTTGTGGCGTGGTTTGGACATTTCGATGGCCAGCCTATGCGTTCAAGAGCGTGGAACTCGTGTGACCGAGTCCATCTAGTCAATGCCGTGGTGTGGGCGATTCCTGCATGCGACTTGCCAGACAGGTAAGGAGGATCGCGGTCGGGACGTGTCATTGTGATTGAACGAGCCACCCGTGGACGCCGTTGGATGGACACTGGCCTTGTTTGCTTCCGACCTCGGTAAGCATTGTCCGGGGCAGAAGTCGGGATTCGGTATGTGTGCGGAGTGATGGTAGTGGTGGTGAGGCACAATTACTGGCCTCATCAGCGCCAAGCGCGGGAACACGAGGCTCGCTTGGAGGATCGATAACCAATGTCACCAATCTCCTCCCTCAGCATGCATGCCGCCTCTACCCATCCACAGCACCGTCCTCGTTCATCTCCTAGGGGCGCTCCTCGTCTTCCCCCTGCACTCTGCCGCACATCCATTGAGCCGCCGCGCCCCCAATACCTAACCTGCCTTGGATTGGTCGATCTTCTCCCCGGACGTTTTCTCCAGGCAAGAAACACACGACAACGCTGCAGGGGCAAGCAACAAAGTTTGTCGAGACGCTACGTGGTCACCTCAAAAGTCTAGTTGAACATCTTTGTATCCGACCACACCGACATATCATCTAACGCATCCCCTTCCCATCGAAACGATGGTCATCGGCTATCAGAATCGATTGCCAGGGAACAATTAACTGTGGGCAATGCATCATGGATGGCGCGGGCGATGTCACCTTCTCCGCAACGGGCCAGAGCCCGCAGAGACAGCAGAGTCGCCCCGAACCTCGAAGGACCAATCGTGCTTGCGTCGAATGCACACGAAGGAAAATAAAGTGTGATGGCACTCTACCCTGCCAAAACTGTCGCAAGCATTCTCTGGAGTCGAGGTGTAGTTACAGAAAGCGACAGCGGAGGACAAATCCCTCCTGGAAGTGAGTTAGGGCATCTTGCGGCTGCGGCTTCGTCTGACTGCTCGCTGTATAGGACCATAGACCAGTTGAACGAGGCTCTGAACGCGCGCAACCAGATCATCAAGCAGCTTCTACCCGCAGTTGACTTCGACAGCCTCCCTGGTCTCTCTCGAGAGAACGTCATCCGGCTGATCAGCAATGAGGTTGATCCTCAAACACCCTCGCCAGCTGCCGACAGCGGTGTCGCCAATGAGGTCGCGGAGGCCTCGCAATCACTCAACGACGTCGCAGCCGAAGAAGAATGGAATGAGGCTCAGAACGAGGAAGGTTCGGAGCCACCGGTTGGCGATGTTGTCAATGGCCTCACCGTCCACCAGCGTCCGGGCTCCTACTCGCGCATCTCCTCCACCGGTGCTTTCCTGCATGTCCTTTTCAATGCCTGCCCACCTGCAAAGCAAAAGTTCTTGGATCTTGGAAAGTCGGCCTTCCAGAAACCAAAACAGCTTGTCATTCGGGGCCCAAGCAAGGAGCCGCCTCAGGCGGCGCAAAATGTCAGCCCTGTATCCTCGACGCTTTCATCCTTGTCGTCTGCACAACAGATAGCAGTTGACGCGTATTTTGAACAGATCCACGCCCTGATTCCTATGGTGGATGAGGGTCGCTTTCGTGATGAGTTCTCGAGCCAAGAACGCACAGATGACGGCTGGAAGGCGCTTTCAAGTATGGTCCTAGCATTGGGTTCCATTGCAGCAGGAGACGATCAATCGCACTTCGCCTACCACGAGCGCGCGCGGAACGTCCTTGGCTACAACATATTTACCTCGGGAAATCTGGAAATGCTACAGGCGCTGGTTCTCTTGAGCGCTCTGTACTTGTACTACATCAACTCGCCAAACACCGCCTTCTTAGTCATGGGTACCGCGTTTCGGATGGCTATCGCAATTGGCCTACATCGTGAACCGGCGAGAACGACGAAACTCGGCCTGACGCCAGAGGAAGAAGGGTTGGCATTGTCTCGAGCCGAGGTCAGACGGAGAACTTGGTGGTGTCTGATCGCCGGCAACGCCTGGCAAGGACTGTTATTGCATCGTCCTAGGGTTGGACGATGGGATCCACTCACAATGGACACTGCATGGCCCTCTACGACACTCTCTTCAATTTCCGCGCGGCCGGAGGCTGGTGCGCGCCAGAGACATAATGAGTCTGAGGACAGAGATTGGCATGGCATAGCACTCCGCGTGACAGCCGAATTTTGCATCATCGCACAAAGAATCGGAGATCGAATGGCACAGTTGTCATACATTACACCCCGCGAGATATTCGCATTCAGTGACGAACTCGAAATCTGGAGCAAATCTCACCATTTTCGATTCTTGTCGGAGAATACATGTCCAAAACGTTTCGAACTGAATCGAGAGACCATGATGTATCGCTTTTTGGGTGTACGCGTCCTGTTATCTCGGCCACATCTGTTGCGGTTGGCAGACGACGGAATGGCCCACGACGCATTCACAGACGACGACTGGAAAGTGGTATCTCTCTGCCAAAATTCTGCGAGTGAGGTTATCGACTTGATCTGTTCTGGCCTTCATCACGACAGAGTTTCGGTCTGGCAGTCGACCTTTGCGCTTTTCCAAGCTTGCTTGATTCCCCTGATTTCTATTGCCGTGGCGAAGAAATTGAATCTATTTGGCGACGCCGCTGTCAGTGAGTGGAAACAGAGCCTAGACGGTGCTCTTCGTGCGTTCAAAGATATGAATCCACATACGAGGCCAGCGGACAGATACGGCAGCATTATTGAGGCACTGCGCGATGGTGTCGTGTCGTGGAATGACCAGGACTCTCAACACGCAGCTGATATTGACCAATACACAGAGTTTCTCGCCAACGTCAGATCCGAGGGCGCGATGGACTTGATGAATTTTGACGGACAGGACATCACCGCGCCGGGTCCATTCCTCGAGTGGTTCAATTATGATCTTGCATTTGGGGATCAAGAACTGAACTGGTACCCTCTTCCTGATCCTTGATGTCGATGGTGGCATGGATCCGAGGTCGCCCCGGGATCGATGGGATGCTATTCGACTTGAAATTCGATGCTGGCCATTGTTATTCCAACCGGAGGAAGTACGACCTTTTGGCGCGCACCAATAGTCGACTAGGTTTGCGCTGACATTGTCGAGACTTCTCACGCGCCAGTACACTTGCTTTCCCGTAGGGCATCTTTTGAGGCGCCTGGCCCATCCTGTGCATCTTCATATCGTTGTGTTAAGCCACAACCAAGCTTTATCTCCGCGCAAGCCTTCCGTCGTGCACGGTGTCGTTGCTTGGTCCGCTGTTGGTCAGATCACCATTTCATTTCCGACGAGGTTCCCTGTGTTGCAAGTGTTCTTTGAAAGCACCTCGTGACGCCTCTGAGAAAGCGTCTTACATTCGCTACTGCATGGTGATCGGAGATCAAGACATCCGCCAAAATTGACTGACAGCTGCAATCGACACTTACCGTCTGTTGCAACTGGATTGCTCAATATACAGCAAGGAATGTCAACACTGCATCACGCGGAATGTGTGCCACTTTCAATCAATGGTCTGTGGCTGCCAGGCCAAGGCTAAACACACGGACCCGCTGGAATTGCGGACTGAGTCTCCAGAGGTCCTTGAGATCAAACACGTAGAACCTAGCCACCGACCATGGGTCAAGGGGAGGCACAGCTTCGGCTGCTGCCTTGGCGGCCAACGAACACCGACCCCAAGGAGAGCCGGCCATATTTCTTGCGCAAAGATAATATACTATCCTTGGTGGCGTATAGTGAGGGCAGCCCGGATAATGTTGAGAAGACTGTGCAGGGTTTCAAGTCGCCGAGTCTCACATCAGGGAGGTTTGCTCGAGTGGCATTTCCCTTGGGGTTTAGGGTCCTCGAGCGGTTTTTTGACGTGCTCGCAGCCATCTTCTTGCCAATTTCGAACTCGGACATCTTTTAATGTTCCTTGGAAGCCGACCCCAATGGAAACTGGTATTTCATTTCGACCACCGAGCTTCATCAGCACTTATCCCAAGCGGATATCGACGGATTATAGAAGCCCGAGGACGTTTGTTCCTGTTTCAAGGAATTTTGGAAGGAGGGGGAGCTGCTTATTGCAAGATGATAGTGGTCGGGGTTCGGTTCGATCGCGTGATCGATCATGACGGGGCTCTGGCTGTTCGTCAGCTAGTCGTCCCAATTATGATACCGAAACCAACCAAAAGGCGCACATTGGAAAAGTGGCTTGACACCGCAGCCCTCGTAATCCACCGTTGCAGTACTATAACTTCAACTTCGACACAATTGCAGCGGACAACCGAGTCCAATAGGGCTCGCAGTAGTCACGGAAGGACGGCGAAGGGGGGTCCCGTTGGGAGAGCCGAGCGAATCTTTCAAGTAGAGCGCTACCCCGAAGCGACGATCAAATCGATAAACGCAAATGCTGTGTCAACGATCTGGGAGGCATAACATAGCAGCTGAATACTTCCCTGGGCTTGCTTGTGGAGTCTGTTGCAGACTACATGGGTTGGTTTCGACTAGAGACTTGTTGACGACCAATTGCTGACCAGGCACGACGTTGCTTCTCGTCGCCCTTGACATCTGATTGGGAAAGATTCCCCTGACCGAGGTTACAGAGCGGCCACATCTCGATCTCTCACGGGTGTCTGCTTGAATGTACAGAATTGCAGGCGGTGGAAGTCACCCTCAATGGGAGATTCTTCAGGTCTCGATGGTGCTGAGCAAGAGTTGTTGACGTCGAACATGCGATGTTGCTTTTACCTGCCAGGGCCACGACGTTTTCTCTCGCTAATTGGAGGAGATATGTACTGCCGTCGAGGGTGGATACGACCCGGGACTATATATGCCCGCTTACAACTGATGTCTCTCCATTCTATCAGTAACGGCAGACATTTCCCCCTCGGCAAGTCCTCGAAAACTCCTACCCCGCAAGACGTCTACATCAGATCCGCAATAATACGTCCGAGAATCGATGGAGGACATGGATCCAGGAACACAAGCAGAGCGGAGACGGAGACATGGCATCCGGCATTGCGGACAAACCAGAGAAATTGGTGTCGCCGAGTCGGACTCGAGTTGGTTGACACAAATAGCTGCATATTGCTCGCCTGTGATAACAAGGCTGCTTATAATCTTGGGGACTATGCGCTCTGCCTGTCTTCCTTACAACTCATCTTGAGACAATTGCAAAATGGCAACGAAGCAGCAACATGGGTTGGCCGCGGGATGGAAATGGCGCCTGGCAAACGCGAACGGCATATCGAAAGCAGACGATATTCCAGACCTCAAGACCTGGACTCCAGTTACTGCTTTCCCATCGGTTGTCCAGATGGAACTCCTGGCAAAGAAGATCATCCCGGACCCAAATGTGGGCGAAAATGAGCGTCAGATTCAGTGGGTAGGGGGGATGGACTGGGAGTATTCGTGCTCTTTCCCAACACCGAAGGGTCTAGACAACTCCAGCATTGCTGATCTGGTGTTTGAAGGACTGGATACATTTGCAAATGTCTTTCTGAACGGCAAGGAGATCCTCAAATCCGACAACATGTTTATCCCACATCGAGTGAATGTGACAAGTCAACTCCAGCCCGAGGGACAAGAGAATGAGCTTTCGATACTTTTTGAGAGTGCTTTGAAGAAAGGAAGTGAATTGGAGACCAAGTTCGGCGCCAGAAAGCAAGTAATTCGAGACAAAAGAAGGAGCCACATTCGGAAAGCACAGGTACGCGTGGACTTCTCGCTAATATCATCCTTCCACTGATGACAATACAGTACCAATGGGGCTGGGATTGGGGACCCGTATTAGTGACGGCGGGACCTTACATGCCGATCTATCTGGAAACGTACTCTGCGAGACTCGAGGATGTCTACATCACTACAGAACTAGCAGAGGATCATTCGACCGCCACGCTCACGATTGCAGTGCAAGCAGCTGGACCACCTGCCAAGGTAGCCAAAGTCAGCATTCTCGATCAAGCACTTTCACAAGTTTCCGATGAGCTCGAAATCGCCTTGGACGATTCGAAAAAGGGTTCTGCCACGGTCACGATAACAGACCCCAAGCTCTGGTGGCCCAATGGTCAAGGCGCACAGCACTTATACAATGTTTCGGTGTCTCTTATGGATGGATCATCGAGCCAGCTTGATACAAAGACCATCCGGTATGGCATCCGGACTATCAAAGTGATTCAACGCCCTCTCGATAATGCGCCGGGCAAGACATTCCTCTTCAACGTCAATGGCCGCGACATCTTCTCCCAGGGGGGCAATTGGATCCCCGGGGACAATCTATTGCCTACTATGACCCGTGAAAGATACTTTGACTGGGTTCGACTCTCCCAATACCACCATCTGAATATGATTCGCGTTTGGGGAGGCGGCATTTACGAGACAGAAGACTTCTTCGATGCCTGCGACGAGATGGGCATGCTGGTCTGGCACGATTATGCATTTGCTTGTGGCGACTACCCCGTCCACAAGGAATTTCTGGACAGCGTCAAAGCTGAGGCCGAAGCACAGACTATTCGAATGCGCAACCGCGCCTCACTAGCCCTCTTGTGTGGCGACAACGAGGATTTTGGGATTCAGGACTTTTTTGGGGAGCCATACGATTTTAAGGACCACGAAGGACCCTTTGAAAATAGCACTTTCCCTGCACGGAAGATTTTCCTCGATGTCCTCCCCAAGCTCTGTGAGAGACTCTGTCCTGCGATTCAGTACTGGCCGTCATCACCTTGGGGGGAGGAGGGCACAAACGCCAGTGACACCACATTCGGCGACCTCCACCAGTGGGCGGTGTGGCACGGACCACAGCACGCTTACCAAAAATATGGAGAACTTTCCGGTCGGTTCGTCTCCGAGTTTGGCATGCACGGTTTCCCGATCATGCGTACTGTCGACGTCTTTGCGCCTGATCTGAAGGACCGTCACCCCCAGTCTCGCACCATCGACTGTCACAACAAAGGTCACGGCGCGGAGACACGTATCGCTCGATACTTGTCAGAAAACTTCCGATATGACATGAAGCTCGACAATTTCGCGTACTGTTCGCAACTCTTGCAGAGTGAGGCTTATGGCTATGCGTTGCGCGACTGGAAACGCAAATTTGGCGGCAAAGGTAAAGAGGAGTGCGCAGGTGCCATCATCTGGCAATTGAATGATGTCTACCCAGTAACAAGCTGGGCGTACATCGACTATTATCTCCGTCCGAAACCTGCCTTCTATACGATTCGACGGAACTTTGCCCCGATCAGCGTTGGCATTGAACGCACACCTCGCTCTCGCTGGATAGACGAAGACAAGCCGAAGGATTCATATATCCCCAACTTCGCCCTCTTCGCACATAATACAACACCAGCCGAGGTTAAGTGTACCCTGCAGCTAAGAGCATACGATCTTTATGGTGGAAAGGAGGTTGAATTGGACTGGACGGGCGTGAGCTCGGAGGTGACCCTGTCAGCCGGTCACAATACCGAGCTTGGGAGCCTGAAGCCGCATGCGTCGTGGACTGAGGAAACTCTGGTCATTCTTGACGCCAGCCTCCTCGACCCATCAACGAAAAAGGTGGTGGCAAGATTCACTGACTGGCCTGAGCCGTACCGATACCTGCAGTGGCCCGTCGACACCAAAGTGACAGTTTCCGTCCAGAACATGAAGAATGATCACACCAATACCTACATCAGTGACACGCACTTTGAGGACGTAGTGACAGTTACTGCTAACCAGCCAATCAAGGGCTGTTGGCTTGAGCCTGTGTATGACGGAAATGAAAAACAGGACGAGCCCGAACCACTCTGGGAAGACAACATGTTCGATCTATTGCCAGGACAGGAGATCGAGGTGGCAGTAAAGGGTCTCCGAGGAAGGAAGGTCAATGTGCGATTCCTGGCGGATTGGGAGGTTGGGCCTGCAAAGGCACATCTTTGAAGGCGACGGTAGACTGGTATTCCTTGTCGTCTTTGTTGCGGAAACGGACGTGAAGGTTTAGAGGGTTGGAACGATACACAAGGTCTACACATGTCGATATGTGCGAAGGCAAGAGGCATACAATAGACACTACTTACAAGTAGGCTTTCTGGATCAACGAACTAGATTAGTTATTCAGGCCAATGTCAAATGAAGATAGTTTTAGGCAGAAGTCTTCTGGGTTGAATATGTCCAGTCTTTCTCGTTCAAACACAATCAGGAAATCTCAGAGTCGATATAGATCGTCAAGGTCTGACGGATGCGGCTGCTCCAGGCCATCGTTCCCGCCATATCATTTCCCACCAACATCAGCCCGGATGCTTTCCAACAGGACGTCAAGTCTCTTCTCCGCCTTTTCCCACTGCTCTTGGACAACCTGCGCCCTCTCCGGGGATCTCACTTTGAACTCGGCCTTGAACGGCATGGGCTTGGAGTTCAGTCCCTGCGTGAAGGCGAGCGGGTCAACCTCGCATCTTCTCCTAACATCCACTCTCTGGCCCCTGTCGTCGATCTCCGCCACAGTCTCATATGCGTGGGTGATGTCAAACGCCCAGAGGATGCGCACCATGTTGATGAAGAGACTGTTGCGCGCGAGGTGCTGGCCCGTGCAGATCCGCCGGCCGAACCCAAACGGCGCGAGCGGGAGGGAGGGGTCCTCGATCCAGCGGTCCGGGTTGAAGGTGTCCGGGTCCCGGTAGACGTCCTCGTCGAGGTGGATGGACCAGTGGTTCCCGATGACCGTCGCACCCGCGGGGATGTGGTAGCCGAGATACTCGTCGTCCTGGATGACGGCGTGCGGGATCCCGCCCGCGCTGACGGGCCGCCAGCGCAGGATTTCCTTGATCATGGCGTCCATGTAGGGCAGCGCCTCCTTGTCCTCGAAGCCCGGGTATCGGTCGCCTACTTGGCCGTCGATCTCGGCCTGCGCCTTCTTCATCACGTCGGGGTACACGAGCATCGCCAGCGTGAAGATCTCGAGCGCCATGGACGTCGTGTCGCTTCCGGCCTCGTAGATGATGCCGACGTCGTATGCCAGCTCCTTGGTCGACATCTCCCGCCCCTCTTTCATGCCCGAGACGTGCTTGGACCAGTTCCACGACGCCGAGTTGAGGCCCTTGGTCATGTTGTCGATGCAGAGGGTCGACTCGAGCTTGTGGAGCCGGTCACCGAGCCGCCTCCATGGGGCCAGGAATTTGGGGAGGTAGTTTAGGATGGGGACCGCGTCGACAAGCCAGGTGCCGACGCGGGCGGCGTAGAGAAAGTTCTTCATCACCTCGTCAATGGCCTGGATTTCCGGCTCGTCGCCGACCGGGAGGCGTCGGCCGTACGCCAGCGCGAAGATGACGCTCGACGAGTACCGATGGTAGCGGTCTACAAAGTCCACCCCTGGGGACAGGAACTCGTACAGGAGCTGCTTGCTCTCGAGGTCCTGGACGCCGCGGTAGCTCTGGGAGACGCGGACGTTGAGGTACGAGGCCTGCAGGCGCTGGTGGTTCCGCCACTGCTGCCCGTAGGGCATGAGCAAGGTGCGCAACCCGCGGCTGAGACACTCCCCGCCCATGACTGCCCTGGGCCGCGAACTGTAGATGTGGCTCCGCTTGTTCAGCAGCTCGTGCGCCGCCTGGTGCGTGCCCAGCATGATGATCGTGTTCATGCCGTACTGCAGGCTGAACACGGGCCCGTACTGCTTCGTCCATTCCTGGTACACGCGCCACGGGTACACCTGGGGCGCTTGGTGCAGGTTGCCGATGATCGGGAGGCGCGGAGGGCCCGGTGGGAGACGGCGGCGTAACTTGTAGGACTGGACGAGAAGACGGCCTAGCCAGAGGAACAGTAGGACGAGAACGCACGCAGCAACATGGTCAAGATTTGTGATCATGGTGGGAGACGGACACGCATAGCCTTTCAGTGATAGAGGCAAGAAGATCAGGGGGTGGATTCCAATGAGTCGGTCGGGTCTACCGACGAAGGGATCAAGTCAAGCTTCGCCATGGTATAGTCCTCACACACACGAGAGGCATTTTATACACGCACATCCGCGCACAGGGGACATCCTCAAGTCGGGACTCGGAGCCCGGTGAATATGGGGGAAGGGGGAAGCGAAGAGAGTCCGCATTTTCCACCCTTTGCAAACCTTGACTTGGATCTGCAACGTAAACAACACTCTGTAGGCGGAGGGCGACCACGAGATTGTTCACCTGTTGGTCCGGTGAGCGACCGTTCGGGGCTTTACTGCCGTCCTGTTGACCCAGTCGATCACCTCTCTGGTCACCGGACTCTTGGCTCGATCAGTTAGTTCTGGGAAGGACGCCAGTTTTACGATAACGTATGTTGTCGATCGAACAGAGGCAAGGCAAAGAAAAGGAAGTGAGTGGTTGGCAAGTTGCTGGTGTTACCTGGGGCACCTTCCACCCCGGACTCTTTACCCCAGATGTTGCGCTCTAAGTTCCCCCCACAAGTGGATCCCTCGGTGCCAAGAAGCCGAACTCCGAGACGGTCCTCTGCCACCATTTCGTTGTGCCGTTGGGAACCAGTGATGCGTATTGATATGACGTAGAGGGATTTGTGCAGCATGTGTGTGAATGTGAGAGAGCTGGGTAACGCGAAGTCTGCAGGTTACGTAGCTTGGGGTCGAACCTGCCTCTGCGAGATCAAATTGACAGTCGCGGATCCCTTCGACTACTCGCTCCCAACTACTGGCGAAATTAACCATTGTGAGCAAAGATATTCATTCTCAAAACGCAAGACACTATCTACTCCGTCCTTCAAAAGTCCTCCGGCAAGCCCCGCCGCCCGATTTCGATCCTGGTCTTGATGCTCCTGTGGTCCTCTCCCGCCTTGAGCCGCTGGATCAGATCCTCCGGATCAAAGTCCGTGCCGATGGGGTTCTCCCTGTACAGCGGCCCTGCCATGAACGCGTTCGCCTCGTCCACGGTGTCGAAGTTGTCGACCTGGGTCTCGACCCGGTTGCCGTCGGGGTCTCGGTAGTAAATGCTGGTCGTGGGCCCGTGGTTGGTGCACCAGCACGGCACCATCCCCAGGGCCTTGCGCTGCAGGTACGCCTCCGTGAGGTCGTCGAGCGTCGCGAACGTGAAGGCGATGTGCTCCAGGCCCGCCGAGGTGGGCACCTTGGGCCCCGTGCCGGGCACGTTGATGATGGCGATGCGGTGGTGCTCAGCGTCGTAGCGCAGGAAGGCCAGCTGGTCGTCCTTGAAGGAGATCTCGGCGCCCAGGAACGTCCGCCAGAACTGCACCATGGGCTCGTAGTTGGACGTGCGTAGCACAACGTGTGCCAGAGAAATGGGCGACCTGACTTTGCTTTTTGGTGCGTGGTTCACATCGTGGCTGGTGATACCATTTGTGGTGCCGTTGTGATCCGCCGACATCGTAGTTCAAATTGGGGGAATACAAAATTCTGCAAGTAAGCCTTGAGTAGGGCTGAGATAATGGTTGAATAAATAAGCTGGTGTCGGTAAGGATCTGGAAGTTGGTCTTGTTATAGCTCTTCAGGCCCTTCTTTTATGTTCTTAAGGCGTCCGAAAACTTGTCACCACTTTCGAGCGAACGGACAATGCTGATTTCATGGTTCTCGTACGAGATGTACGAGACGTTCCACAATGCAAGGTTCATTCCCAACTGTGTCTGGGTCCAGGGGGCATCTCGGTGACGAGAAATCGAGTTCCCCGAATGCCGACGTCGAAAGTCTGGAAAGCGGGATACGACATTCTACCTTGGACGGCCGTGCAACAAGGCAATCGAAAATCTCCAGAGACATCAAGCCATGGACATTGCTCAACAGAGCGCACACGCATCCGTGACTTAAGGTTGACACATGGACGAATTCTTGACATGTTTCCATATGCATCCCATTCGCCGTCGTAAAATTCCCTGATAGGGTTAGTCAAGTGTAAATAGTGCCTTGGCGCAGTGCTACCATCTCCTACTCCACCACAGCGTAATCGCCCTTGCATTGCTCCCTCCTTCCCCAATCAATTGACCGACAACTATATCGACTCCTCAACAACGAGCTGCGGAAGATCTAGCAACGCAGCAAATGCGGCCTCCAGCTCTTGGCCATTAGCCTTTGACGGGCCTCGCGATCGCCAGGCAATGAAATTATCCGGTCGGACCAAAATCGCACCCCCGTCCTCGAGCTGCTTCACCCGCTGCCACTGGTCTGTTATATCCCTCGGAGACTCACCAACTCGGGCTGTCTGGATAGGAATCTTGTACCGAATCACCAATCGCTTTACAGCTGCCGTCCACTCAAGCCCATTGTCGTCAGCCAGAAGCAAAAATGACCCTTTAGGTCCTACCAGATCCTGTGTGGACAAGACACGGTCGTCCAGAACCAACCATGCATGAGGCAGGCGGTGCCCTGGCCGAGTTGTCGGAAGATATTTCTGGCCAAGAGGATCTATCTCTGGAGCTTTGGTGCCGTCTGCGATCTTGAGGCCATCCTCGTACGTGAACCCAAGCTCGATCCCGTGTGCTCCAAATTCGATGCTTTGAGATTCAATCATTTTCTTCACCTGGGCTTGGATGCTTCGTCCGGTCAAAGAATCCTCGAACATCGCCTCGAATCTAGACAAGTTCTTCTCCTTTTGCCCGGCAACTAAGCCAATTGCCGCGTTGATCACAGCCGAGTTCTCAAACGTGAACAAACCCCAATCGGCATTTCTTTTGCCGACTGGTCGTCGCTCCGGCTCATAAGTGTTGAGGATCTTGGTGTCCACGTTGTGCTTGAGTACCATGGCCAACTTCCAAGATAGATTGAGTGCGTCTTCTATCGCCGTATTCAGGCCTAGTCCGGTGGTTGGAGGGCGTCGGTGAGCGGCATCGCCAGCAAGGAAAATGCGGCCTACGCGATACTTGTCTGCGACCACGCTCTCGATGATCCAATGACTGATTCTGTGGACTTTGATCTCGAGATCTGGAATCTTGAGTAGGTCGCGGATTCGAGGAACCAGTTTGTCCTCCTGGTGTCTTGCTTCGTCGTCCAGTGCGAAGCCAAAATGCATGACCCATTCTTCCGATTGCCGGCCCCAGGTTGGGCCCATGGGGACTATAGCTCCACTCTCAAAGATCGTTCCGCATTCGCCGTTTATGAAGTGGCAGGCAAAGAATGTTTCGTCCCAGTACTGGGAAAGGTCTGCTCCGAAGTGAACAGAGACCATGTCCGTGATTCCGGTCTGACCTTGCATAGTGACACCGATCTTGTGCCCAATGGTACGTCCACCGTCAGCGCCAATGAGATATCGGGTCCGATAAGTGGAGATATTCCCGGTTGCGTCTTGGACGGTGACCTCGACGTGCTCATCGGTGTCGTGAAAGTCAACGACGGTGTGTCCGAAACAGATACGTCCCGGATTTCTTTCCTCAGCCATTTGCCGCAAGATTGGCTCCATTCTGCAAAGTGGAAGATTGGCCGATCCTTCCGCGCTGTCTCTTTTGTATGCTTGCGCTTTGAGATCACCGTCATCGCCACCAAAGCACGGAAATTGGTGAATCACTTTTCTGTCCAGAGGTCCATTGCCTCCGAGCGAGGTGGCCCATGCAACCTGGCTCATTCGGTAGGGAGGGCAGCTTCTCTTCCGGATTTCTCTGTGCATGTCGTGCAACCTGAACGTCTCCATGGTTCTCTGATTGAGATAATGTGCCTTTGGCAGAGCCGAGGCCACGACCTTGCGGTCAAACAGAATGTGCTCGACGCCATAGTCAGAGAGGAACGACGACATCGACAGGCCACATCCTCCACCTCCGACGATAATGACGGGGAAATCCAGATCTCGAGTCATTTTGCGTCGTGTCGAACAAACTGTTGCGTTGCCCAAGGAAGACTGCCCTGCAAAATGAGCATCTTGCCTGGACCATTTAACATTACGCCGACCACCCAAATGCCCACAAGTGTTCTGCTGACTCTTCGGCACAGGCGGGTGATTCTCCGATGGGAAAGCATACTCGTATATCGCTGTGGACCCCTCCAAAGCAATCTATACGGGATACCCCACAGCCAAGAACCCGAAGCATGGGGAACGCATGGGTCCATCTATCACCGAGTGCCGAAACGGTATTGCTCCAGGGGCACTGGGATGTTTCGGAAGGGGAAACATGTCCAACGTAGGTCTCGGCTGGGTTTGTTCAACAAGTGATAGAAAGGCGGGCATCATATAGTGAAAACCTACAGACAACCCAGGAGCGAGACCTGTAAGAGAGTCTGCAATCTCACCCAGCAGTTATGAATGTGTCATTGATTTCAATCGCCGGCAAGCTGGTGCTGGCCTCCATCGCAGTTCTTGTTCTTGTGTTTGCTCGATATGCTGCTGCCAGTCGTCGACCTCGAGGATTTCCGCCAGGGCCACCAACATTGCCAGTGATTGGCAATCTGCACCAGTTTCCTCTCAAAAAGCCTTTCATCAAGTAAGTTGATCCGGCGAGAGGCAGCATGGTAGTTGTCTAGCTGTCTAACCCTGCAGATTTCATGAGTGGAGCAAACAGTACGGCCCTGTAGTGGGCCTCAAGCTGGGTCCTCAAAACGTTGTTGTACTGAACAACTACAAGAGTGTGAAAGAGTAAGCTGGAGTCCAGTCGAACCAGACATTTCTTGACTTTATTGCAGACTCTTTGACAAACGTGGAGCTATCTACTCTAGCCGTCCTGATAGTTATGTGGGCAATGAACTTCTCTGTCCCAACGAAACACACATCCTCCTGGCTCCCTATGGTCAGGGCTGGAGGGCCCTTCGGAAGGCAGTCCAGGCCATGTTGAATGTGACGGCCGTGGACGGACTCTTGCCAGTTCAAGAAGCGGAAGCATCGCAAACGTTGTTTGAGCTGATGACGACCCCGGAGCAGTGTTTCACGCACATTCGCCGCTATTCGACCGCGGTCATTCTGGCATCGGTGTTTGGCCAGAGAGGCGCGAGCTACGAGGCCCCCAAGGTCCAAGCCCTCTATCACGCGCAGGAGCAATTCACCGAGATCCTGGCCCCCGGAGCCACACCACCCGTGGATCCCTTTCCGTTCCTCAGATACGTCCCGGCATTCTTGGCCCCTTACAAACGCTGGGCGGCGGAGATTCGACAGGAGCAACGGACACTGTATTCCAACTTGCTCAATGAGACGGTGGCGCGAGCTCGAAGGCAGGACCGGATCCCTTGCTTCATGGACAAGCTCCTGGAAGGGAAAGAGAAGAGCGGGCTTCACGACGAGCAGATTGTATACACCGGGGGGATTTTGGTATGGCTCTCTCTTCGTTTTTTGGTACAAAGTCTAACGCCTGGTTGGAAGATGGAAGCAGGGTCTGATACCACATCCTCAACTCTCCACTCGTTTGTACTCGCCATGATCAAGTACCCCGAGGTCTTGCAAAGGGCACAGAAAGAGCTAGACGACGTGTGCGGGGCCTCAAAGTCACCCAGCTCCCAAGATATCAGGAACCTTCCCTACATGCAAGCAGTCATGACAGAGGTGAGAGACCAGACACGCGTGTGTGACAAGCTTTCGCAATAGAGCTGACCGATATCCCCTATAGACACTGCGATGGAGACCAGTGGCACCAAATGGCGTCCCTCACATGTTGATCCAAGACGACACCTATGACGGCTACTTTCTTCCCAAAGGCACCATCGTGTTTGCCAACACCTGGTCCATCCACCAAGACATATCGGAGTACGACAGACCCGAGGAATTCATGCCCGAGCGGTTCCTCGACGACAAGTTCGGCAGCAAGAGCAACACCCAGACTTCGCGCGACGACGACGAGAATCACCGAAGGGTGACTTACAGCTTTGGGGCTGGGAGGCGCGTCTGTCCCGGCCAGCGCCTCGCCGAGAATTCCCTGGTGAGTTCAGAGTTAAGCTCTATATTTCCAAGCATACATCGAGAGACAAAATCACTGTTGGACCTTTGCACGAGTAACTGACACAAGATCTCCTGCAGATGATCAACATGTCCAAGATGGCCTGGGCCTTTGACATCAAAGCCGACCTGGCGGCACCACCGCTGGACCCGAACGTGGAGACGGGGTACTCTGACGGCTTCGTGTTTGGGCCCAATCCATTCTCGGCCTCGTTTTCGATCCGATCGCGTCAGCACGAGGAGACCATCCGGAGAGAATACGAGGAGGCAAAGACGTTTTTCCAGAAGTATGAAGACTAGGGAGCCCCAGGAGTGGGTATATATATGTTTTAGTTTAGGTGTCACCACCTAGGAAAATGAATACCCCAAAACTGACATTCCCTGTGGATCGAACATTTGTATCTCCTTATCGGAGTCGACCTTGTCCGTCTATCATGGTTCAGTCGCTGCCGTAGTCGACTGCCCGATCCACGCCTGATACTCCTTGATCCTTGGCCCTGCGCCGTTCCTCTGATCCAGCACGACCCTCCCCGCGAAGTCCGTGACGGTGGTCGCGGAACCGCCGTCCTTGGTGCGCGTCTCCAGCCTGCCTGTGAGGACGAGGTCCGCGCCGTCCGCACCCCCCGCGTAGACCTTGTCGACCGTGTGTTTGCGGAAGGTCACGACGTCCCACGCGCGGGCTCGGCTCTTTGCAATTTCTAGACGGTGGACAAATCAGTAAAACCACTCAGGTGGCGAGGCAGTCGGAAGGTAGACGAAAAAGAGAAACAAAATCGGGATATCCCAGGTGGAAAAGGAAAAGAGTAGCCGTTGTGGAATGTAGTTCTGAGCCTCGACCATCTTTTGACCCTAATCATTCCGCCTTGTGCACTTCCGCAATCACAATAAGATCAAGCTGGACAAAAGGGAAAAAAGGGGCGAGAACTCACGCTCCTTGCCCTCGAACGCGCCATTGGCGGAGACGAACCGCGCATCCGGCGTGAAGACCTCCTCCGCCAGCACTACCCCGACGGTGTCGTCCTTCTGGTCGACGAGGTGGAAGAATCGTCCCAACAGGTCCTTGGTCGCCGGAGGGACCGGCGTGGGCGGCCACACGGTCGATGCGGTTGCCGAGTGAGGCATTTTCTTGAGGCCTTCTATCTTGGGCCCACGCACGGTTCGTGGTGTTGATACTGCCACGGGGCGGGGGTGTGGATTTTGATTGATGGCTACCAGGATGGGAGAAGGCAGATACAGATACAGACGCAAAAACACACCGGGAACCACACGGGGAGAGTTTCAACCAGAAGAAGCAAGTTGATGATATACGTTCAAGACGAGACGAGGTGACAGTCCCCAGGTTGGAAGTTGGAACGTCCCCGAACCCGACGTCGGTAATGCTCTGTCGTTCAAAATACAACAAACAACAACCCGTTCCCGTGTAGCCGTGCTCGTAAGATTCCGGGGAGTCTTAGCAGACTCCAGAGTTCTCCGCGAAGTTCTTACAAGCGAGTTTGCGGGCGGCTTCACGAAGGGGACAAGGCCAGCGCAATGGGAGGAGCCTGCGTTTACAAAAGACTGACGACTGATTCGTTGGGTTATGCATCCAGCAAGGGAGACCCCCAGACATGCCCATCCAGTTTTACCCCGGCCAGTGGCGGATTGTCCGGGAAACAACTGGCCTCCCTCCATTGCTTGCGAGGAGCTGAAAAATGGGGGACGGCATAAGGCACTGCCAAGTCACCGAACCCCGAAGCCGGAGAGCAGCTATTGCAAAGCATTCCCTTCGAGAGTCGAGAACATGCTTTGGTGCCAAAAGCTTCGAGATCCTGATTCGACATCTCACAATAGCCTTTGGGCCTTGTTTGCTAGGATCATTCCCTCCCCTCCCCCATCAGAACCCGATCTCTCGATTCATCAGCGCTTCGTCGGAGAACACGGAGGAGAACACGCTCCAGTCGTCAAGGTTGAAGTCCTGGCTGGCGCAGAAGATATCCTTGGGGGGCGAATGTCAGCAGGAGCTAAAAACAATGTGGCGGGTGGACACAGGCCAGTGACTTACCCCGAAAGGAATGTCCACGTCGTTGGCGAGGCTGAAGCCGTCGTCCGCGCTCGTGATCGCGGGGGCATCGGTCTTCGAGGCCTTGTTGACCGTCTGTCGAGCGACCGTGGCAACGTCGCGGGCAAAAGGAAAGTTGAGCTCCGAGGACGTGATGAATTCCATGTGTCCAAAGTAGCCGGCGGCCACGTCGAGCAAGGCCACGTCAGATCGCGCGGAGGGCAGAGACGGGAATTTGAGAATGTGGATGAAAAGATTGATCAGCCCAATCATGGGGTAGTAGAAGGTTGGCCTGTGTCGGTCAGAAAGCACTACGTAATTATTGTTCTGCTCTGCGGGCGAGCAATGATCGGTCATACGCACCATTGGATCGATGCACCGTTGATCTCCAGGCTTCTCGCGATGATGATAATGTTCCTCGCGGCCTCTGCAACCGTATTCGAGCTGAAGATCACTTGGTCTTGAGTAACAACACCCCTGCCGTTCCCAAAGATGGTGCTGTACACCCACGGGTAGGCGAAGATGGTGTGTATCGCCATCAGGCTCCCGTAGTAAGCGCAATGCATCAGGATGGTAGGGAGATACCTGGCGTCGCGGGAGGCCTGAAAGGACCTGAGGCGGTCGTCGGGTCTCAGTCCTGGCGGAAGAGAATCTCTCCATTCGTGCAGCTGGTGATCTAGTTGGGCTACGGTTTCAAGCAGAGTGCTCGGCGGCTGTTGGAAGGCCTTCACCGACATGAGTCGCTTGGAGATCTGAGAGGAGATCTGGGCATGCCGGATAAGATATGTGAATGCCTCCACGTCAAGAGTGCTTCCAGGGCAGGCCTCGGACGGGATCTGACAGCTAATCTCGTCGTCGTCGATGGCCTAGACAAGACACTAGTTAGCGCGTGAAGAAAGCTGAGTAAGAGTGGTGGTTCATGACTTACAGACGGTCGTCCAGAGCGGTGAGCAATATGCTTCTCGCAGCAGTATATAGCCCAGAACAGCCAACTATAGTGTAGCTCATCATGAGCAGCCACGTTCCAAGCTTTGGCTGGTCGCCGATGTAGTCCTTTTGCCTGAGCCACTCGCGCCGCGCTGGCACAGAACATATACTCAAGGGCGGGATTGCCGAGCCCTTCAGCGAAAAATGCCTGCCACATGTGGTCAGATGACACTCAACAGGAAACATTCGGGCCTCTCTACCATTGCGACCAGGGCGCGAACAGCGAGCAAACCTGTGGGAGTGAAAAGCAACTCGATGAGGACGGACATGGCGCTCTGAAAATAGCTCCATGCCTCAGTCTGGATCTCTGTGAAACTCATCGACGTGTTTTTGGAAAGGTAGATGCGACATCCTGAGGCGTACACGGTTTTGCGCAAGGCAAACCAGGCGGCGTCGTCGCCTGACACCAGATCTCCACGGAAGTGGGCTCGAAGAGCGCTTTCAAACTCGGGTCTGTACACAATGCCGAGAGTCGAGTCGAACGAATCCTCAAAGTATGCTTTTCCAGCATCTTGTCAGCTTTTGTATGAGAAAAACAACAACAACAACATCACTTGCCATTACAATATTTCCACGCAGTCTCGGGATCAGGCTCTCGGTGTTGGGTGCATGTGATTTTGTTTCGATCCAATGTCAAACGCCTCGTCCACGTGGATACCAATTCTCTGGCACTATTTTCAAAATCTGGCACCCCGGTTCTTTGTGCAACCCAATCTAGACCTGGCCTTGAGCAGACCGATAGCCAGGAGCCCGGGCCTGTGCCAAAAAGTCAGATGGAAGTTCCCGTGTTTAGATGTAACGGTGCATTACCATGATGTTCCCAGTTCACCTCGAGAGCCGTTAGCACGCGCGAGAATTGTCCCAAGGGGTGTATACTTACCACCTGCGGAGCAAGAATAGTGGCCTCCTTGTCTACGTTTGTAGCGTCAGAGTCCTCCTTGGACCCAACATGCCTATCTGGAAAGGTTTCCGCGGACTGTTGCACCGTTTCCGCCAAATTTGGGTTGGTTGAATTGGATGGATTCTGATACGATGGCGCAGCTTTTTGTGGCACAAAAGACATCAAGGCAGGGTTTTCGAGCAACAAGGTCTCTATGCCCATCGACCGAAGATGCTGGGCCTCGTTCCAGGTGGATGTTGTTGCGTCTACATCGTTCCTGACGCTTCCAAGTTGTGGCCCGAGTGTCTGCGTCACCAGAGTGCTCTGGCTACTGACACTGCCAGGATGAGCGGTGTCAGACACCGACGGAGATGTTCTGTTCTGGTTCTGGATCATGGCTTCCATCCGAGCTATGCGATCCTCCAACGAAGTGTCTAGGCTTTTGTCGTGCTTTCGTCGCCCCCGTCGAGATTCGGGATAGACACATTCTGCTCGAGAAACCTGCATTGACTTCTGAGAACAGACTCCTGTTTGGTAGTGACTTGGGTAGAGTACCTGGCACTTGGCACACGGGCTTCCTCCGTCGCCTGGGAGAGTTTTGAATCCGTGTCAGCCTCCGCTGCATCACAACCGAACAGCTGGGGCAAGCATACATTTGACCTTCCGCGCGCGACATTGGCCGCACGCGTGAGCCTTCTTTGGCAACTCCCGTTGACCTACCATCTGCAAGCTTGTTATTGCTCCAGGTTTGTGCTGCCTATGCCGGAGGAAGTGACTATTGTAAACGTGGAGAAAGCGATATTGAGACCTCACAACCTGCCCTGGCACCGGGGGTTGTACAGAGTATATTGCGGGGCACCGGGGGTATAATAGACGCCCCTATCACCATCCGAAAAGAGCATGTGAGCCGAGGGAAGGTAAAGCGGCCGGCGGCTAATCGCGGCAGGAAGATATGGGGAGATTTTCCTCTCATCAACGTCTTTCCTTGCTCTATATCTGAGGCCGCGCCAGTCACACCGCGAATCGATTGGTCCCTTTACACTTCAATGACAACATGTACTCTAGAGGTCAGTTTGATGGCCTCTAACAAACCCTCTCGCTGACGAGCATAGCCACAAGCTGCGTGTCTTCCAGTCACTGCTCTCAGGTCAGTCCTGGTTGACGGAGAATTGCTGCTTCTTGCGGGGCAGGGTCCCTTTCTTCACATCTACAACGAAAGCGGATTCATCATTGCGTCTACACGGATCTTTGAGATTCAACCAGTCTGTGGGATTCAGATCGATTCGCACAATGCAGGCCAGGCCCGCAGTCAGTACCGGTGGATCGTGCTTTGGGGAGGGGCGTTTTGTCGAACCGCCTTGTTGACGTTGGAAAAGTGTGACCCTGCTCTGTCACATGCGGTGGTCGAAATCAGTGTTTCGAGACAATTGAACTGCAGAGATTGGATTCTAGACGCTGCCTTTCACCAATCCACCATCTTCCTGCTCACTGCACACAACCAGCTTCTAGAAGTGCCCCTTCGCGAGAATACAGAGGAAAGAGCCCTGCCATATGGGAAGCCGGCCCCAGTGATTGGCCCAAGGTCATTCCTGTACTCCGGCTCTCTTGCTGTCACCAAACCTGGGCTGATTATCGTGGCTTCGGGGACAGTCTTTGGAGAGATTCTAGTCTGGACTTGCTCGAGGGAAGAAACCCTGGGTCAGTGGTCCACGTTACTAAGACACGTCTTCAATGGCCATCGGGGCTCCGTTTTCGGTGTGTCTATCTCTGACGTCCTCGAGCTGGGGGCTACGCACACTCGCTTGTTGGCGAGCTGCTCCGATGACCGCACGGTAAGAGTATGGAATATTAGTGACTGTGACTGTACGCAAGACGACTCGAGCAGCAGCATGGAATCTGCTGAAACAGGCTTTGGACGTGCCAGTGGACGCGGCGAGACCCAGATTGCGTCCGCATGGGGCCACCTCTCCCGCATCTGGGACGTTGAATTCGTCCAAGAAAAGGTATCCAACAACAGAAATTGCATCTCCCTTTTATCCCGAGGTGAGGACGGTGCCTGCCAGTTGTGGACCATCGAGCTGCATACTGGTACTCGGCCGGAGATGCCTTTGACGGCGCTTCTAAGACCGGAGTCGAGTGATCGGCATCACTCTGGGAAAAATGCATGGTCTATGACATACGTCAATGACGGCCGAGGCTTGTTTGTCCAAACTGGCGGTGCTGATGGACAGATAATCTCCAGACGACCCAACGTCTCCCGTGCGGGCCTGGCTTCATCTGCCACCCACTCGATACCCTTCAAAGACATTACTGGTTCCTCAATGTCCCTCAAGCATTACCTGTTTCTAAACTCGCGTGAATTTCTAGCGGGTACAGATCAAGGCGACCTGTTTCGACTGACCGCCGACCATGACAAGCTGACCTGGGTCAAATTGATGTCGGGTCCTGGCAAAGGTGGCCTTGTGCTCTGCCCAGCTGGAAGCCTACAGCTGGTGCTCGTTGCGTATCAGAGTGGTGGGCTTTCGGCGTTGCTCACCAACAACGACTCTTTGGTACCCGTTAAATGCGACCTCGAATGTGCAATCTCTTGGATACGGCTCGCCTCTCTACAGTCGACAATTTTACCTGCGTCGACAATTTGCGTTGTTGCCATGTTGGCGAACAAGAAGGCAGCCATCCTCTGGGTGAGCATTGAAGACGATTCAGTTCTGGTGAGACAAACACCGCTGAAAACACCAGAAACCTTTACCATCACATCTTGTTGTTACGACAGCGCAAGCGAGGTGTTGGTTCTCGGTTCCCGCGCCGGTGCACTTGCCATTTACTCTCATGTAACGTCTCAATCAGAAACATCCGGCGAACCGTCATGCCTCCGGCATGCCCATGACACGGATAGCGTTACTTCGATCACTATTTTGCGGAAAGGTGTGGAATCTTGCACAGAGACAATTCATGTTCTGACGACAGGCCGCGACGGCATCTATGCAATTCATCGTGTCAAGTGGCCATCATCCACAGACAGGGTAGAGCCGATTATGGTGGCCGTCCACAGGTCTGCACTTCCGTTCGGCCCCAACATTGAGGATGCTTTCTTTACGTCACCTGAAGGATCATCACCTGCAACAGAGCCAGATTTGGTTCTCTATGGCTTTCGTTCGACGTCCTTTGTCGTCTGGAATGAAACACAGCAGTCTGAAGCGTTGTCTGTCGAATGTGGCGGACCACACCGGAGCTGGGCGTTTCGGGACTCTTCTGTGTTTTGCGACGGAGTCACCAAATCCTTTGTCTGGACCAAGGCTGGCAGGTTGAACTGGCACTCGGCCCAGGGTTCCAGCCATAAAGTGATTCAAAAAGGGGCGCAGGGGCGCGAGATCAAAGCCATGGCCCGTAGTCCGTTGTCCTTCGATCAGCTCAAAACCCAACACCACCCTCACATTCTCATAGCTACAGGAGCCGAAGACACCAACATTCAACTTCTTGCTATATCGCGTGCCGCAAAAAATGGTCACCAACCAAATGGGGATTCTGTATCGCATAGCTCCTCTATGTTTCGTGCGGTTTCCACTCTGAAGCGACATACCACAGGCATCCAATACCTCCAATTCTCACCATCTGGAGGATACCTCTTCAGCAGTGCTGGATGCGAAGAATTCTATGTGTGGAAACTCAGCTTTGACGTCCCTGGCATTGAAGCAGGAGTCGTGCTGTGGGACATGATGCCAACTGAGGAAGAGGATTCGGATGCACGGATCATGAGCTTTGATTTGCGATGTAGTGACTACGGAAACAAGAACGCAAGTGAAGAATACACTATCGTGATGGCATATTCGAACGGAAAGGCAAAGGTGGTACGTTACACACCTGCTCCCAGCAGAAATGAAGCGATGTTCGAGACGCTGCGGGAAATCAGGTACGGCTCGTTCTGCGTCATGAAGGCTTTCTTCCTCTCGTCAAGGGTCGTCTCTGCTTCGGACTTTCGATATGATGAGCATCAGATCGGAACATTGTCGGCCGGCACAAACGGATATCTGAACCTCAGTCTTCTGGATTCCCGCTCTGTTTCTGACCAGTTGGCTGTTTCCCCGGATGCAGAGGGACTGTCACGGATGGAGGTCCATAGGGTGCATCAGAGTAGCGTCCTTGCCATGGACGTGGTCTCCCTCAGCCAGAAAACTTATCTCATCGCGACGGGTGGCGATGACAACGCACTAGGTTTGACATTGCTGACCCCGGCGTCTTCATCCTCGATCACTTTCGAAGGAGAGACTCACGCAGAAAGACAATCAGCTCACCACTTTCGAACGATCATCATCCCTGCAGCCCATGCCGCCGCCCTCACGGCCTTGAAGACCACGAGCCCACGGCCCACCCAGAAGGGTTATTCAGTCATGGTGGTGACGGTGGGAAACGACCAGCGTGTCAAAGTTTGGGATGTCCATGTCGACGCGAAGAGAGACGATGACCCGGTTGTTCCACGTGTCGAGGATGATGAGCTTTTTGAAAAGGTCCAGGTCAGACTTGTCGGTGCTGGGTGGACAGCGGTTGCAGACGTCAGTGATCTGGAGATCATTGAAGACGATCATGGGACCATGGGATATCATGACGAGGATGGTAGGAATGGAGAGGATGCATTTAGGGTTCTGGTAGTCGGTGTAGGCATGGAGCTGTTGAGGGTCAATTGTGGAGGAGACGGCATCTCCTCCAGGACGCACAAACCAGGACGTACCTAAAAGGTAGAAAAAAGAAATCATAGTCCAACCTCGAGTGCCGACTTTGGTTTGAATGGCTGGATAGCCAGATTGTCACGTAGGTTCCTCAGGGGCCGGCAGCCTTGTAAGTCCAGTAGCCATACGTTGCTCGCAAAGATGGGGCCGATCGTCTCACACTTGAGTAAGTAATACCCAAAAGCAGGGCAGCTGGTGCCACGAAGCTCAGGTTACATTGCAATGAACCTGGAGACGATAGACAGCATTTGGAACAGGAGAAGTACCAAAAGATATTTCATGGTCGTGGTGGCGGCGCCATTTCCAGTGATAATAGAGGGTAGCTCATGGTTCTCGAAATCTTGGGGGGCAAAAAGATTCCCTTACAAGGACACACAGCCCTTCTCCCCTGGGTTGTACTTTATACAGCAGAACCGGCAAAAAGAAGAAGCAAAAGAATAGTTCCTATGGGGATCGAACCCATGACCTTCTCCGCTGCCATTCCCTGTCTCTACAGTAGAGAGACGGGGTGTTGTAAAGGAGATGTGATGAACCACTACACTAAGGAACTAATTTATCTGTGTGACAAATCAGATCAATATTTCGTGGTGTACAATATATGAAGTATCATCTTGGTATAGAACAGTCGCCCCCCTCTTAGCCGGCGAGCCGGCCACAATCTTCCCCGCATCCCTGCACCTCTCCTCTTCTGTTCTCCAATTCGAACAACCCTCCACCACAACTACCTAGGTACCGTGTTACTCTTTTCAGCCGATTGCAGATGCTTCGATATGAGCCTCGGGGTGGGCAGAAGCTTACGGCATATTGCCTGTGGGCGACTGGTGGCGCGAGATGGGATTTATCAAACCACTGCGGAACCAGTCCCCCACCCCCCTCAACATCACCTCGGCGGTTTGGTGGATGCGTTAGTCCTTGAAATCGTTTCCTGTCTCGTTTTGACAACGGATTCATTATTGACGCCCGGTAACAGGAGTTTATAGATATCACTTTTTCGGCCAAAAGTCAAAAGTTTCGTCAGATCAGCAGATTGGCGACAGGGCGCTTGAGGCAAGAACAGTTTTGATAGACCCAAAGAAGAAGGGCGAAGGAAGAGAAGAAGACCAGGGGAAAAGAACCGTGTTCAGCGAATATGGAATACGATACCTCGACCCTCAATGGCGCGCCCGTCACGGGTAACGTCAAGCATGAAAAGAATACGAGCAGCCCCAATCGAGGTCGCCTCAGGATTCAATGCGACCCGACTGACATCTCCATCCTCAAGGAGCCCGTCACGTTCGTCTTCTCAGGTCGGACTGCGAAGAACAGGTTCCTCAAGGCGCCAATGACTGAAAGGCTGTGCCATTGGAACAAAGAAGGCGAGGATATTGTATGGGCCAATTTTCCACCCCTCGCCGTTTGATATCTGTTGACCAAAACTCCCAGTCAGCCCGAGGAATGCCCAGTCCCGAGTATCTCAACCTGTACCGACGATGGGGTGAGGCCGAGATCGGCATCATCATCAGCGGCAACATCATGGTCCGGTACGACGCCGTCGAGGCATACGGCAACCCCATCCTCGTCGACGATCACGATGGCCGCCTCGCCAAGTTCAAGGAAGTCGTCGACGCCGCGAAGGCGCACGGCTCGCTTTTCATTGCCCAACTCTCCCACCCGGGGAGGCAGGGCGGGAAGTACCTGAATCCGAACCCGGTCAGCGCGAGCGATATCCAGTTGACCATCAAGTGGTCGGGGAACGAGTTCAACAAACCCAGACCCATGACCATCCCGGAAATCAAGGACATGGTGAAAAGCTGGGGCGAGACCGCATATCTGTGCTGGAAAGCCGGCTTCGACGGCGTTCAAGGTAGGCATCCCTCAGCATGATTCTTCGATTTGGCGGACATGAAGCTGAGACCGTCTCTCCGAACAGTGCACTGTGCCCACGGCTACCTGCTAGCCCAGTTCTTGAGTCCCACCACGAACCGCCGCACCGACGAATACGGCGGGGACCTGAACAATCGCTCCCGCATCGTGTTCGAGATCATCGAGGAGATCCACCGGCGCGTGCCGGACCCGTCGTTTATCATCTGCGTGAAGCTCAACTCGGTCGAGTTCCAGGACAAGGGCACCACGCCCGAGAACGCGCGGGACCTGTGCCTGAAGCTGGAAGGGGCGCGCGTGGACTTTGTCGACCTGAGCGGCGGCACGTTCGAGGGCCGGGCGTTCGAGCACAAGAAGGAAAGCACCAAGGCGCGCGAGGCGTACTTTATCGAGTTCGCCGAGATGATCCGGCCACTCCTGAAGAAGACCAAGGTGTACATCACGGGCGGGCTGCGAACCGCGGCGGGCATGGTGAGGGCCGTCGAGTGCGGCGCCTGCGACGGGGTCGGCATCGGCAGGCCGTTTGCGCAGGAGCCGTACTTTGCCAAAGAGCTCCTGGGCGGGAAGGTCACGGGCGCCATCGAGAACTTCTCGCCGTTGCCCCTCAACACCAACTCCAGCGGCACGCAATTACATCAGATCGGCAAGGGGGACAGACTCATCAGTGACTGGAGCGACGAGAGCGAGGTCAAGAGGTGGATGGACGCAGATGAAAAGGAGATCGCCAGGAAGATGAGCATTTTGCCGGTGGTTGACAGTTCGGGCTATCCACCCTTCAAGGCGGAGGTTGGCTTCGCCTACCTGGAGACTTGAGGGTCTGGGGACTGGGACATCCACAAGGATTCCACCGACTGCACCGAAGGAGTTGGACATACACCGTTAGAATACCGTAGACACAAATACACAAATCTGATCGGGGCTGGATGCGATTCGGTTTTTAAGACCTTGTTCATTTGTCGTTCGAATTTTCGGACCGGCGCTCATGCCTGGCCATGTGCCAGCAACAAATCATCTCTATGTCTGATCTGTGCTTCCAGACGCCGGAAATGACCCTCCTGCCACGATCTTCATCCACAGGGCTTCATGCCATTTTGCCGTCTTCAATGGTGCAGAAGCAGCCCTCTCCTTCCGACTGGCTTTCCACCGCCACCACTACCCACAACTTTCCTTCACGCGCTTAGAATTTCTGGAACGACTTGACGGCCTTTCCCGTTCGGGGCAATACACGAAGGACGTTGAATCGGACCTGGAAAATTTCCCGCATTGTTAGTCGTTGCTCCCCTTGAGATGACCTTTCGGCAAAAAGGACCTCAAGGTTGTCTCGGGCACGGCATGGGGGTTCTTACAGTCTTGCTCAAGGGTCTGCACTGGCCCACGGTGACCTGGTCACCCTCTTCCACACGGAAAGCTGGGGAGACGTGTGCGGCGAGGTTCTTGTGTCTCTTCTCATATCGGGCGTATTTGGGGACGAAGTGAAGGTATTCTCGGCGGATGATCAAGGTTCGGTGCATCTTGGTGGAAACGACAGTGCCGGTCAGGATACGGCCTCGAATGGAGACCATGCCGGTGAAAGGGCATTTCTTGTCTGTTGCAAAGGGGGAAAGTTGTCAGAGTAAGTTCACCTCTTTTCGATTCGTGGCAATCCAGCACAGATTCCTTCGAACTTCGAGAAGCAGACAAGGGCAGCGACAATAAGACACCACTAACCAATGTATGATCCCTCAATCGCAGTCTTTGGTGTCCTGAAGCCCAGTCCGACGTCCTTGTACCATCTTCGGCCGCCCTTGCCGACTCTCCTGCTCTTTGCCGCCTTGGATTTGTGGTTGAGGAAGATGTGAGGCTGCTTCTGGTAGGCGCGCTCGGCCTGGACTGTCAACTCGGTCGCCATGATTGCGGTGTGTTGACAGGGAGGAAGTTGAAGTGCGCAAAAGGTGGAATTTTACAATCGGCACGACGCTAGCAACTTGCCTCGACAATTGATGGTGCGCATTCAAAATTCCGCCAAGACATTCGGCGAGCTAGTCCTAGACCGGCCCATGCCACGGCACGTGATGACGCCACAGGCTCGTGTTTACATAACCCTTGCTTGGGTTTAGCTCGTCGCGGTGAAACTGGTGGTGGGGACGCGGATTGGCCTCGACCTGAACCAACATCATTGCGAACATGCAGCATCCTTAAAACGACTTTACAGGTTTAATGTCTGGGTGAGGCGATAAGGCGCTGCAATGGCCGACTCTACCGCAGATCTGAGGTCTAGCAGACCAAAATCCCGACAGTCAATCGCCCATTTGCCGTCTGCGAAGACGTCGTCTTCGAGGGACAATGCGACAACTGACATTGCTGCCCTCCAAGCTCGACATACAGAGGCCAAAACAGCTAAGAAGAAGTCGCGTGGGAAGAGTCTGGGTCCGGGTGGACTTGAAGCCCTGAAGGAGTCTACGGGAAATGCAACAAAGGTAAAGAATCCGGCGTCTCCTGGCAAGGCGCATTTGTTGACTTCTGGCAGGCGACGACACCCTTCCAAATAAAATCAATACTCAAACCATCCATACCCCTGACTCCTCCTAAAGCTATACCATCGTTTGACGAGCTGCGCAAGCGGAGTACAGGCAAAGACAAGACACAAGCGAAGAGCAACCCCGAAGAGCTGCTCATTGATTTCTCAACCCCCGGCCCCAGTGGGCAGAATGCAGGCACAGTCTCGATGTCAGGCGCAGAGAATGTTGCAGACCCATTTAGTCCTATGGTGCGACGATCCCCCAGGAAGGCCGACGGAGCTGGTGGAAGCGCGGAAGCCCTAGAGCGCCAACAGGAAGAAGAGCGGAAGCGCCAGGCAGAGAAGGAGGCTATATTGGAACGCAGAGCTGCGAGGCGGAAATCTCTGGCGAACCGTCGAGTTTCGTTCGCACCAGAGGCGACTTTGCATACGTGGAGCGTGATGGAGCTTGCAGAGGACTCGACGACAAGCTCTGCCTCTAACTCCACGAGAAGACAATCCTCAATGACAGCCGCACAATCACCGATCAAATCGATAGCCTCGCCTGAAAGAGCCGATCCGCCGTCAACCCCTGCTGATCAGATGGAGGAGCCGCTTGTCAAAGAATCCCCCGCAAAACAGAGGGATGCCCACCAAAAGAAACGGAGACGCCGAAGCTCAGGTCTGGCGGAACCTATGCTGGATGCAGCTGAAGATATGTATTCGTCGAGCCCTTCAGGGGACGTCACCACAAATAGTAGTCCCGTTCGCTTCGAGGAAGGTATCGAGTCTTCGGATGAGTCTGACACCGATGGCGATACAGCGATGAGTCTAGAGGATGCCACTTCACACACGGTAGCATCTGAGGACTCCGGATCGAGCACTCCTTCTAGCCTGGAAGAACGTCTGCGGCAGGCTGCCGAACAAGCTGGAACGCGCGGTATAGACTATGACGAGCATGGCGGGGAATTCCCTATGGAGATGGTCACCGGCACCATGACGAACGCCTTTCAAGACTGGGCACAAGGCCGCGCCCATGCAAGCAAAAGCGACGAGGTATACGACCAGGAAAATCCGAACCCAAATATATCCTCGCTACCAGGAAAACATGAGAACGACGCTGAGAACGACGACGAAAGCGAGGATCAGAGTGGGGAGATGAGTATGGATGTCACAAGTGCCGTTGGCGGTATAGTTACAGGCCGATCTCCCGGCAAGAAAGGTTCAAAATCACCTATCGCGCGTCGCCGAAGCAGCATTCGCCGCCGCCGTTCGTCTGGCAATGAATCCATGTTTGACGAGACCATGGACTTTACAGCTATACAAGGAGGGATTATCAGTGCCGGGATTGAAGAAACGGTGAACAGCCGTGTGTCTGATGAAGACATCAGCATGGAATTCACACAAGCGGCTGGAGGCGTACTGAGCGGAGCTATCACTCGCCACTCCATTGTCTCCGAAGAGAGCGATGAAAACGAGACCATGGATATGACCGCAGCTGTTGGAGGGATCTTGCCCCCTATTGAGGAGCAGACCGAGCCTCAAACGGATGTGGAAGAGCAGACCGTGGCTATGGATATGACACGGGCGGTTGGTGGCATCCTCAACAACAATAACCTGGCGATGAGGCAGTCTCCTGGAGATACGGTGCTTCCTTCACCGCGACGCAGACAGGCTGAGCAAACCACCCCAAAATCGCCACCCAAGACACACCAACACAGGACATCTATAGCTTCGGAAACAGGCAGTCCGAGTATTGCTTTGAAGCCACGACTTTCAGGCAGATCCCAGCGGAGCGCGACGAAGGCTGCTGCTACTCCGCAGACCGGACAGCAGCACAGCACACCGGTCAAGTCACAGACGAGAATACAACAGGTCACCCCGTCAAAACAGATCACTCCGCTTCCTGCGCGAGCTGCATCTCCAAACAAAACTCCACTGTCTGCAAATGTTTCACACAGAAGCGCTTCGCCAAAAAAGCTGTTTAAGGCTGAAATCAAATCGAGGACATCACCAGCTTCCACGAAACGAAACGCACTGTTTTCACCAGGTAATCAGACTCCCAGTGTCGTCCTGAAAGCACCCAAATCACAGAGCGCCCGTCGACGGTCAAGTGGGATTGGCATTGACAAGGATGGGATTGGCTCTCCGCGAGTTACTGAACTCCTGGACCGACGATCCTCGATTGGAGACGCCGCACCTCAGTTTAAGCTTGTTAGTATTGAGCCTACAACGCTGCGTTCTGAAGACCCCCAACAACTTGCGCAAGACGTCGAAGCTGAAAGAGCAGAGGAGCAGCGCCGAGAAAGCGGCAGGTTTGTCATGGAGCAAGAAGCAGACGAGCCTCAAGACGAGAATGTGACTTTGCAGCTCAAAGATATGATCGAGTCGATGACGCCGCAGAAATCGAAATCTGGCAAGCTCAAAGGTAGGAAGAGCCTTGCGGTTGGAGGTGCCAAAGGCCTCCTAGGGAAGAGGCCTGCAGAACTCGATATGGACGATGATGATGAGGCCGATTCGACCCCGAAGCGCTTAAGAGTGGTTTCGAGGGAGGGCAGCCCAGTTAAAAAGGTTCATCTACCGAAGCCACCTACCAAGGACGAAACAACTGGCAGACTCGGCACTAGACTTCAGAATTCACTGCAAGAGATGGCTGACAATGACAATGCGACCCCAAGTCTCGGAGCACCATCGCCGAACAAAAGCACTGTTGCACCTAGCCCAGCGACCACGAAGCGCTTCAAAGATATCAAGGTCAACGGCGAAGCAAGACCAGAGTCGTTCGAGGACAAACTTGACAATGTGGTTGGAGCTATTGACATTTCCACAGTGCAGATGGAAGAAGGATCGGCCCGGAGTGAAGAGGACAAGATCTCTCTTCAGCAGTTTTTGAACATGACAAATATTCACTTCATCGAACTGTCAACCACAAAAAGGAGGCACACAATGGCACAGTCGATGCCCGCCTTAGGATCCCAGGCAAGTATGGACGGCAGCGACACAGTGGACGACTTTGTTGCGGCAGCCACCACATTGCCGCTCCTTGAACTGTACCAGCATGCGACGAGGGAACTCAAGTCCTACATCTCTGCAGGCCGCAAGATCATTCGCTCCATTGAAGCAGAAACCCTTGCTGACCAGCCACCACTTTTCCGGGAATACGTCGATGCTCGCCCAGACGTAAAAATAGTGATGGATAACCAATTCCGCAATGGCAAGGCCAATGCTCGCTTGCAGAGCAAGGAGGGATGGTATCAATGGCGAGCACAACTAGTAGAAGGCCTCAAAAACGGGCTAGAGGGTATCGACCAGGGCATACAAGCGGACCTTCGGCTCTTGCGGCAGCAGCAACAGACGCTGGATTCTGTGCTTCCCCGGCTGAATCAAGAACGAACTGGACTCGAAGGCCGGAGGGCATCGCTACAGCAGAGCCTGGAAGAACTGGACAGCATTCACCATGAATCTTTGACCAATTGCCGACGAGAGTTACAGAGTGCCGACGAATATTGTCTCCAAAGATCTGCTTTGCTCGATTCCTTGCGCGAACAAATGAGAGAAAAAGAAGAAGCACTACTAGCTGCCGCCGAACTGAAGACTGAGATGAAAGATCAGATTGCAGAAGCAGATCGAGTAAGAGAAGAGAACAAAGGTTGGCCGGTAGCCGATGTCCTGAACCTCAGGTCAAGGGTTGATGCCATCGAGAAACAGACTGGCTGGCGCTTGGTTACTGCGGAAGAAGAGGTGGATGAACCGACCGAGTTTGGGCCTGCGCTCACCATGATGTACAAGGATGACCTGCGACTCTTCTTTTACCCTCAAGCTTTCCAATACAAGGCTTCAGATGCACCACGGCGCAGATCCGGAAGGAGATCAGCATCGACAAGCGGTCCCACTGCCCCTATCAGCCTGACTTACGCTCCCGCCGACCAAGAGGACTCGGACGACAAACAACTAGAGCCGCCGACCGAGAAACGTTTCTTCTTACAGTTAGTCAGGAGCCAACTGCACGCTTTCGCTATGATGCCAAAGCGGTCAGTATCATCTAAGACTATGCTATCATCTGTTTCTCAAGGCTGGGATCTTGCATGCAAAATTTCCCAAGAGCTTCGACTTCTGAACCTCGTGGGCATCACGACAGCCTCAATCCTAAGTGACGAGAAACTGGGAGTTAAAGTCGTTCTGATCATCCCCAAACAAGGGCGGGTCGACGTTGAGTTCGCAGTGACTGTCGCGATTCTGAACGACGGCGACATCGTTGCTTCAACCGGCGTAACTGCGCACGCAGTCTACGGACGTTGCGTGGAATTGCTGAGCGGTGGAAAGGGTAGGAAAGTGCAGCACGCGTTGGGCAAGGAGGCCGAGAGCAGAGTCCTGGGTGAGGGTGCGTTCGTCAGTGCAATCCACGGCTTCGAAGAGTGGTTGCGTGGACAGGACAAGACAAGACAGGCGACGAAGGAGGAAGTCGTGACTGCGTCTGCCCCTGAGCCTGCTTCCTCGGCCGTTCTCTCTCAAGCGACAACTACAGCACTCCCTTCGACGTCGACGTCGACCTCAGCTTCCACTCCAGCGGCCCCCAAGCGGTCCCCTCTGGCCCCTAAACGAATCAACTCCCTCCAAAAGAAAGCCCTCCCCGTCCCCAAGCAGCGGCTCGAAAAGTGGAATCCTCCTCAGCCTCAGCCTGTGTTCCAACAACACCAACACCCGGCCGCCGAGAAAGAGAACTTCAACCCCTCCTTGTCCGTCTCGGGCAAGATGTCCGCTCAGCGGCACCAACAGCCGGCCCAGCTGGAGGGAAATCGCGCCGTTGACCCAGCCGCGTGGGAGGACGTGGTGCCCCGCGCGGCCATCCCGCCGGAGATGCAGGAGGCCATGATGCACACGCCCATCAAGCGCGTGGGTGCATTGCGGCGCAGTCCCATCTGAGAGCTCGCCCGGGCGATGCCCCTGATGATCTGGTATGATGTGATGTGAATCGGAGTTTTGGGCATGTTTAGCTTTGGTTTTGACTATGCATTTGGATTTGGATTTGGATCGGTGTGGCTTGGACTAGTTGCTAGCATTGGATTGAAATCCCCATGGTTGGTTGATTGATTGATTAACTGGTTTCCTGCATCTCCTGAGAGCGGGAGTTGGAAAGTGAAGGTGTGGTAGTGTAACAACCATTCACAACATCAAGCAGAGTAGTATGTACAGGAGAAACAGGAGACAAGCTAAGATGAGAGCAACCTCTGTTTGTGCCCTGGGACGACATCACCGAGAAGCGAGAAGCGACAACCCTGGATTCGGGGTGATCTTCCTCCTGTGTTTTCCTGTCTGTCTGCTCTGATTGTACTCGGTAATGTAGCAATCGGAAGAGGCAGCTATTCTTCCATCAACCATAACCATGTTCATCCATTCATTGACGACTGTGTATGTAGTCTATCTACCACCCACCACCACCCTTGCCTCCGAACCCGCCGCTCTCATCCCCGGCCGATTTCCCGCCCTTCATCTTGTCGCCTCCGGCCAGGCCGGCGCCTCTCTTCTGCTGCGCCGCCTCGTGCTTCCGCAACTCCTCCGGCACCCTACTGATGGAACTCTTCATCAGCATCTGCTTCAGATCGTACAACACATCGTTGTCCTCGTTGCCGAGGAACGTGATCGCCACGCCGGATTTGCCTGCGCGTCCGGTACGCCCGATGCGGTGGGTGTAGGATTCAATGTTGGTCGCCATGTTGAAGTTGACCACCAAGCTCACGTCGGGGACATCGATACCACGGCCTGCCAAGTCGGTCGCGACGAGGACATCGGTTTTGCCGTCCCGGACCGATTGCAGAGCTGCCTCACGCTGTTCCTGCGTCTTGGACCCGTGCAGCGTGACACTGCTGAATCCCATGGATTTGATGTCCCTGGCGACCGCGTCGCAATTCCGCTTGATATTCACAAAGACGATGATCGGCGGTCGGAATTCGCCACTGGAGAGGATCTCGTTCAGTCGCTTCTTGCGCTTGTCTTCGCCAGCAACGAATTCCACCCGTTGTTCGACGGTGTCGACTGCTTCGCCCACATTACCAATCGTCACGATCGCCGGCCTTCTCAGGTATTTTCGTGCGATCCTCTCGACCGCGGCAGGCATGGTGGCTGTATACATCATGGTCTGGCGGTATCGGTCTTTTCCACCTAGGTGGCGGGACATGGCTCTTCCGTCTTCCGCGGCCTCACTGTCGGGCTTCTCGTTGCTTACAGGTAGGGCATCCAGGATTTTGTTCACAGGTTCCTCAAACCCAAGGTCGATCATGCGGTCTGCTTCGTCCATGATCACGTAGCAGCATTGCTCCAGCACAATGATGCGGCGATCAATACAGTCCACCAGACGACCCGGCGTCGCGATGATGATTTCTGCACCGTTGCGAAGGTTATAAGCTTGTTCTTCGATGCTGTGACCTCCTACTATTGAGACGACCGTGAAACCCAGGGGTGTGGCAAACTTTTTTGCTTCAATTTCGATTTGTTGTGCGAGTTCACGGGTGGGGGCAAGGATGATGGCGTAGGGTCCATTATTCCGCCGCATATCGTCTTCGTCTAGACGCGGAAGTTCGGCGATGTAGACAAGTAGAGGGAGGAGGAAGGCGGCAGTCTTGCCGGAACCGGTTACTGCAACACCGATGAGGTCGCGGTTTTGAAGGGCGATGGGGATGGCGGCCCTTTGAATCGGTGAAGGATCGACATATCCTACTTGGTCAATGATTTCCAACAGCTTTCTCGGAAGTCCAGATTCTTTCCAGTTGCGCATGGGGTTGGGGATACCGCCACCTTTCGTGCTGATATTGAAATCCTCCTTGAATATGCGCCAGTCGCGTTCCCGCATATGCTCCAATTTCTTTTCACTCCAGTGTTTGTCAATTGCCATGCGGCCGGATTCTTCCTTCCTCTTGCGCTCCATTTCGAGAATCTCTTGGGCGCGGGCTGCTCCTGCAACTGTATCTCTGGACTGTAATGCCTCTGCATACTTCCGTGCAGCTGCATCGGCCGCTTGTTGATCAAACCCACCCAGTCGACCTCTCCCGAAGAAGTTGACCTCAGCGCGGTTGTTGTAGATGGGATTGTAGTCGGGTGTGGTGTCCTCTTCGGCATTCCATTCAAAGTTGAATTTCTTTTCTGTCGTGCGTCGTCGCTTCTTCAAGGCAGAGAAGGTCGACACATTCATGTCAGCACCCATATACCTCTGTCGGATAATCTCCACTTCTGCCTTTTCAGACCGGTCGTCCTCCGCCCCTCGCTTTTGTGCTCGGGAATCACCACCAAACGCGATCGACTTGGGTGCCGCGGGCGGAGCAAAGTCGACGCCCTTGTTGGGCCCTCGTGACCGCATCGCAGCAGGGCCTCTGGGTACATCTCCGTTACGAAGAGCCTTTGGTCCAGTCGGTGCCGAACTTGGCTTGGACGGTTCAGGCGGTGCAGAGGAGCCATTCCGGGCTACCCCGTTCTGTTGTTTCTGAGCGGAGATCGCCTCAACCTCCTTCTGCCGCTTCTCCAAAGCCAGCTTTTCACGCTCCGCCCTGGAGAGAAACTTTGGTTTGCTGGCCGCAAGATCGGCTTCTCGCTTCTTCTTCAGGAGTTCTTCCACACTCAGTGGCGTCGCCTTCGCCGTCTTTGCCGCCCCCCAGCCCTTCTTCTTCGGAGGTTGTGGCCTGACATCATTTGTTGTAGAGCCTTCGTTGTCGCTAGGAGGAGGTGGCACTGGCCCAGGCGGGGGAGGGGGAATGCTTGAGTCTGTAGGCGGAGGAGGTGGCGCAAACCTTGCTTCTAACGGAGGCGGAGGAGGTTCAGTCTCAGCGGATGGGGGAGGCGGAGGTGTCTGTGGTCTTGAAAGAGGGTCAACAGGAGGTGCTGGCATCTCAACTTCGCGGTGGCCGTTCACCATTGTTTCCGCCATCCTGGCGTACGTTGCGTCGACTTGGACCTATCACCGGCCCGTGTCCAGACGGAAGGTTCAGAATGGCAAAGATTTTGAGGTATGTCAAGCGGAGACTTCACTTAACAGAGTTGAATTCTTGAGTAGGAGACGATCGGAATAGCGATAGAAGTTCATGGTGGAAGTCTGGTGTCAAGCCTAGAAGTTGGAGAGACTGAGAAGAGCCTTGAGGCTAATATCTCGGTGAATCGATTTTCCGGTAGGGTCGGCACTAGTCTAAATACGGCTTAGTTAATATGTTGGAGGTGCGGGGAATGGCGAGGGAGACAGAGTGCTAGCTTTGTACAGGTAGCCACTCGCCAGCCATAACGGTAGCTGAGAGAGCCAGTGCATAGACCGATCATTCAGTCAATCGAAAGAAGGCACGCAGGTCATCTAGAGGGCGCCGTCCGAAGGGGCCAATGATCCCAGCCCCTAGCCACCCCGTGGCCCCTGAAGTTCAGCCTTATCGAAAAGCAAAGACGACAGTCAAAACGGTACCTAGGTCTCCCAGGCTATATCATATCGTACAAGAAAAAAGTAAGGCTATGAGACCCCGTGCTCTTATCAACAAGCCGTTCATATCCATTACTGCATCTTCGTCGGAAAAAGGAAAACTCCGGCCTCCGCCCTGAGTCTCATCCTCGCCGTGTCCCTCCAACATCTGTCCGCTTCAAACAACTGAAATAGAGGATCGAACTCCCCAAAAGCATATTCGTGACTCCCTTCTTTTAGACTCCTGCTGACCCGTCAAAGACAGTGGCAGAATGATGCAAGCAACGCTGTTTCGCAAACCATGTCAGGTGTAAATCCCTGCGCTTACTTTCCGTCCGTCGTCGTCGCCGTAATCGTCTTCATCTGCACCCTCAGGAACAGCATCATTCCAAATCGTAATACTGTCAAGTCTTTCACCCTTGTTGAGATGAACCGCTTGAAAAGCGTCCACTTCTTCAACATCTTCCTCCTCGTCACCAATGGCACCTTGCTCATCCTCTTCCTCTTCCTCGATGATTTGGCTTTTCCTCTTCGATTTGCTGTTTCTTCTGCCACCTCCGCCCATGAAATCTTTGAGACCCAAGTTGGGTTTCCCGTCCGATCCCTCACGTTGCCTTCCAGCGCCAACGATTGCAGGGCTTCCGAACGCGGCGGGGAGTGTCGACGCGGAGAAAAAGGCCGAGTTAAGCATAGGTCCTTTGAACGGCGACTTCTTCCGTCGAGCGAACATGACGTTTGAGCCGAAAGCGTGCGCCTGCGGTGTACCTGGTGGGGGATTGAGGATATCATTCCCCACCCCAGAGAGCGGGCGCGGCTGAAGGCCAGCATCGGAGCCTCTAGGAGTCCGGACTATCCGGATATTCGAAGGGAAAGCATTGGCCGTAGGCGTCACGGGGAGAACTTTTATCGAGGGGTGGGGAGAGCGGCCGCTGAGACTGACCGTGCGGCTTGTAGGGCTCTGAATCGTGTCAAGGCTGTTAGAGCTCTGAGAGGAGGCTTTGCTGTGAGAGGTGTTGTGTCGGGGCATGCTTCGGATTGATGAAACGGACGAGGATGTCGATTTTCGGCTCCGCAGACCGGTGGAACTGCGTCGGTATGAAGAGCGGGGAGTTACAGGTGAAGGTGAGAGAGAGTTGCGATGAGGTCTCCCACGGGCGGTATCGATCCGAGGCGCTGGATTTTTAACAGAGGGAAGAGGGTTTGAGTTGGAGATGAAGGGAGCAAGCGCGGACCCGTTCGAGGATCTGTTTGGATTTGGCGTGCTTGCAACATTTCTGGTGCTCTTGTTCGCCTGGTTAGAGTCTCTGGAGAGGGTTGCTTTGGAGACGTTGTTGGAATGTCCATTCAAGATTTTGTCGATCCTAGGACTGACTGGCGATTTGGCTCGCTTCGTGGAGTCGATAATCCACTGCTTCAATGAGGTAAGCTGGCTCAGAAACTGTCGGTTGCGAAACCTTCCACTTCGTCTCTTGTTCACTCCATTCAGGGGACCCAGTAAATCGGGGTTTGTTGTCACGAGCTGTAGCGTGCTACTCCGTCGATTGCGTTCCTTGGGCGGTATGGGAGGTCGAGAACCGCTCCGAGAGCGTACAGAGTCTTTATCGATCGGAGGCGGCGGTGGTGTTTCAGCCCCGGGAGACTTTATCACGTCTCCTTCAGGAAGCTGAGGCAAGTCGCCGACCAATATCTGAGGTGTACTTCTTCGTTGTGTCCTGCCTCGACTGGTGCTCCGACGGCTTTCAAGCTCACCGGGAGAATGCTCTTCATCGACCTCAACCAGCGTGGGTGCGATCCTCTCCAGCCTGCTGCTAGCACCACTCAGCCGCCTGAGGATCTTCAACTCTGCTTCTCTGTCTCTCCGCTTGCGTTCCTTTCGCGCTTGCTTCCTTGTCTCTTTCTCAATGAGCAGCGCCCACCATCCAGATAGCGTGTCGCAACGTTGCGAAAGGACATTCTCAATGACTTTGTCGATATCCACACCCGCCGACTTCATTCGTTCCAAAGTATCCTTCTCCAGCTGAGTAGTGAATGCTGCGGGCTGTGAAAGTTTCAGAATCGCTTGTTGATGAGGTGCATGGTCTGACAGAAAAGGGTCGGCGAGGATATCTGACAAGCTGGGTCTGTGCAGAGGCCGCTTCGAGAGGAGCTTGGAGATCAGAGTCTTTGCGGATTCCGGGAAGGTGTCTGGATAGACGGGGTCGTCTTTCAATATCTTCGCCTTTGTGGCTGCATCGTCGTCTTCATCGAAGGGTAGTTCGCCCTTCAACAGCGCGTAGAGAATGATTCCCAGACTCCAGACGTCGACCTTCTCGCCCGCATATTTCTCGCCTTTCAGCATTTCTGGCGCACTGTAACATACTGTGCCACAAAATGTCTGCAGATAGTTCGCTTTTCCCTCGTACTCCCTGGTGAAGCCAAAATCGCAAAGCTTGACGTTGTCGTTCTTGTCGAGAAGGACATTCTCCAATTTCAAATCTCGATGGACACATGATTTACTGTGGATATATGCAACCGCTCCGACCAGCTGAGTGAAAATCTTCTGCACAGTTTCGACGGGAAGTGCTCCATTCTTGCATAGATAATTGTACAACTCATCGCCTGGTGCGTGATTAGTTTCGCAGACTCGTTAGAATCGTGGCATCCGCATCTTCCTACCAGGACAATATTCCAAAACTAGCCATACAAGAGATTCCGTTATTATAACTTCGTATAGTCGAGCAATGTGAGGGTGAATGAACTGTCGATGATGGTGGATCTCTCTCGCGAGGTTCGGGTCGTCTTTACTCGAGGCCTTGAGTACCACCTTTTGGGACTGCCAGTCAGCGACTGCGGGCATGAGGTGCCAGGTGTCGTCGACGCCAAAACTGACCTTGGAGCCATTTGTCAAGTTGTGCTTGGCAAGATAGACCTTGCCGAAGGAGCCCTTTCCGATGAGTTTCCCTAACGAGTAGTTTCCCACTGTCTTGAGTTCCTTCGAGGCAAATTGGCTGGTTGGGAATGTCAGCGCAGACTCCCGGGACGAGTCGAGGAGGGCGGATCAGATCTTACTCGAGTAACTCCGAGTAGGAGTTGGCAAGCTGTCGGCCATCCCCAGTCAGCTCAATGCACACGAAAAAACGCCCAAATACACCAGTTGTGGTCCTACTTTTGCTTTATGTTGCTGAAGCTCCGCTTTGGTCCTCTGAGCTTGCATTCCTTGCGACGACCAAACCCTGCAGATTGGTGTAGGAGTTCCTGCGGCTTCTCGAGGGTAAGGATAACATATGGGCAAGTCCGACAGGGAGGTGGGAATTCGCCCGTTGGGTGGTCTTTCCGCGCTTTCAGGAGACACTGAGCAGTCGAGGGGTAATAGGGAGCGAGTCGCGGTCGGGCTCGAATGTATAAAGGCGCATTTGAGACTGAGAGCCGAAAGGTCTGAGTTGGGGGCTCTTTGGCACTCGGCAGAAGCAGTGACGTGAACGGCGGGATGTGATGCAGGTGGTGACAGGCGGGCACGTTTTTAAGAGTTTGCGATCTCGAGACCAATTGCCAGCGCCCCAAAATATTAAGTTGTTCAGGGTTGTGTGGAGGTGGGAAAAGGCGGGAGGGAGAGGCTGCGCCGGGCTTTTTAGGTGTGGAGGGCTGATCGGCGTCTTATCCCTGAACCTCACTTTAGCGGAAGGAAAACACCTTTTTCGTGCATCCAGCAGCATGGATAGGGGACTCGTCAGGCCCCGTGGATCTCGTCTACGTGCTGATCTCTATATGTTTAGAAATCTTCAGGGAGGAATGACCCCCACTACCGCCGTTGAACGCCAATGAGTATATGCCGCTCCTGCAATTGGGTTTCCCAGTGTGAATACGCCTCCACGCCCGCCACAGAGGTTCCTGAAATATCGAGTCAATACTGATTGCTCCACATGGCACGTGTCCCATAAAAGCCCTGCCGATCGTCAGATAGGGTGAGATGCCGCCAGAGAATGCAGAGTGGTGGGTGTGACAACGTGGAAACTGTGTTCTCCATCCTCCTGATGGTACGTGCATTGTGGAAAGGGAAGAGATAATATAATAGCATAAGAATTCGGTAATGGCACTTTTCATGATGCTCGAATCCACCGTGGAACACTCGCTTCCCCAGGATGGATCTGAAATGTCCAAGATCTCCAAAGTGACGTTCCACAACTCCCAGCTCAATAGCAAAACATTTTAGGTCTCTATACATTATACAAGTACGTCTTGACGTCTCAGAACAAAACAAGATCGTTACCGTCGTTAAATCCCGCCCCTATCCCTGGGCTCACGACCTCGGGGCCTGATAGTATCTGTTCTCGGTTGGTTGTGACGAAGGTAGTTCGGAGATCATGCTTGTCCGGTCAGAGTGACTACGATGGCTTGACATGCCCGACGCAACTGACGGGGCACTGTCCTGCGAATAGTCCTTTCCGCTTAGCCTCCGGACATTGAAATTCTCTGCCACAAGGCTGCCCTGGTCGGACTGAGCTTGCAGATTCGGTGAGCCCATGAGTGTTCCTTCAGAGCCGGACAATTCAGACATCATGCTCATTCGGTGGTCCAATGGAGGAGTATTGTGGGCATGGGGCGCAAGATGACCGGTGTGGTACGTCGAACCAGGTAACTCAGCAAGGAACTGTTTGGGAGGATCGGGTTGCTTCAGCGGCGCGTAATAACTCATTCGTTGTTGCTGTTGGGCATTGGCTTGATACGGAGGCAGACTGTAGGTGCTCAATCGCTTGTCGTCGGGTCGGAAAGCTGGGTGAAGCGCCATTGTCTGCCAGCCCAGGTCTTGCTGCGGCGACAGCATTTGAGGGGAGAGAGGTCTTTGGTAGATGGAAGGCGCATTGAGGATTTGCGAGTTCGACATGTGAGAGCCGGATTGGAATCGAGGGGTCTCAGGAGCAGGAGTCGAAGGAACTCCCAAGGTCTGGACTCGTTCCTCGACACGCTCGGCCTTTTTGAGAATTCGCTCCACCAAGACTTTGTGTGAATTGTCGAGGTTCTTGCGAACAAACGACGTCAAGAGCATGTTACACCTCATGTCGCCATCTTCGCGGAGGTAAAGGCCCGTTCGAGGGACATCAATCCCAAGTTCTCGTGGCTCTGGAGGCTCACCAGGCAGGGACCCTCCTATGGACCATTTTTCTCGGATGTCCAGGCCCATGGGAGCATAGATGTGTGTCTGAAGCCCATATGGAGTGTCATGAAAGCAAGCCTTGTAGCTGACTTTGCCCTTGACGATCCCACCCGGCAGGTAATGGATCTTGTCCGTCAGCTCTTGCCAGGCGCAGTCCAAGAATTCGTCGGCGGGGGCATCTCTGGGAGTTTTGATCGGGTGGTGTTCGATGACAAGCGGGTTCAGCTCGATCATTTCATCGTGGTTGTGAAGCATGGCGATCGCGACCTCTCGCGAGACCTGAGGAGGGAGAGGGGTAATGTTGGTGAAGAGGGTGCGTTTCGGCATGGCGACGGCGGTCAGCTGGCCTGAGGGGGGACTTGTTTCTCGGTTGCTGTCAATCAAGATCGTGGAAGGATTAGAGACTCTTCTCGCAGACTCGAAGGATTTAATAGTCAATGGTATACAGTGACCCGGGATTTGCACTGGCTACTTCAAACTCTTTGCAACAAGACCAGTGAGAGAAGGAGATCATCCGAATTTGAAAGACTCAGCCCAAGACAACAAGCAGCTGTGCCTGGGATGAGCCTAGATGCCGTTAAAAGCAAACGACCGTCTTGGTAAGGATTCAGCTAAGAATAGCTAGTGCTTATCACCTTCTGGGTGAATGTGAGGGTGTATCGGCTCTGTGGCTGACGCGATGCTGGCTGTAACGATCAGCGAGTGGTCCGAGGCCATCCCCATGGACCCCTCGATTCATCGCTCCAGCCTCCTGATCGCTTTGACACCCGCTTTTTCGGTTAGATCCAGGATAGACAGAGGCGGAGTGTCGAGCAGCAAGCCCAGCTCTGCTGCGCGTTTGAAACGCCCACGTTTCGAAAACTCGGCGTTGCATCGAGTTGCAGTGGAGGGGGGTAAGTTCTTCCAGATGCGAAGGCAATGCATATACACACACACATCCACATTCACATTCACATTCATAGAAAGAGAAATGGCCATATGCATGGGTCAGCCGCGCTGGCGGCCAGGGCCACGTGTGGCCATGTCCTGGGCGGCCAGCGGGAGGAGCCAGAATGGACAATGGAATACGAAAATCGACCGCAGTCGGGCCATCTGAGGGGCTTGCTGCGCCTCACCAAAGCTCCCCCTTACTTACGAGTACAAGCACAAGTCGTATAAATCCTAGCTTTGCCACCGCGCGACCTTGCTCAATCTCTGTACGGCATCTTTGCTGATACAAAATGTGGGATCCAGCTCTTTCAGCCCGGGCTCATTGTATATTGCCAGGGTTGCAAGCCCAAGATATGAGTGCAGGAGATCTGGAAGGAGTGTTAGGACACCGAGTTTCTGCACGGCGGTGGGACCTCGAGACGACGTGAGCACTCACCCGGCAGTTCGCCAGGGCCTTTCGCAAATCCTCCGATAACGTGGGTGACTTTTCCCAGAAGATATCTCCTCAACGAGTCGACATCAACGAGATGATGCTGTTGCAGAATCTGCTGGACCATCAGTCGAGTAGCCTCAATGGATCATGTGGACACAACCCACTGCAAGGGCTCCCACGTTCCAGAAGCAGTAACAAGTGTCTGCAATCTTCCCACAACGGCCGCAAAATCCAGCAATCAACCCCTGCGTGACCAGGCTGGTGTGCATGCCGGAGACATCAAAGGACGACGGCTGAGCTTCGTGGTTGCTGCCCGTATCGGCTCGGTCTCCAGGTTGACCCTCTTCGTCCTCGTCTTCGTCCTCGTCCTCTTCTATCCATGTTGTTTGTCGATCTAGCATCCATCTGGTACAGATGGCAGTGTCGACGTTGGCTCGTTCTGCCATCTCCTGCACGGATACCACAGGCTGTTGAAGCAGCGCGAGAAATGAGAGTGCAGCGATGCCACAGTAATTCAGCCCGGCTAGCAGAGAAATCAGCACAGTGATGGGCAATCAAACAGTCGAGGGAATTTACAGTGAGCTTCGAGAAGCGGAGCTTGACCAATCCCGCCTTCATGAGACTAGGATAGATATCAGCCTTGGCCTGTCGTTTCGTAAACCACTGGGTCCTCACCTGACAATTGGCAATATACCTCTGCAAGGCTGCTTCGTCGAACTGCGACCTTTCCGCGTGCTCCCCATATCCTTGTAATATTCTGATAATGCCTACGGCGCACATGCAGAGTCTTGGATCATCCGCCCCTTCGACCTGATCGTCCTCTCCGAGGAATTCCCCAAAGCTACCATTGGGCCTTTGCAAACCAGCCACCCAGGCAAGGCATTCTTTCCTCTTCACCCTGGAAAGGTCATCTCCCAAAATCACCAAAGTAGCCAGCGCAAAGTAGGTATTTGGCAGGTTGGCGGGATCCCAGTGCCAGTTGTGGTAACTCCTCTGGCCACCCAGCATGGTGCCTGTGAAACCTCGGAAGCCGCCTGTGTGAGGGACCTGACAGGTGTATATCCACTCGATCCAACCATGTTTCTCGGATGGCGTGATGACGATGTCGAGTGCTCCTAGCAGATCCAGCGCAGCCACGATGAAGAAGCCGAAACTCATTCGGCTGGCTTCGCCTGAGGTGTAAGGTTCGGGCAGGATTTGCGCACACCTTTTCCAATATTTTACGTGACGCTCCCTGTCAAGGAGGTATTCCTCCTCGTAGGCCATGTTGCAAGAGCCAGATCGCCGTAAGATTTCAAGAGAAACTCGTCGCCAGAGTGCAATCCGGAGAGCGTGCGGCGGAAGCCAAAGTCATCAATGTAGGTTCGCTGCACAAAATGCACCGTGCTTTCTCGGATCCCAGCCGTCTCCAGATGACTTTTGACCCCAAGGATCCAGAAGAGAAGATCAAGTTTGCAGGGCTCTACGAGCCAATCCAAAGTATGGATCGGGTATCCCAGAAAAATGGAGTAGAATATCTGGGCGCGAACCAAAAACCACTTGGTGATGGACCAAGAAGAGGTCAACAAGGCTAGCTTTATAAGGCGCGGAAACACGAAGCGACTGACTCGAGCATTTAATATAGGACGTTCAATCCCACTTTCATCGGGACAACATATACTAATTGAAACGTGCCATAATAATACTTTCAAGTGTATCAAGAGAACTCTGTCAAGTCATAATCTAAGTCCGCCTATCTGCCGTGCATCCTTTTCATTTCTCGTAAATGATGGGCCTTGACCACGCACGTCTTATGCAATGTCCCGGAAAGAATTTGAGAATCGAAGGAGAAATCCACCAAGAAAGCAATCACATAAAATCGTCATCTCCAAGGCCGTCATCGTAGCTAGTCGTGTCTGCTATTCCTCTGCCCATGTCCCGGGTGGCTGCAAGGGTCGACTTTGTCTTTGCTGCCTTTGACTTTTTGCCGCCCTTCTCCTGTGTCTTTTCCTCCTTCATCTTCTCGTTGCTTAGAGCCGTTAGTGCACTGGCCGCCTTTTTGATCTCCGCACTGGGTAGCTCCGCAGATATTTGCTTCACAAAGGTCGGCAGCCAGATGGCATAGTGCGGTTTTGAAGAAGCTGCTGTGAGTAGGGGGACCAGAGTGGCAGAAAGGGCGTCGAACTGTGTCTTGGTGGCGGGCTTGAATAGGGGGAGTTGTGAGAGGTCGATCGTCTGACCCGGGTTTGCTTTGTCCTCTATTATTACCGCTTTGTTCGGTGCGACACGCGACTTGGGGTCCAGCGCCGCATCGGCAAACAGATCTTGTGCATGTTTCAGGTCAGAGTCTTGCTCCGATTTCCGCAGCCTTGCACGCCTGCTTGCTTCATCTTCGTCTGAACTTTCCTCGTCTAGCTCCTCAGCACGTTTTCGTCGGTTTGCCTCTCGGTGCTCCTCTATCCGCTGAGCCTTGCTCTTCTTGTTTGCGGCGGCTTCTGCATCAGCCTTGGCTTTGGCTGCGGCTGCTTTGGCGGCTTTCTCTCGCTCGGCTTCAGAGTCTTCTTCTTCCTCCCAATTGTCGGCGACCTAGCATTCATCAGTCTTTAGTTGGTCTGCCTGAAGCGCAGCCTCACGTACGTCATCGGAATCCTCTTCGTCCGCAAACTTGCGTCGAGCAACGGGAACATCTACTGATTCTTCTTCGGAGGACTCTTCAGACTCCTCATCTGTGAAGATAATATCGTCAACAATATTCCTGGTGATTCGAGGTAGTGGGAAAGAGGATTTCCCCCCGCGGCTTCAAGACTGCGACTCACCCCACTTTGAAGGAGGCATAGTGTGGTCACTGAAAAAGACCACGGGACTTCGCCTTTTGCTTTGATGGGTTTGTCGGGCGTTAAGAAATTTCGTCGCAAAGTGCGCGATTGGTCAAATGCACGCAGAGCGCAAAAAGAGTAAAACAAATTGAGTAGAATATGGGGAGTTGGCGCTCAGTCAGTGACGACAAGGAGGCGATCTTCCAAAATTCGGGTCGAGGACAACAAAATTGCCAAGACTTCGCATGAATGAGATAGACAATTTGGTGTGATTCACGTGACTGTAGCGAACATCTTGGGTAACTCTAGCGAGAAACAACGCCGAAGCGCCACGTCCCGAAATGTTTGGTCAGGGGCGAGCACCAAAGGTGTTTCAGTCTGCGTTGCCCTCGTGAATACAGCGTGAAAGAGACCATCTTATGAGAACAACGCATGTCCCGTCTTGTATTGAGATTTGCATAATTCGTACTTTATTCCTGCAAAGTGCATAGAACACACACAACCAGACCCAAGCTACCTGAGAGGCTGGTCTCCGACGAAGTTGTTTTCCGCTATCACTTCCTCACGGTTTGGTATCCCGTTATCTCCGAAATCCTCCTGCTCACAAGGTGACAGACTTGCGGAAGTTGGTGCCAGCATAGATGGCGTTGGGTCCCAACTCTTCCTCGATGCGCAGGATCTGGTTGAGTTTGGCGAGACGTTCAGATCGTGCTGGCGCGCCAGTCTTGATCTCTCCAGCTCGGATACCCACCACTATGTCGGCAATGGTGACGTCTTCAGTCTCCCCGGAACGATGAGAAACCATCACTCCCCAACCAGCTGCATAGGAATCTTTGGCGGCTTGAATGGATTCGGTAAGGGTACCGATTTGGTTGACCTTCAGCAACAGAGCATTGCAAGCCTTGGATTCGATGGCTCTCTTGATGCGCTTGGGGTTCGTCACAGTCAGGTCGTCACTAAGTGCCGTCAGCAATCGTGGCTCGTTCCTGCCACCAAGCATGAGAACTTACCCGACAATCTGGAAGTTGGACGTCTTGAAAAAGTAGCTCCACGCCTCCCAATCGTCCTCGGCAAAGGGATCTTCGATCGAGACAATCGGATACTTGCTCGCCAGAGACTTGTACATGTCGGCCAGTTGCTCGTAAGTGATCCACTTGCTGGGGTCGCTGTCGGGGTTCTTGAAGTCGAGATCGTACTTGTTCTCCTTCTCCTTGTAGAACTCGCTGGAAGCAACATCCATAGCGATGTTCATCTTGCCCTTGTAACCAGCTTCCTCGATCGCAGCAGAGATCAGGTCCAAGGCTTCTTCGGCGGTCTGGATATCTGGAGCAACGCCACCCTCGTCACCAACATTGCCAGCGGACTGACCATACTTCTTCTTTGCCAGAGCCTTCAGCTTCTGGTAGACTTCGGCACCCCATCGAAGACCTTCACTGAACGACGGTGCTTGGCTATGATGGTTGTTAGCCCAGCTCGCAGTGGCTTAGGGATGGGACTCATACTCGGGGACAATCATGAATTCTTGGAAAGCGAGACGACCACCTGCATGAGACCCTCCATTGAGAACGTTCATGAATGGGACAGGCAGCACATATGGCTTCTTTGTGCCTGCCAGATCTGAGACATGTGCGTAGAGAGGGACGCCTTTCTGAGCAGCACCGGCTTTGGCAACCGCAAGACTGACACCCAGAATGGCATTGGCACCAAGGTTGGTCTTATTTTCTGTTCCGTCGAGCTCAATCAGGAACTTGTCGACCGAGGACTGATCTGCGCAATCGATGTTCTTCTCAATCAACTTCGGCCCGATGATGGAGTTCACATTGTCAACAGCTTTCAGAACACCTTTCCCTCCCCAGTGTGTCTTGTCACCATCTCGGAGCTCGCAGGCTTCGTGCTGGCCGGTGGAGGCACCAGAGGGGACAATGGCGCGGTGCAGACCGGTCTCAGTCACGACGTCGACCTCGACCGTCGGGTTACCCCGGGAGTCATAGACGGAGCGGGCGTGCACCTTGACGATAGGCATGGCTGTCGGTGGGTCAGTGAATGGAAGATATCGGAACAATGGAATGAGAGCGAGTCGACGACTAAGGGCTGAAGCGCTGAAGTAAAGTCAAGCAAGTAAAGGGAACAGCAGTTGGCAACTGCGACATGTGCTGAGGAGCTTCACCAGGGCGGTGGAGGAGAGCTTGAGCAAGGTACTTACTTGATTTCAGTGGTGTGACAGAAAGAAGTGTTGAGTCAGTAAACAATTGCTTAGTGATAAATCCAAAGCGGGAAGTAGGAGTACAGCTAGGTCCTCTTTGAACGAAGTAGCAGAGAGGGAGAGAAATGTGAAGTGACGAAAGAAAAGATATCAGAAGCAGAGAAACTTTTTGTTGCTTTTGCGGTGGGGTATTGGGCAAGAGCGACTGAGGGTGTTGATCGCTACAAAACTTCAACTCAGCAGTTTCGCTCAGCAGCGATGCAGGGCGGGGAACATGATTGACCCCTCCGAAGCTGTGGTTGCCCAAAGAACTATTCACTCGTCGCCGGCCACCGACTGCGGATAGGCCAGGGCACCAGGGGTCCTCCCGCGCCCAACCCGCCCAGCCCGCCTTGCTCGCTACCCAGCGAGCCAGCCCCGGGCTCTCGTTGGGCCACTAGGCTGATCAATGGCAATCAAGAGTACGGTAGATTGGGCAATTGGGTTAGGCAGTGGCACGTGATCTGCCTCGTTATACCTTCCCAGATTTCCCCTGCGCTTCCTGCGCCTTTGCCGCGTAGTGCTCCTGGTACCTGCAGCGCGCAAGCTTGCCATTTCTTAGACTATCAGACAATAACTGATCTTGAATCCTGAAAACTGCAACGACACCTTGCGGATCCCAGCCTTTGAGATACGGGATATTACGCTCTTACATCCCCATCGTCGATCCCGCACATCCTTACTGCCATCAGTCCCGCAACCACGCAGCATTTCACTTAACGTCCTCCAAATCCACAACATGGACGGAAGCGGTGATCCGGAGCGGCAGCAGGCCCTCGAACAGTATAAAAACAAACTTCTAGAGTCTCGAGAATGGGAGGCCAAGTTAAAAGCGCTTAGAATGGACATCAAGGGTCTGCAGAAGGAGTTCGAGACAACAGAGGAAAACATCAAGGCGTTACAAAGTGTTGGACAAATCATCGGCGAAGTTCTGAAGCAGCTCGACGACGAACGATGTATGTTTGTCCAACATACTATGCTTCTTGGAAAAAGCTAACGTACTCTAGTCATTGTCAAGGCATCCTCAGGTCCCAGATATGTCGTCGGCTGCCGTTCCAAAGTCGATAAGGCCAAACTGAAACAAGGCACGCGAGTGGCGCTCGACATGACCACTCTGACCATCATGAGAATGCTCCCTAGAGAAGTCGATCCGTTGGTCTACAACATGTCTTTGGAAGATCCTGGACAAGTCTCTTTCGCTGGGATTGGTGGTTTGAACGAACAAATCCGAGAACTGCGGGAGGTGATCGAGCTACCGCTCAAGAATCCCGAGTTGTTTATCCGAGTGGGTATCAAGCCTCCCAAAGGCGTCCTGCTCTACGGGCCTCCCGGGACCGGGAAGACTTTGCTCGCAAGGGCCGTGGCAAGCAGTCTGGACACAAATTTCTTAAAAGGCGAGTCCCCAAGTCATCGTTAATGGACCCCAAGCTCAATACTGATTCCGTTCCAGTTGTGTCATCCGCTATTGTCGACAAATATATCGGCGAATCGGCAAGACTGATCCGCGAAATGTTTGGCTACGCGAAAGAACACGAGCCTTGCATCATCTTCATGGACGAAATCGATGCCATTGGTGGCAGACGGTTCAGCGAGGGAACATCGGCCGATCGAGAAATTCAGAGGACGCTGATGGAGCTTCTGAACCAGCTCGATGGTTTCGACTACCTCGGAAAGACCAAGATCATAATGGCCACCAACAGACCCGACACGCTAGACCCTGCTTTGTTGCGAGCAGGTCGACTGGACCGAAAGATTGAGATTCCACTACCTAATGAGGTTGGCCGTTTAGAGATTCTGAAGATCCATGCTGCTGGGGTGGTGACGGAAGGTAACATCGACTTCGAAAGCGTGGTCAAGATGAGTGACGGTCTCAACGGCGCTGACTTGCGAAACGTCGTCACCGAGGCCGGGTTGTTCGCGATCAAAGATTACAGAGATGCTGTCAACCAGGACGACTTCAACAAAGCGGTGAGAAAAGTGGCCGAGGCGAAGAAACTCGAGGGCAAGTTGGAGTATCAAAAACTGTAAGATATGACCAGGCGGCTGGGATTTCTTGGACTGCATAGCGAGACGGCCCTCGGGCCTAAAGCAAGACTTGCAGCGGTTAGTAATAGATGGCTGCGACATCCTAATGTGGTTCCATATTATGCCTGCGTGAATCCCATGGCAACCCGCCACCACCTCTGAAGGCCTCTTGCCTCCATATCTGTGGCCATTTCCTTGACCGTCGCGACTTCTTCCAAGCATCCCGCTCTTTCATCGTCCTGTTGAGGACCATCCCGCTGAAGCTCGGACGAAATGGCATGGACAGGCGCTGCCAGTTGGTAGTCTTTGTATCTCAGGTCATGGACTGTGTCGACCCATTTCTGGACGTTGGATCGATCGTAGCCTCGTACATACATGACACCAGGGATTCCCCCTGACCGAAGTAGAGCGTAGCATTGGTACTGTTTGGCGGCGGCCTTGAGCCGGGCGACCTTCTTCCTGGATGTGATGTGGTGGGTTCGGATCAGGGCATGGTATGCTGCGCCTGGCATGCCTCGCCATCCTGTGATGAGACGAGAGGAAGCAGGATGTAAAGCAATATGTACCTGTATGGGATACTTGGTTATTCCTTGAGGCGAAGCCGAGCAAAGCTGGATGAAGGTTGTCGGCAGATTATCGGCTTAATCTCCGCCTTTTGCCATCGAGCCATCTCGCCGTCTCACCGTCACCCTTTCGCCCCTACAGAGACCGCAGTAACAGAGCAATCAGACGCACGAAGCAACCTTGCTTAGTCTATCTCGTACTTCATACCTTCATCTCCTCTACGTTGATGTTCGAATTTGCAGGTTGACTCGCACCGACGCAGTCCAACCCAGATTTCAAGCAGCCGCTTTCATCATCATCTCCCTTCCCATCCTCTCCAATGACCAACGATGCGACCCCTTTTGACTACTGACTCCCTGAAAGAGACGGACTTCTGCGCACAAAACCCCCTTGTCCTTTTGGCGCCTTCCCCGCATTGAGGATCTCGCACCTTCGAAGCTCCGATTTCAAACTCGACACCGGCACAACCTAAGATGGCGGCATTCGGCACACAAATAGCGTGTTCGAGGACGAAAGAGCCTATGACAACGAGATATTTCATGCTGGTTTGATGTGTCTAACCATGTCCTGTTGCCGGTGTCACCAGAATGTCTATCCTATGTTGACAAGACTCTCTCAAACATGGACAGGGGGAACAAAAGGGCAGAATATCTATGTCGACACTGCTGATCAGACACCGCCAATGTCGTGCCCTAATTCCGCCATTGTGCCGTCGGATCCTCGACAAGCAGAAGCAGCTGCTAGCCTCGGTACATGCAATGCACCCTTGCTGCTGAATGGACCTGGGATTCCCATGGGGCTCTTAGAAACGACGCGATTTGCGGATTTGACCATCCTTTCTACACACTAGCACCACCTCTTACAAATGCTCCATGTCTTTTGGTCGTCTGGGCGGTTTATTTGTTCTACCCCGGCTATTCTGTGACTTTGTTTTCTTCTTCTCTTTCTGTTTCATTGTGCGCCCCAAAGAGCCTGAGGATCGCGGTGTGAAATTGAAAGCCAATCGTTATGGGTCTCTGTACTCAATGATTCCGTTGCAGCTTTCGTCCAGAATCTTGACAGGTGACAGAGAGAAAGTCGGACCAAATCTGCTTCTGTTTTGCACAGACACCTGTCGTCATGTCAGACCCCCGGCATGACATTTCTAAAACAGGTGTCGATGCCATACCCATCGATGCCCCTAGCAGCAAAGAAATTGAGATCGAGGCAACGACTGTTGTTTCTTTGCCACCAATTACCCTTACAGATGGTGGATTCCGGGCATGGCTCCAGGTCATTGGGTGCTTCCTTGTCTTCTTCAATGTCTGGTAGGAGTACCCGGTTTTTAAGGGGAGACGGAATGCTAATTGTGGCCGGCGACTAGGGGCTTCACATTTGCATTCGGCCTCTTCCAGAACTACTATGAGACGTCCTTCTTAAAAACCAGCTCTGCATCCGACATATCCTGGATCGGGACGCTTGCATCCTACCTGTTGATCGTCATTGGCATAATTTCTGGGCCGTTGTTTGACCTCGGTCATTACCGCATCATGCTGTTTGGTGGTGCGGCCATGTCATGCTTGGGGATTTTCATGTTAAGCTTGTCAAGCGAGTATTATCAGATTATATTGACTCAGGGCATTTGCACTGGCCTTGGCTGTGGTGTCCTCTTCATTCCCGGAATGGCACTTGTTAGTCGTTCATTCAAAGCGAGGAGGGCAATCGCACTAGGTCTCGTGAGCTGTGGCGCTCCATTTGGTACGTGGAAGATCCAGACAATATCAAAAGCGACCCTCGCTCACTATCACAAACAGGTGGCATCATTTATACCATTGTTTTCCAGCAGCTGATCGACCCCTTGGGTTTTGCTTGGACTGTTAGAGTTATGGGCTTCATCATGCTCGCGTCGTTTCTTCTGGCCTTCCCTCTGTTGCTCTGGGGGGCTACAAATATTGGTGACATCAGCTCGGGTACCGCGCGAAAACTCTTCGACAAAGCAGCTCTTAAGGATATTGGATTTTGGTGTTATACATGGGCAAACTTCTTCGTCAGTCATTGCCCGGCCCAACAAGCTATATCTGCACGTGAAAGCTGACTGTCACAGTTGTTTACCGGTTACCTCGTTCCTTTTTTCTATATACCCAGTTACGCACAGCTTGCATTGGGCACATCACGAGCTCTAGCACTTTACTCGATTGTAATTGCGCAAGGCGCTTCAGTGGTAGGACGAATGATAGCTTCGACCGTCGCGCTACACATAGGTGTGATGATTCCCTGGTTGATATGTGGCTTTGTCTCCGCCATACTCTGCCTGGCCTGGATAGGCATCAAGAGCACGGCTTCCTTCTGTGCCTTTGCCGCTCTCTACGGTAAGCCTTTCCAACATTTCAGTCGTGACTCTTACCGCGGTGGTACTAACTAGCGTGCAGGCTTCTTCAGTGGCGCTCTCATTCCACTCCCGCCCAGTATCTTCCCCGTTGTTTGCCCTGACCCAAAGGTCTTGGGCGCCCGACTTGGTATGGCTCAAGCAATCGGCGCCACCGCTTCCCTTATCGGCAGCCCGATCGCTGGAGCCCTGGTTGGTGATGATGGGCGGCATTATGTGGGACTGCAACTCTTCAGCGGGCTTGTGATGATGGTCGGATCTGTGTTTCAACTATGCCTTTGGTTCACCTTGGTTAAAAAGAGAGACTGCAAGGTCCTAGTCTGAGCCATCATGCCCAAATTGCCGGAGGAAAGTGTGTCGAGCATTTCACCACTGCCTGCGCGAGTCCAAGGGTGATGTCCGCCTAAGGTTCCTCGAGAAGCTTTATACAACTATGGTAACCAGTGGCATGGCCTTGCCAAAGAATGAGCGAACTAACTCGGACGCCTTACGACATACTACCGGGAAACGCAATACTCGTGACCTGAATCTCAGCTCAGACAACGTCCATAAATAGCCTCTCCGCCATTCGGCCCCAGCCCTCCACATTGTCATCCCCAGAATCATTATACCAAACCAACTGACAAAAGATATGCATTTCGCGGCAATCTAAGGCAACCTTCTTCCCATCCGATTTTCTCCAAAGACACCTACCACGATGCCTCTTGGGGTGGACGATGATGATCTCGAAGCCGCCATCGGCATGTACAATTTCCGAGCAAAGCATGGGACTAGGACTGCACATTCGCTACAGCGGCAATCTCCAGAAACGGGCTCTCGCCTACCATTGGCGATAGGACCATCGCATCATCGCGATGTGTCGTGTGCTCGAGGAGAGGAGCACGCAGAGAAAGAGTCACAGCAGCTCAGTCCCGTCCAAGAAGAGCAACCCAACAGCCGCTTTGGTTCGCCGGTCACCATTCATACCTCCTCGCCACGGCCTAAAGCAAATGCCCGTACTCCGAGGGAAGGCAAAGGCGATACGACGTACTACAGTTTTCAAGGTGGCAGTGACGAGATACAGCCTCGAAAACTAATCCACAGCACTTCTCTCCCTCCCATTCCATCCCGCCAACCTTATTACTCCAAGCCAACTCTCCAACGTCAGCATATGCCTTCACAGAATATCTGGCGCCGGCAATTCGGCTGGGCAGACGTATTCGAGCAGGAGCTGCGGGACCTCGACGTCAAGCCCGCGTGCATACCGAAGGCGAGATCTGCTAATAAGGCTTCCCATATTCGGACCCTGTCGGATCTGTCATCGACGAGTTCGTCGCTGCCCCAAATTCAAAAAGGGGTCTCGAGTTTCTGGAAACCGAAGAGAGATCTGTATTCACACGACTCGACTTCCTCCGCTTCAAGTACGCAGGATGACATCGATTCCCGGGAACCTGCCACCAGAGCTGATGTACCACCACGGCATACGGAGAAAAGATTGACTCGCTTTGAATGGCTGTTCAGGAAGCTTCCGGGTGGTAGTGATCATGTCGGTATTGGTCCTGTTGAAGAGGCTGGTCAAGATGATCCAGGACACGGGGCTAGGGATAGGAAATTGAGGGCTTGAACAGCCAAAATCCCACTAGGCCCCCCGGGATGCTAGTGCACGGGCAGCGCGATTTCAGCTCTGCCTGTCTGTTCGGAGTGGTATGTGTTAAAGTGTGGAACGTGGAATGAAGCAACAGCACACGAAGGTTACTGGCTCGGAATGACATGATCTGAGGCTTTCATCAGGATTTATATCGAGATTCTAGTCTCAAGTCGTACGGTTGGCTATTTTTACAGGACCACAGGACAACCCATGGCTATTCCATCATGGAATCAACTGCATATGTCGGGAGGAGGTCTGATATACAAAGGAAAGCATCAGGTTTCTAGGCAGAGAAATGCTTTCATGGAGTTTTCCGAGCGAAGTGTTCCGTCTCTTGCATCCTTTGCTGAAGTTCCATGTGCGGCCGTGATTGTTTGATCCAGTGAGGCGGCTAGTCAGTTGTTCGACGGCTGGAACAATGAGGAGGCGATTGGATGTTCCTTCCTAGGTTGTTAGCATTTGGAGCGTTCTGGGCCTTGAACTTGATAGAGGAGTCTTCGTGTTCCTCTCACCTCGGACAGATGTACCACCCCTGCCAAAGCCAAGTAGACACCACGAGCAAGTCGCTCCAAACGGAAGCGTCTATTTTGGATACTTCTTCCAACCTCGCCCGTGGCCCTTCTGTTTCCACTCTCTTATCAACTCCGGCATGCTTTCCATGGCCTTCTTCCTCTTCTCCAGCGTCGCCCCCATGCGCCTCTCCCACTTGTGACCCTTGACCTTTTGTCCCTCGCCCGTACCTCTAATCCTTAATCCTCTCTGCAGCAGCCGCTCTTCCTTGAACGCGGAAGATTTTCGCCCGGGTGGAAGGAGCTCTTCGATACCGAACTCCTTTGCGAGGTTCACGAGGTCCGCTTGCCGGCGCAGGCCAATCTTTGGGCCAGCCCAGCGGCCAGTGATGAAGTTTTTGCGTGGGAGGAAGGGGTTTGGCGGGTATTTCTGCAGGGTGCTAGGCGTCGATGTCGGGGTCGGTGTAGGGGGAACTGCTTCTTCAGTTGTCTCTGCCGTGGGTAATTCGGACTGTGAAGAAGATGCTGGTGCTGACACTGATATGGGCTGTGCAAGGATGCTCGCGACGAGGCGCGAAGGTGGTGAAAAAGCAGACACTTGGTTTTGCAGCTCGGCGGCTCGTGCGACGGCTGCTTCTTTCGCTTCTCTCCGCGTCAGCGGTATTGTGATGCCTGTGAATTTTGCAGAGTAGAGCTGGGGAGGATAACGAGCGAAGAAGTTCTTCAGCCGGAGCGGCAGAGCATTGAGCTCCGCCATGGCAGAGATATGGGAGACCAACGCCAGGAAGTGGTGACGGAACAGGTTGTGACGAGAAGCCTTCGTTGTCTGTGTCTAGTAGGAGGCAACAGTGCAGTGCTGCTTAGACCTGGTCGATGGTATCTCGGCAGTGAAAGGCGTCTATCGGTGACTGTGAGCCTTCAATCCTTCACCACATAGAAAAAGCTGCTGGAGCGCGGATTTCAGGACAATGCTCCGCAGGCTTGGCGAACGGGAAGGACTTTCTGCTGCTTCAGCCTCTCGCCGTTTTTCCCACTCCACATGATTCTTCAGCCCTCTTGCCCCGTATCTCTCTCACATGCAGCGGAATACTGTCTACTGTATTCTTGTCACTAATAGATATTCCCGGAATCACTCCTGACTCGCTCGACTTTGCCTATAGCCGTCCGGAACGTCCCTCTTCGCGCGACTTGGCCCAGTCCAGATGGACGCATACGGTGGAAATGACGAAGAGAGCGCTGAGTTGCGGAAGCTCTTGGCCGAGGTGGTACGTGATACCCATAGAACGGCGACCCGCGCCTTGACTAACATATGGCGCTCGCAGAACGATGACTCGGACAACTTCGAGATCTGGGAGAAGCTCGTCCGCGCGGCGGAGGCCCTCGAAGGCGGAATCAACAGGAACTCGAGTTCGCAGGCAATCACGGCCGTCCGGAACGTCTACGACCGCTTTCTGTTGAAGTTCCCTCTTTTCTTTGGCTACTGGAAAAAGTATGCCGACCTGGAGTTTTCGATAGCGGGAACCGAGGCCGCCGACATGGTCAGAAAAGTCCAGTGCAAACAAGAGAGGCTCGCATGCTAAAAGTTGGACAGGTCTACGAACGCGGGATTGCCAGCATCACCAACTCGGTGGATCTGTGGACAAACTACTGCTCATTCAAGACCGAGACAAGTCACGACTCCGATGGCATTCGAGAGTAAGTATGAAATACATGTTCCCTCTTGTCGAGAACCTAAACATAGCATGACACAACATCATCGGCAGAAGGAGCTGGCGATGAAATCGATGATGATGGCCACCGCAGCTTTGGTGAGCTCATCGTCGCTGTCCCTCCCCTTCCGAGCTTGCTTCTCACTCATCACCAGTCAGGTGCTTTGATTTGATTTGCCCGAGAATTGGGCCTTTGCCCGTCCACCCTTTCTGCAGGACCATTTCAACTTGTTACAAGAGCAATTGAAGGACTATTATCACGCGTACATTCCCCATCCTCCCATATCTGCTTTCTTCTTCCTCTTCTCTGGACCCCTTCGCGAAGGTGCCCCACAACAAAGCTAACCAGTTGATGATCAGGCTCTTTGAGAGAGGAGCAGTTTGTGTCGGCCTCGATTTCCTCGCCCATCCCTTCTGGGATAAGTACATTGAGTTCGAAGAGCGCATGGAAGGATTCGACCGGATCTTCACCATCCTCGGCAGAATCATCCACATACCCATGCATCAATATGCGAGATACTTCGAGAAGTACCGGCAGATGGCACAATCGCGCCCACTTTCTGCCATCGCCCCGCCCGGCACGCTCACTCAGCTGCAGATGGACATCGAGAACGAAGGTGCCGGTTACAAAGCCGGCCGAAGCCAGGCAGAAGTGGAGCGAGATTTACGGGCCCGGATCGACAATTATCACCTGGAGATCTTCAGGCGAACACAGACCGAAACTACGAAACGATGGACCTACGAATCCGAGATCAAGCGACCATACTTCCACGTGACCGACCTTGACGAAGCACAAGTGGCCAATTGGCGCAAATATCTCGACTTTGAAGAGTCAGAAGGTGACTACACTCGCACTCAGTTCTTATATGAACGCTGCTTGGTTACTTGTGCCCAGCATGATGAATTCTGGTTAAGATACGCCCGGTGGATGCTGGCCCAGCAGGGCAAGGAAGAGGAAGTTCGAAACATCTATCAAAGGGCATCTTGTTTCTATGTCCCGATTGCTTTACCAACTACCAGACTTCAGTACGCATATTTCGAAGAAATGAGCGGTCGGGTCGATGTGGCAAAGGACATACACGATGCCATCCTCTTCCAGCTGCCCGGGCATGTCGAGACAATCGTCTCCTTGGCGAATATCAATCGTCGCCATTCGGGCTTGGAGGCCGCTGTCGCCGTGTACCAAAGTCATCTCGAGTCTCCGAGCGTTGACTCTGCGGCCAAAGCTGCTCTGGTGGCAGAATGGGCGAAGCTCCTTTGGAAGGTTAAGGGCTCTCCGGAAGAAGCTCGCCAAGTTTTCCAGAAGAACCAACATTGGTACCTCGAGAGCGCTGCTTTCTGGACCAGCTACCTGCGGTTCGAAATTGATCAACCCACAAGTAGTGAGACGGAACAACAGCACTACGAGCAGATTCGGCGCGTCGTGGAGGAGATCCTTAGCAAGAGCGTTCTACCAGAACCTACCGTCCAAGAGCTCATCACCACGTACATGAGGTACCTGCTTGAGAGGGGTACCAAGGATGCAGCCAAAGAATACATGAATCTCGACCGCGAGATCAATGGACCAACCTCGGTCCAGAAGCTACCCAAGGCGAACCCCGAGCCGAGCAAGACACTTGGGGTTGTTAATGGACAGGTGTGTGGTCCACCAACGATTGGCAGCGGACCTCAGACTGACTGACCTGCTCAGCAGCCACTACCGATCCGATACCCCTGAATATTCCACGGCGGGCGAGTTCCACGCTGCGACAGTCTGGCTACGAAGAAACGGCTCACTGAATCTCCCATCAACACGGTTACCAGAGGCGGGCAAAATGGAAAGTGCATGGCCATTCCGAATGTCTTTTTGCTCGGCTCGGCGGAGGGTTACTGCATTGGAACGGCTGAATTGATATCCCCTTGATTGTGAGGAGAGATCTCCCTGTACACAGATTCAATGTTGATATTTCCACTGAATGCAGCCTGTCATCCTCCCCTTGACTTCGCTCCCCTCGTTATCACGGTCACTCCATGGTGACCACTTTATCGTCATTTCGCAGTCTTCCCGCAATAACTACACAGGTCCGTGCTCTGTATCTTTGCTTCAGCGTCAGACGGTCATCTAGTCGTCATCTTGTCTTGTCAAGGAGAAAGGTGAAGCATTTGAGTTCGCCGCGCTCTAATTTACTGAACACGAGACCTGGCCTGAGCGTCAGACAAGTGATATTGGTTGCTTTATCCAGAGCCGCCTGCCAGTATTCTCGCTGAAGCCAACTGACGAAAGGCTCGTATCCGTCAAGATTTTTGTGGAACAGTTCTTCTTCCTTCATCCCAAGACCTCACAAACGTTTCGAACCAAACTATTGCAAACCTTGCAGAGAACGCATCCGCACGCTCGCCCAGTTCAAACTTCATCTGTGTTATTGTCCGCCCGAAGGTCACCAAGACCACATTTCTATGGGCACCAAATCACATCTTGGATGTACTTTGGGACTCCCTTTGCCTAAACCAACCCTGTCTTCAACCTGGCCCTGATCGGTGTGTTGGAGGCGAGAGGATCTCATGTGGAAATGACTCATCTGCTGGACCACCGGGTATAAATGTCAGCAACAGAATCTCAAGCGTGTCGAAAACCATCACCGGCTGGTGGGATTTGAACCGAACAACGCCCGCTGTCTGAAGGATGATGGACTTACAGGGGACACCAATTTTGTTCACCAGTATACTGACTTCAGTCACGCGCATTTTCCTAGCTCTGGGAAATACAAAAAACTTTCAGCCTCCGATATTTAGTAGCTTCATCATTGCCCATCGCTCAAAGTGCTCTAAAAGTCTTCCTTGGCTGGTGGGATTTGAACCAGAGACAGAAAGAAAGGCACATGGATGGCGAACAAGGAGCAAGCTGTGCCGAGAGTCGAACGGGGTGACTTGTGGAAGAAGGGAGGGAAGAGGACAAACGCAAACAGCGAGAGGACTTGAGGTCAACGACAGATTGAATCTGGGCAAGCACAGTCCTATGCAATGTTCATTCGGAGCAAGAACTGACAACGATGTTCAGATTCTTCAGCACATCGAGGAACTTGTTGTGATATATGCTCGGCAGGTACGTGGAGCTCAGTCTTCGAAATGCATCGCAGGTTCGTGATTGTCCTATTCAAGACGGAAGAAGTACCTCGAAAATACTTCAACAACAGGATATAGGCCCCTTCACAGCGCAACTGCAGAGTCAAGACATGATGGTTCCTCCCCTAGCCCTGGCTGCTTGAGCACACGGCTGAGCTTCGCATAACAGGCAATCCCCCATATTGACAGGGGCAGCGCGCAAGAACGCATAGAATGACCAAGTGACACCCAACCCCTATTTCACACCTGCTCGTATCACAAGCCCGCAACAACCTCTCGGGGATGGAACCTGGAAGGATTACTCAAACAGGGAAGCAGCCGATCCAGATGCCACGGGGGCCAGATTGTCTCAGCAAGCGACGAGGCGGGATGACGGTGAGGGTGAACATACATCTCACTCGACACTAGGGGAGGCTGACGAACCTCCGTATTTTTGGACTCAGCCACTGGTGGAGCGATTCCGAGGCTGTTCAAGAGGAGCTACCTCGCATGCGCTCGCCTGGGAGGGTAACCTGTTTTGTCCATTGTCCAGATCAGCTCGGAGAATTAGAGCTAGGCTCCTGCAGAATTGGGCACTTATACGCAGGACTTGGGCAGGGAGAACAGGCCAGATGGCAAAAGGCTGGCTGATACGAAGACTCAGCATCTGCTGATTGATGTCTCCTCCCTGCGAAGTTCCTGGGGACATATGACGAGAAAATGCCGCACGGCAGTGGCACAAACAAGGGGGATCGGGGCTATAAGTGAAGGAAGTGTTTCACCACCAAAGGACCGATATGTGGACATTTGTAGATGTGTTGTAGCTATTGCGGAGTTGATGCGGGTTTATTGAAAAGCTTAGAGCCGGCGGAGAGGCACTTGGGAGCTGCCAGCACTGCCCACTGCCCACTGGTACCTACAATGCAGCACCTACAGACCCCGCTTAAGCGCTGCTCGGGTGCTTGTTGCGCGTTGCTGGTAGCAATTGTCCCTGCCAAGCGAATGTCTAGGCGGTTGCTGTGCCAGTGATTGTGGCCTGTGGGCTTCCCAGTGGGCGGTGGGCACTCCCTGAACACCCCCAGCCGCCACCCGGGGGGGTCATGGCCACTACTGCCACTCGTACTCGCCAGCTGCTGCCAGTTGGATCGGGCTTACTGGGCAGTGGGCATGGGGAGTGGGCACTGGGCTGAGTGCCACCAAGTGGAGGCCAAAATGGTCTCGTCAACTGCAAAACTGGGGGCCAGGAAAAGGACCCTGCGGGTTGCGTCTTCGTCCTGGGCCACATGCGGCTGGCAACACAGCTGAGTTGGGTTTAGCTGGGTGCTGCTGGCAACGCTGGTCGTCCTGGTGTTGCGCCTCTGATGCGCGTCCCGTGTCCGTGCCCGAGACTTGCATGCACGCACCGTTTTGTGCAGTCGAGCTTTGAATTTCAGCCCTGACCTGGGATACCGCTGGTTGTCAGCAACGAGACGCAACTTGGCTCTTTTGTTTCTCACGGTGCTACAACTACTTGACTGATTCCCTGCCAGCTGATCCCTCTCTCTCACTCACTCACTCTCACTCCTATCTTGCTCATTCACATTCCAAACCCAGAGGCCTCCCATCGTTGCAAGCAACGCCTGCTTTGACCGCCCCTCCTTTATTGTCCGCTACAAGCCCATCCTTTCCTTTGTCTGTTGACTGGACCACAACCCTATAACAAGGCTGGCAGCGCTTTGTGACATTCTCTTCTGTGCTCACCTCGAGTGAAATCAATCCCTTCAGACACACACTGTAACACTCTTCAAGATGTGGTTTGTATATCCCCCCCAGCCGTTCAGGCAATCCCAAGCATGTGCTGACAGGGTATAAGTGGCATCTTTGGCTACATCAACTATCTGGTCGAGAAGGACCGCAGATTCATTCTTGACACCTTGCTCAATGGTAAGTTGTGCCTCGTATATCCGAAGCAAACGCTCATCTAACACGGAACCCTTCAGGCCTGGCCCGTCTTGAGTATCGAGGCTACGACTCCGCCGGTCTCGCCGTCGACGGCGACAAGAAAAATGAGGTCTTTGCGTTCAAAGAGGTGGGAAAGGTGGCCAAGCTCCGAGAGATGGTGGACAAGTCTGGCGTCGATATGACAAAGGTCTTCGACTCTCACTGCGGTATTGCTCACACCCGATGGGCTACCCATGGCCAGCCTTCCAGACTCAACTGCCATCCTCACAGGTCAGTGCAGAAACATTTTCACACGAGAGCGAGCCCTCTCTGACCGGTGACAGATCTGATCCCAAGTGGGAGTTTGCTGTTGTCCACAATGGCATCATCACAAACTACAAAGAGTTGAAGGCCTTGCTCGAGGGCAAGGGCTTCAAGTTTGAGACCGACACCGACACCGAGTGCATTGCGAAGCTTGCCAAATACCTCTACGACCAGCACCCCGACATTGACTTTACCACCCTCGGAAAGGCCATCATCAAGGAGCTCCAGGGCGCCTTTGGTCTGCTCATGAAATCCGTGCACTACCCCCACGAATGCATTGCGGCCCGAAAGGGCTCGCCTTTGGTGGTGGGTGTCAAGACGGCCAAGAAGATGAAGGTGGACTTTGTGGACGTCGAATACTCGGAAGACGGTGGTGCTTTGTCCGCTGAGATTGCAAACCACAATGTTGCAGTCAAGAAGTCTGCAGCTGGTCTCTTGTCCCCTAATGGACTGCTGGCGCCCCCTGACAAGTCTCTGCTCCACCGATCACAATCACGAGCATTCTTGTCGGACGATGGTATGCCTCAACCCGCCGAGTTCTTCCTCTCGTCCGATGCCTCAGCCCTGGTGGAGCACACCAAGAAAGTTCTCTATCTTGAAGACGACGACATTGCTCACATCCACGACGGTCAGCTGAACATCCACAGACTGACCAAGGATGACGGTACCAGCAATGTCCGTGCTATCCAGACCATCGAACTTGAACTTCAGGAGATCATGAAGGGCAAATTCGACCACTTCATGCAAAAGGAAATCTTCGAGCAGCCCGAGTCAGTCGTCAACACCATGCGTGGTCGTTTGGATGTTGCAAACAAGACTGTCACCTTGGGAGGTTTGAGACAATATATGAGCACCATCCGAAGATGCAGGAGACTCATCTTCATTGCTTGCGGCACTAGTTACCATTCCTGCATGGCGGTCCGAGGTGCTTTTGAGGAGCTCACCGAGATCCCCATTTCGGTCGAATTGGCCTCGGACTTTCTCGACAGACAAGCCCCTGTCTTCCGGGACGACACGTGCGTGTTTGTGTCACAGTCCGGCGAGACGGCAGATTCGTTGATGGCTCTTCGATACTGCTTGGAGCGTGGTGCACTCACCGTGGGTATTGTCAACGTGGTCGGCTCGTCCATTTCCATGCTCACCCACTGTGGTGTCCACATCAACGCCGGACCTGAAATTGGTGTCGCCTCGACGAAGGCTTACACTTCTCAGTTTGTGGCCATGATTATGTTTGCTTTGTCTCTCAGCGAGGATCGCGCTTCCAAGGCACAGCGCCGCCATGAAATCATCGACGGTCTGGCCAAGGTAAGCGATCAATTCCGGGAAATCCTCAAACTCAACGACTCGATCAAGGAAATGTGCGCCAAATTCCTCCAGAACCAAAAGTCCCTGTTGCTGCTTGGCCGAGGCAGCCAATATTCGACAGCCTTGGAAGGTGCCCTGAAAATCAAGGAGATTTCATACCTTCACTGCGAAGCCGTCATGTCTGGAGAGCTTAAACATGGAGTTCTGGCCCTTGTCGATGAGAACCTGCCCATCATTATGATCCTCACCAGAGACGACATCTTCCCCAAGTCCCTGAACGCATATCAACAAGGTAAGGACTACCCTGATCTCATCCGCGGTCATGGCTAACAATATGACAGTGATTGCTCGTGGCGGACGACCCATTGTCATCTGCAACAAGGACGACCCGGAGTTCCCTCCTTCTAAGACCGAGCGCATCGAGGTGCCAAAGACGGTCGACTGCTTGCAAGGCTTGTTGAACGTCATTCCACTGCAACTGATTGCCTACTGGCTTGCGGTTGCTGAGGGATTGAACGTGGATTTCCCCCGTAACCTGGCCAAGTCTGTCACTGTTGAGTAAGCTTGGTTGCGGAAAGTGCCTCCAGGATCTGCGTATTATGCTTGTTTGCGCTATGAGGGATCATCTCACGAAATGATCTGGAAATGCAGCCACAGGGAGAAAGGTTGCTTGTAGGAAGTAAATGAGACACCGGTAGAGAGTACTTCATGGAGTTTCCAGAACAAGACATTTCATTGCTTACTCGTCTGCTCTCGTTCATAAATGCCCATTCATATGGCACATTACAAGCGTAGGAGCTTTGCTCGTCCTATAAAGGGTGAAAGGCTGCCATCGTAAGGCTGAGTTGGAGAAACTTGGAGAAGTTAGTTGACGACCTCGACATCTGTGTTTGCAACTGACGGATCCCAATGTGTGCTTCAAAGTGTCTTTGATACCTCCTCAAGCTCCTCACATGGAAAGCAATGTCAATAGATGAGTCAATAGCGGCCAAGGCCGTCCTTCAAACGGATAAGAATGCAGAGACTGTCGGTCGCACACAAAATTCATCTCCTCCGACGGCGCGACGATCGTTCCCTGTCGCACCTCACAACGTCTTCCTATTCCTGGTCGGATTACGCTTGGTCAATGCTTTGACGACAAGGACCTTCTTCCAGCCAGATGAGTACTTCCAGGCCCTGGAGCCAGCATGGCAGTGGGCGTTTGGAGCAGGAGGAGGAGCGTGGATAACATGGGTGCGATAAATAGCAAAATGGCACACGCGCAGTGAAGGAAAGCTCATGACGGACAACAGGAGTGGAAGAATCATCTGCGATCGGCAATACATCCTGCAATCTTCGGACTGTGCTACCAGCTGGCCGACTTCGTTGCTGACCACCTGATGTTGCAAAGCCCTGTGCGCTCGGAGGTCCTTCTTGCTGCTCCCAAGACCTTACAGGCCTTCTTCGCTGCGACGGCGGATTTCTACACCTGGAGACTCTCATCAGACATCTACGGAGAAGACTCGACAGCAGCCCTAGCGTCGCTCTTCTTGACGGTTGTGAGTCCGTGGCAATGGTTTTGTTCGACGCGGACGTTCTCGAACTCGTTGGAGACGACCTTGACGGTTATTGCGCTGTACAATTGGCCATGGCATTGGACGCTGCCACGCGGTAGAAATCGCGACACGGCTGGTGCCCACCTCGACAACCAAAGAATCCGCACTCGCGATGACATCGCAGCCGACGAGGGCTCGACAGACGAGGTCACCCGAGTGAGGAGAGCGCTGCTCTGCGCTGCAGTGGCGACCATCCTCCGGCCCACGAATATTCTGATCTGGATGATCCTGACGCTTCTCACCTTCATTCGAGACTGGAACTCAATAGGCCTCAACTGGGCCGAGTGTGTTCTGTTCGTCCGCGAAACGGTCCTCTGCGGGAGCATCATTCTAGCCTCTTCAGCAATAGTTGATCGGATTTTCTACGACGCTTGGGTCTTCCCACCCCTGAACTTCCTCCAGGTCAATGTTGTCCAGTCATTGGCAACATTTTACGGCAATAATGATTGGCATTATTACATCTCCCAAGGCTATCCTCTGCTCCTTATGACGGCGCTACCATTTACATTGATCGGACTATATCGAGCGTTGGGCTCAAAGGATGCAAATTTTGCCCCGACACCTGCGGCCGGCCGCGATGCCCTTCACTCTCTATCCATCATATGTCTCCTCGTCCCAACGGCCTTCTCAGTCATCGCACATAAGGAGGTTCGCTTCATCTATCCTTTATTACCAGCTTTGCATACTGTAACCGCTTTACCCTTGGCGTCCTTCTTTCACCCGTTGATAACTCCTTCTCCGTCGTTGCACCTTGCAAAACGACTCTTACTCCTCCTCATTCTGTCGCTGAATCTCACCATATCATACTACACCACACAAGTCCACAACTCCGGCATTGTTGACCTGACCCATTATCTTCGTCACGAGTTCGAAACAGTCTATCTGTCTCCTCCCTCGAACATGACGGTCGGCATGCTCATGCCATGCCACTCCACGCCCTGGCGTTCTCATTTACAATACCCTCCGTCCTCGACGCATCCGGGAATCCGAGCTTGGGCATTGACATGTGAGCCGCCACTCAACCTCAACGCGAGCGATAAATCCAGCTATCTGGACGAGGCAGACCAATTCTACGCCAACCCATCGATTTGGGTCAAAAAACATATGTCACGCCATCCTCCACCAGGCAAGGGTAACATTCGACCAACTGGGTCGGTGGCAGGAATCCTCGCCGCCCCCAATGTAAACGGCAAAATCGAGACCATCCCTTCCGATATCCTTGAAGGCGAGAGGGCGGAGCAATTCTGGCTCACGGGCGGCCAAGGTCGAAAGCCATGGCCCGACTACCTTGTCTTCTTCGCCCAGCTCGAACCCAGTTTACAAGCGATTCTGAGGGGGAGCGGGTACGGCGAGTGTAAGCGGCTGTTCAATTCTCACTGGCACGACGATTGGAGGAGGCAAGGCGATGTGGTTGTGTGGTGTCTCGACGCCGACAAGCAGCAGGAACAGAAGACAGCATCAGGCAACGGAAGCGGGGGAACAGGGATCGGGATGGAAGAGGTCGAAGACGCGATCCACAATCCATCCGCTCTGGAAGATGGCGGTACGGGGCAGAAGGTGCTCGGCGGGGGTGCTTCGAAGGGTCAAAAGCCGCGGGAGAACGGAGAGTTTGCTGACCGAAAACCGAAGGAGCCCCTGAGGAGAGTGGTTGAGAAACCCTTCTGGAAAGTCAGGGAGCCGCGAGACTGATTCACCCGCAGTCGTTTGTCTTTATCCTCAATCCAGACCCGAGCCTCGCTCAGCTGAGCCCTAAGCGAGAGCCACATCATAATGGAGAAATGAGCCCAGAATTCCCTTCTGGTTCCGCTCCAGAATACCTGTCTTTGTGGGACGTCCACTGTATGCGCAAGTTCCCCCAATATCTCCCACTGGTTTTGTTTGGGAGGGACAAGGCGCAGAAGGAAAATGCGAGCTCAGATTATATACCTCCAAATATACTATATATACCCCTTCTTTATCTGTTCCTATAGAAGATCTAGGACGACAAGATGACCGTGCTGAGCTGCAAACTCAGCCCCCCCTCACTGTCGCCGACGAAAGATCGCGGTATGAGTATAGAGAGCTATCACGCCTACGCACCGAATGCTAATAGAGTTATTTAGAATCACAAAACTAGGAATCTCAACGTTCGTATTTGGTTTACCATATGTCGCATCTGCCGAATCATTCCAAGCAGGACGGGTTCCAGGAGTGGTCTCTTCTTGGTGTGCAGCTCTCGGGATCCTAGTGCTCTATGTGTGTCTGAGTTGCGTCGACGAGGACCTAGGAAATTCGATCGCCTATGTCCCTACGGTCCCATTGACCGGGGTAAGGGCCTTGCCGGTCTGGAAAAAAGCCGTGATGTTGTCCATTGCCAATTTTTCGAACGCGATGCCGGACTCGACAGTTGTGCCGCCGATGTGGGGAGTCAGAGTGACATTGCCCATCTTGATCAACTCTGGATGTACCTCCGGCTCTTGTTCCTGCACGTCGAGACCTGCGGCAGCAAGGTGGCCTGATTTGAGAGCCGCCACGAGCGCGGCCTCGTCGTGGAGAGAGCCCCGCGCGACGTTGACGAAGCGGCTGCCCTTTTTGAATCTCGAAAACATGGTCGCGTCGAAGAGCTTGTGGCCTTCAAAGGGCACGCAACATACCACACAGTCCGAAGTCTGCACTAGGCCTTCCAGGGTGTCGATGTAGGTTGCTTGGACAGCAGTCTCATCTTCTTGGGTCCTTCTTCTAACATCATGATACTGGATGTTCATGTCAAGCCCGTGATGGGCCTTTTTGGCGAGCAGGTACCCAATTCGCCCCAGGCCAATGATGCCCAAGGTTTTCCCCTCGGGATTTTGAGCCTTTGCGGAAACGGCCCGGGCTCTCTGCCATGCCTCTGTGCTGCCAGATCGAGCGGCGAGCTGCGCCTCCGTCAGGTGTCGAAAGACGGAGAGGACGAGGTACAGGGCCAGGTCCGCCACCGCTTCAGCCGGCGCCGACGCGCCGTTACAGTACAAGAAGCCTGGACTTCGTGTCAACGCCGCGAATCCCGCCAGCAGCAGCCCGGGACCCCAAGACTCGGGACAAACCTCGCTCAGTGTAAGCCGGGATATCCATCCAGTCGTAGCCTGCGCCGCAGCTGGAATGGATCTGGAGGCTGCTCGGCAGCAGCGGAACCAGCTCCGAGTCGAACGGCTCCATCTCGTCGCCCTCGTACCAGAAACACCGGAGGATGGCGTCGAACTCGCCCCATTTGCGCGTCCGCAGGCCCTCGAGAAACGCGGACCTCTCGCGTTCCCTCTTGGTCGTCGAAATCACGTCAAAGGTGTCGTAGAACTGTGCAACGGTTTCGGCATTGTGCACGGGGACATGTCCTAAGGAAAGGACTCTCTTTTTGGCCGCCATTTGAACAGGGTATGGTTCCCACGCAAAGACATTGGTGTTTCCCCGCTTGAAGGGTGCTTCAACTATGCAAAGGTAAGTGCCCGTCAACTTATACATCGCCGAAGCCCTCCTACGGAAGCCTCCGCCAGTGGGCTGTCGTCGGATTTCGTGTCTCGAATGAAACGCATGCCGAGCCCCAACCTCCTGGCCCGTCTCGTAGGTTGTGGGAAATATTCAACTGTCCGTTGTCCTGCTACAAGGAGCTTAGCGAGCCAGCTACCTGGGTGTTTGCTTTCCGCAAGTCCAAAAAGGCCGGCCGTGTCATCGTTGCTACTATAGAGTGGTAGGGGACAGTTCCGAAGCTGGCGCGGCGGATGTCCTAACCACCGACGGAAAAATCCTCATGGGAATCCCTGAGCATCAGCATCAAACCGCTCTTGTCAAAGGAGTGTAAGAGCCTCTTGATCTACGCCCGGGATTCGGCTGCCTCGACTGATTCACCCCATGAAGCTGAATGATTCTGTCCGGCGACCATGCTGACAAGGGCATATCTGGTTCCGAGCCACCGCCACTACGAGGTACAGTATTAGTGCCACATCTCCGAGCATATTAGCGTCATAGCTTTCGGCCAATCAGGGGCTTTGCCATACCTGGGTGAACATCAAGAGGCTCCACTATGTTAATGTCCACCCTCATAAGCACGTTATCATTGCTATTTTGCTCCCTCGATTTGATGAAGTTCCGAATCAGGGTCAGCGGGAAGGGAACTGCTCCGGAGCTGTTGGTGCTGATCGGGACTTTCGGAAGCTGGCCGCACGTCGCCCTCAAAGCGGCGGCTATTCGACAGAGCCTTCCCATGTGTGCTGCAAGGACGTATTGCGTATTTCAGACTCCTACAGCACACTTCAATGCTGCATATTAAACAAAATGGCTAGGTCTGCGGGCTCGAGGCGTAGTGCGTTTACCGTTCTCTCTTCTTCGCCAGGTAAGGAGACCTGCTCTCACTAAGCATACCCTTACCAGTGCGTTTCTGTACAAAAGGCACCCTACAAGTCAAGCACCTTTGACCAGCACGGAATTATGAGCGGCCAGATCGACCTCGCTGAGTATCTGTTTCGACGACTCTATCAACTGGGAGTCAGGAGCGTCCATGGAGTTCCGGGCGACTACAACCTGACGGCGCTGGACTACGTCTCAATCGCCGGACTCAACTGGGTTGGCAACGCCAGCGAGCTCGGCGCTGGGTATGCAGCAGACGGGTATGCCAAAATCAAGGGATTGTCGGCCGTGATAACCGCCTCGGGGGTGGGCGAGCTCTCGATCATCAACGCAATCGCAGGGGCCTACGCCGAAATGGTGCCCGTGGTGCACATCGTCGGAACGCCGCCTCTCCCCGCCCAGGACGCCCGTCTGGTCATGCACCACACGTTGGGGGACGGCGACTTTCGGGTGTTTGCCGACATGGCCGCCAGAATCACCTGTGCGCAGGCCAGCCTTCGAGATCCGGGCGTGGCGGTGGCGGTGATCGACGAAACGATCCGGCAATGTCTTCTCCAAAGTCGGCCTGTCTACATCGAACTACCTACCACGATGGTCCGTCTGAAGGTGTCGGCCGCGGAGCTTGATAGGCCGATCGATCTCCTGATTCCGGAGAATGACACACGCCTCGAGGAACGGAAAGCCAGCTTGATCCTGGAAAAGATGTACGCCGCGAAGCAGCCGTTTATTGTCGTCGACGGACTAGCTTCGCGTTTCGGCTTCGGCGACGAGGTCGGAGAGCTGGTTCGGGCCACCGGCATCGCCACGGCAGCCACGCCCTTTGGGAAGGGCATAATCAACGAGCACCTCCCCAATTTCCATGGAGTATATGCCGCAAACGCCGGGGATCCAGCTTTTGAGTCCTGGGTCAATAAGTGCGATTTGGTGCTGTACTTCGGACCTCTGATGTCGGACTTCAATACCTACGGGTTCGTTACCATTCCCGAACGCAAGCGGACTATAGCCTTCCATCGTAACGTTGTCGAAATCGGAGAGGAAAGACTTAAAGGCGTACGGGTAAAGTCGTTGCTGAGAAAAGTCCTCGACTTGATGGACCGGACGAAGTTGCACATTGACATTCCAATGGAACTGCCCGATCCCGTGCTCCAGTTGAAAAGCCTTCCCTCTGCGGCCCCGGACGGACACATCGACCAACACACGTTTTGGAGACGAATATCGTCCTTCCTCCGCACGGGCGATGTTATTTTGGTAGAAAGCGGCACACCATCACTCGGGGGCTCCGAAATGGTCCTCCCACCAAACACCACGTTCATTACCGGCGCGATCTGGTTGTCCATCGGCTACATGCTGGGGGCGGCGCAGGGAGTATCTCTCGCACTGCGAGACGCGTCAAACGACGGCCTGCGCCCTGCCGCCCGAACCATTGTGTTTGAAGGCGACGGCAGTTTTCAGATGACCGTCCAGTCGATCAGCGACATCGTCCGGAACCGCCTCGACGTGACCATCTTCGTCATCAACAACGACGGATACGTCATTGAAAGGCTGGTGCACGGCATGACGGCCGAATACAACGACGTCCAACCGTGGAGATATCTCGAGGTATTCAGTTTCTTCGGCGCCCCCCGAGACGATCCCGCGTACCCTGTTGTGACGAGGAGAGCGGAGAACTGGGGTCAATTGAACGATGCGTTGGCAGAGGACCCCGTGCGGCGAGGGAAAGGCTTGATCATGATCGAGGTTGTCATGGGGCGAGAAGACGTACCTGCATCCTTGAGGAGGCTGGTCGACGGCGCCAAAAAACGAAATGCAGGCCCGTGAGGTCGATGGGCGTGACGTGTCACATGAACCTGACTCAAACACAGGCATCTAAAGCTGGATTCGCCTGAGTCCCTGGTCCGCTGTGGACCCTGGCCATGAGATGGTTACTAGGAACAGCTTAGCAGGAAGAACCTAGAGTCTGAATTGTTCTGTGAAGGAGCAGAATGTATCTTGTAAAAGGGGGGTCGAGAAAATGTGTAAGATTGAGAGAATACAGGTGCAATATCGAACTATATACTGGGCATCATTGAGAGGGATTCTTGCCGTATACCACTGTTGACCGCAAGGGAGCCTCCAATGAGACTGCAATTACCCATTCTTTCCCTAGCGTTGCGGAATAATCACCAAAACGCCATCACCCTTGCCTCTACACTTACTCTCGGCTCCTCATTCTGCGTGCCGTGAACGACAGGGGAGCAGTGCACACACGAGGCGGCGATCTTCGGATCCTGCTCCGTGGCGGTGTCGGCGAACTTGAGGATCAAGACGTCGTCGGGGTCCTGGTTCGGCTTGCAGTACCACTTCTGCCCGGTGCCCTTTGCGCCCGGGGTCTGGGTCATCTGCTCCAGCATGTACTCGCCGGCCGCGAGGACGTTGCTGGTCGCGCGGTACTCGATGGCCTGCAAGGTGCCGGGGTCCACGGTGCGCCAGTCCGCCACGGCCAGGGGGTCACGCTTGACGGTCTTCAGCGGCCGCCAGACCGAGTAGGCTGCGTAGCGCCGGGGCGCGGCTCCCTGGTCCTCGGCGTCGAGCGCTTCTTGCGCCGCCACCGTGATGTCCTTGCGGCAGTACCGGGCGGTCCGCTTCAGGCCCCTCATGGTGTAGTCGCAGTGTGCGAAGCGGGCGGGCTCGAGGCCGGCATCTGAGCGGCCGTTGACTGCGCGGACATGGTTTTAGATTCTTTTTCTGGCAAAAAAAAAAGGAAGAAAGAAAAAAGCAAAGACCGGGTATCAACCTACCCCACGGAGCATTCTTCTCGGTCAACTTCTTCACAGCCTCGTCGTGCTGGTCGCCTGCCTTGCGGTAGAAGGTCGGGTCGTTGTTGTTGGCCGACAGCCGCTTGCGAATGCCCAGGTGGTTGACGATCACCTTCTTCGCCCCGGTCACCTGCCTGACCAGCTCCTCGACCTCGGGGACGTATTTCTCCTCGACGTTGTTGCCCTCCAGCCAGTCGTGCGTGCCGAGGACAGACTGGTGCTTCACGTAGGTGAACCCCTGCACGTCGAGGCCCTCGGGGCCTTGGACGATCTCCTCCGCGAGCTCGGGATTGTGCAAGTCGACGTCGACGTCTTCGCCGAAGACATGTGCTGGGCCTGAGAAGAGGCCACGGTCTTCAGGCTTGACGGATAGGTCCGGCAGGTTGTAGCGAACGGTGCCGCGAACCGATGACTGTTGCACTAGGCCAGGCATGTGTGTTTTGTCCTTTGAGAGTGTCGTTTAGAGGCAGGCAGGAAAGAGTTTCAAAGGCAAGTTTGCAAGTGTGTAGGTTGAAATCAATGCTGGCGAATAGGACCTTCAAGCTGGCGATATGTACTATTCGTTCACGGTCTTCACAGGTCGTCTTAAACAAATTCCGGGAGAAGGCCTGGCTATGATTTCTTTTACCAGGAATTCGAGAAAAGTCCTCATCATCCTTGCGTTGAAGAGAAGTCCAGGCCGTGTCTACCTCTTGCGCGGTTATGGCGAATTACCGCGGTTACACTGGAGTCGTGAGGATCGGGTACTGAGAGCATAGCCACCGGTGCATTGTTGTCGTAGCGTAACTTAGCATGCGGGGACCCCGCGCGCTATCATGGCAATCAGGAAAAGGTCCCGGGTATCAAGGTCGAGAGGCAACTGTCCCGTCGTGGACTACTGTCATGCGCAGCAGAGACGCCGGTTCCAGTCAAGATGTACGCAACCATATCGGTCACAAGTAAAATCATGCCGTGGGAGATTCCTTAGCACATCTCCTTCCCATGCATAACGTAATTCTACTTTTCAACAGTGTGGTATTGAGTACATGGCTCTAGTTGTGATGCACGCACTAACATGTCCCGGAGAGATCAGTATCCGTGACACAGTATATCGTGGCCATGTTACAAGTCAGGCACCTGGTTACGATGCTAGCCAAGCTCTTCATCACACAGCTAGACGCAAATACTGTAATAGAGTGATGTAAGGTTCATGACTGGCATTTCTATCTACCGTTGCCATTAACCTGGGCCGGGTGCTACCACTAAAAGATTGCCATGATGTTTGGCGGCGAAGCCACAGCTCTCGGATGGTTCAGAGGACTCGATGTGACGAAGAACGTCCATCGGTTGAGTTTCTTGCACAGATCCGCCAGACGCTCCAAGTCAAACATCTCGCCGATGGGCACACCCCAGCCAGCAAGGCAATAGTTATGCATCGACCAGTCGTTGTCGCGGTTGGGCCGGACTTCAAACGAGACCCCATCCCCGGCCACCGCCACGACATGGTTCTCCCACATGAATCGAGCCACCGCCTCACTCTGGATCAGGCCGCTGTGTCTGTGCTTGTGTGCTTGGGTCTGGGTTCGATAATCCTTCTTCTGTTCAAGGGTGAGAGACTCCCAGGTTTTGGTGAAGCCGCAACGCAAAAAGAAGATGTCGCCGTGCTGGAAGGTGATGTTGCACTCTTGGGCGATTTCCTGCACTTGTTCCAGGGTGATGGCATGGCCGACCATCCCGTTAGTCTCGAGGCCTCGCTTCTCCGCGTAGGAAACGTAGTCGATGAAGACACCGCGAGCAGCAATCCCTTCTTGCGCCCAGTGCCCGACGCCAATACGGTCGCTTTTCCCCTGACTGATCTCGTCCGAGGTCGTGCCACCGTACCATCTACGCGTTCCGTCGCCCATGTCGGCGCTATAGTGACGAAAGCCATCCCACTGCGAGGACGCTTGAGGGTTGAAGCGCCAGATGTCGTCCCAGGCAATCCCTTCGTAGTTCGGGATCGGCACGATCTGGTGCTCACATGGAAACCGGTTGAAGCCTGACGTTACTGTAAGACACTATGAATCTCTGTGTGGAATCGTCACTACCCACCTGGGGTTTCAAGTCTGGTCATCTCCCAGTTCAGACATACCTAGACGAAACCTATGTTAGTGGACGCGCACAACCTTCAATCTTCGCTTTCCACGTACTCGCTCCCCCGTTCGCACTTCCTGTTTGACAACCCCCGCCACATGGGCTGGCGTCAGATACCGAAGCATCCCCAGACCTTCATCTCTGCTGCCTGGCTTTGCTGGCCAATACCGCTTCTTATCCTCGAGCTCATCCCACTTGGGGAGGTCAGCGAATGACACCATGGTTTGACGGGTTCTTGTTTTTCCTAGTAGTTGGGAATGCATAACCAACTACAACCTGGACTTGCACGGATGAAACAAGGGTCGTAATATGTACACATTGTACCGTTCGTCTCGTTGATCTACGTCAAAGGTGTAGCCGCGGAAAGCCCCTGTTACTCCAACCTCGACGACCGAGGGGAAACCGGGCGCTGGCAGAAGCAATTGTGGAGAAGGCTCTAAGGAGCATACCAATGAGGTTAGGCACAATCAGGCTGACAGAGTGGGCCAAAGAGGATAGACCAGAATACGGTTGCCGCGGACCAACGAGGGCGTGGCTTCTATAGCCGGATCATAGCCAGTAGAGTAAGCGGCCGGGTATAGACACGGTTTCACCTGGTTTGTCTACGGGGATGGATGGACCCGCCTATTGCCATCCCCAGATCCGGGGCAATCTGGGGGCACTCCGTATTTTGTCTTGGAACTCAAAAGCAACACGAGTCCTTTCCATTCTCCTGGGGGCCATCAACCTGGGCACTTGCTTTCGAGCCTCGTATACAGTCTTGGGGGCTTTTCGCTGCTATGTCTCTCCATCGGAACAGCGACGTCAAGGACGTTTCTCAGCAAGTCGAAGACATCCCCCTTCCCAAGGTCGAAGTCGCCGACACGGACCATGGCTTCACCAAAAAGCAGCAGATGCTCATCCTGCGTCATGTCGACCGGAGACTGGTGCTGACGTGTGGCTTCATATACTGCATCAGTCTCATGGACCGGACGAATCTGGGAATCGCGGTTCTGTCGGGCATGAAAGCGGACCTCAATCTCATCGGCGAGCGGTACAACATCATCACGCTGGTCTTCATGCCCACCTACAGTCTCTTCATGCCTCTGGCCAACGTCATGCTCAAGAAGTTGGGCGCCCGTGCTTTTCTGCCCACCGTCTGTCTCCTGTGGGGCGCTTCGCTGGCCTCGCTCGGATTCATCAAGTCCTGGGGACAGGCGATTCCTCTCAGGCTTCTCATGGGCGCCTTTGAGGCTGGATGCTTCCCTGGCTGCGCTTATTTGCTCAGTTGCTGGTATACCAGATACGAGCTTCAGAAGCGAGTTGCGGTCTTCTACATGGTCGGCATCCTCTCTCAGGCTTTCTCGGGCATTCTGGGCTACGCATTTTCCCAACTGGAGGGGCACGGAGTAGGAGCAAGCTGGTTGGGACGGCTTTCGACCGTCACTGGAGAACACGGACCTGGTCTGGCTGGTTGGCGGTGGATGTAAGTATCGGCCTTTCTTCTGTGCTCGTGATAAGTCTTGGAGGGAAGAGCTTTCGACTCACCATTTCGACATTGATCCTTGACTATTCTGCCGTCTTCTAGGGAGTCAAGTGTAATGGCTGCTGACTGAGTCTAGTTTCATCTTACAGGGTGTGATCACGATGGTGATTGCGTTGATCGCCTATATTACAATCGTCAACTTCCCGGAGAACGCGCACAAAACCTTTGGGCTCAAATTCTTGACCAAAGCCGAGTCGGACTGGATTGTGGCCCGGCTCGAGGCTGACCGTGAGGACGTGCATGCGGAAAAGTTTGTCTCTCCAGCACTTCGCCTTCTGGCTCACGACTAACCGTGGACTGTGTTAGGTTCAACCTCAAGAAGTTCCTCTCGTACGCGAAGGACTTCAAGTCCTGGTGCTTTGCCCTGATCTTCCTGTGCAACAGCAACCTGACCTACTCCCTCGCCTACTTCCTGCCCATCATCCTGCGCGACGGCATGGGCTTCGGGGTCGCGGCGGCGCAGTGCCTGACCGCGCCGCCGCACGTGTTTTCCCTGCTCTTCATGTACGGGTTCGCCTGGGCGGGCGACCGGTACCGGCTGCGGTCCCCCACGATCCTGGTCTGCGGGACGCTGTCCATGGTCGGCCTCGCCCTGCTCGGGTTCGCCGGCAACACCGGGGCGCGCTACTTCGGCGTCTTCCTGACCTGCATCGGGAGCAACTCGACCATCCCGGCCCTGCTGGCGTGGCAGGCCAACAACGTCCGCGGCCAGTGGAAGCGCGCCTTTTCGTCCGCCCTGATGATCAGCGCTGGCGGCGTCGGCGGCATCATGGGCAGTCTCGTGTTCCGGTCGCAGGACGCGCCGGCGTACATCCCCGGTATCATCACCGGCATGGCCTCCGGCGGCGCCATCTTCGGGACCACGGTCGTCCTCATCTTCTACTTCTGGCGGGCGAATCAGAGGGCCGCCCATGGTGAGGAAGTCATTGAAGGGCTGGAGAGGTTCCGCTACACTCTATAGAGATACAAGTCGTAGTCGTCATCAGCATGGGGATCATGAGAATTGAGGGCCCTTACACCTCCCTGCAGATAGCGATCTTGTTTGTGGCCAAGTCCAACAACCACCGCGACGTTGTGCAAGGGTGACTTCCGCGGCCAGGCAAAGAAATTGTATTCGGTGCTTCGACTTCACATGAGAGGAGTACATGGCGTTTCTAGTGTCTCGCTTTAGGAGGTAATAAGGAGCTCGCGCCGAAGTTCTAACCATAACCCGGACGCTACCGGTAAGTATTTGATTATGTGCTCCGTCCTCGACACTTGGATGGGCACGTCGTCAGGCTAGGTTAGGGTGCCCAGGAAGTGCCCGCGTAGAAGTCGTAATTAAAAGTCATGGCATCGACATCAAAGCCGGCTTCCGCATCATAGGTCCAATCCCCCAACGCGCCCTGAGTCGCTGAGCTCGAGGCGTCTCCAAAGATGGAATGCCTAATCTCGTCCAAGTACTGCCCTGACATCAGGCCGTCCCTCGCCATGTCGGCGGCCTCGTAGCCAAACATCGCGGAGGTGTTCGAGGCCGGGAATGCCTCGGCGGGTGGTAGGTCGAAGCCAGGGGTTGCCATGCCACGGGGATGTGGGTGTTGTCTGTTTTTGAGCAGAAGGCCTGGTGAATCCCCCTGCTGGTTGTATCCTTCCGTGGGTGTAGGGCAGGGTCTGGCCTGCATGTTCGCCGGGTGGAGGGTTGTTCGTCGGTCGGGCTGATCGGTGCTCCTTCGCCGACGGGCTGGCGAACGATTGCCGATGCGGTTGGCGACAAAAGGCTCCAGCGCAGGGGCGGGGACACGACCACCGGCTCTCTGAGTAATGGTGGTGAGAAACGATATTGCCGCGTCCGCCGATGCATATATCTCACTCAGAGCTTGGAGCACCTGGAGGTTTTGGGAGAGCCGCCAGGCAACCGCGTCGTGGACGTCGGGATCCTGCGCTCTGATGTCCAGCGCGTGGGAGAGACTGGCCGCCACTAGCGCAGTGACCCCGACCGGGCCCAGAAAGCGGACCTGGTCGCGGCGGAGCATGGTCCGCAACGACTCGGTGAGAATGCGGGCTGTTTTCTTGACCTTCGACCGGGACAAGATCTGGGTGCTTCGGGAATCGGGAGACTTGGAAGGGGTTTGGAGGGCCTGCGCGCGATGGAGGACATTCAGGACCGTCAGGTACGTTATGTTGAGGATCGTCCAGTATACCCCGGAACAGCTGTTTGGGTCACGGGGAGCAGCCAGCGCACCACGTCCCTCCGTGTTCCCACCTTGTGCCTGACACCACTCTTCCAGTTCTCGATCGCAGCGCTCCAACTCCTGGGGATTTTCCACGTTGCACTTGGACACCACCATCATCGTATAGGGGGTGTCTGGGTGGGAACTCAGGACAGTGTACTGGGATGACACCACGCGCCCGATGTGTTTGCAGAGCTCTGCAAGCTGTATACACATGAGGGCCATAGCCGTGTTCTCCTCAACGCTCAGGCGCATGGATGGGGTCTGGAAAGGTTCCGCCACTTCTCGGGGGTCGAAATCCTCCAAGGTCAGCATGGCCACGTCGAAGTCGTCATCGTGAATGCGCATCGGGCGGCGGGTGCCGAGTGTAATCAAGCGATCTCGTATGTACAAGCTCCACCAGAGCCGCCTCCGGAAATGCCGAATGCTTTCTGACCCGAATTTGGTGGTTGGCTCGCGGTGCAAACCCATGTTTCGTGCAACGTCGTAGGCCAGGCCGGTCCAATGCCACGTATGCTTCCGGTCGTCCCATTTCCCATACCAATTGCTCATGAGGAGCAATGACTGTAAGATGGCAGCGTGGTCCTTCTCCACGTCGAACTCGTATAAGAGTCTGACGCGGTTAAAGAAGACTTCGCGGGCTTGCTTGACCGACTCGAAACCAAGTTGTTTGATGGCATCCGACTTGAGTGGGTGTAGTCCGGCAAACATGACGGCTTGGAAGAGTAGGAGGCTTATTTGGAGGTCTTCCCTCTCATGCAAGACCGCCTGGCTGAGAGTGTGGAAGTCTAACATCGGCATGAAGGGGTGAACGCCGTATAAGTAGCCGCGAAGGATTTCTATGCGCGCGCTGCGGTCTGGTATAGTCATCGCTCCTTTTCGGACAAGGAACTCCAGATCTTCCCCCGTGACGCGAGTAGATAACTTGGCAATGAAACCAGGGAGTGATGCCCTCACGGAAGGGCTAGCCACCATCCCGGTTTCTGGCTCCGAGGCAACGACATCACCGTGAGCCTCGATGACCACCCGGTCGATGCTGTCTTCGTCGGCATCGCTCTCCGCAGGCTGCTGGTAACTTCGCGCCTTGTCGAGCTCTTCGTCAAACGTGACCGAGACCGGGACGAGAGCAGGATCGTCGGGGCTCAGGGGCGAGCTTGCCGTGGTGAAATCATTCTCTGCTGCTTCTAGACCCAGGCCACCCAAGCCGTCCCTGATATGAGATGAGGTATTCTCTGCATTTTCGAGGACACTGCTCCGGCGTGCACGCTGAGTCCTGCCCCTCTTCGAGACCGGGACAACACATTCGATGTTGTCCAGCCTGCAGTTTGTACACTGCGAAACCGCCACGGTGACATCGCAGCGAGTTTTCTTGGCCCGACAAGCCTGACAAGCCCGGGACGCGCGACGCCTGACCACCCGCTCTGCCTCAGCTCCCAACAGCGAGCTTGGTCTCTTGTCGCTTGATCGAGGCGGGCCAAGGGCGGTCGTTCGAGCCGGTCCAGTTGCGATGAGGTCGTTATGTAAGCGCATAGTCTCCGGTCGACGGTGATAACCATTCACTCCCTGGGAATGAAGATATGGCAATTCGATGGCTAGTAACCTGAGGAATGGTCTTCTTCCAGAATTCAAGAAAGGGTGAGCAGTTAGCCGGCGGAGCTCCAAAGCGGGTATCATATGCCGCGAGAACCACGGTAACGCGCGCGACCTTGCCCACTTCGCAGCTCCGCTTAATGGAAAGCTCCCTCGCTTCCCACAGGAACTGATCAGCATGCAGCCTCTCCTCCCTTTTGCGGGGAAACACTAAGATTCATGCCGGGGGAACTGAGGGGTCCTGCAGGTCTCTCCAGGTCTGAGGGGAATATGCCAAGGTCGGATACTTGCCAATGCGGGCAGTGACTGGGTGGTTGCTGACGAGACATCGAGTTCCATTGGCTAGTGAAGGCAAGCTGGGCCTACGAGTACTGGCTGGGTGCTCGATACCCCCGGCAACTACCATGCCCAATAACCGCGGTCACCTCCAATCTGTCTTCTGGGAGGACTGAACCGTGGTCCGTGCTGAGGTCGAACAAGATCCCCTGGTTGTCCACTGCTCACAAATAGCTGGGCTATAGCCGAGGAACAAACCATGAACCTCCAACTCGGTACCGTCCATGGTGAAAAGAAAGGTTCCAACTTGGAGGCTGGACGATGTACAGCATTGGCACAGTTCTCGACGCATAACTCGATCGATCTTTGTCGAGTATCACCTGCAGTTGCCATATCCAGGACGCAAAGAGTTTTGATCAATCATGCCTTCCATGAAACAAGAGGTGAACGGCGGCAGTGTCCGTGGCACTCGCCCTGTCCGCATTGCCAACTGTTCTGGAGGTCAGATGGAACCCGGATGGCAGATGCGCAAACAAGCCACTATGGGCCCAGTCGACTTCATCACTGGCGACTGGCTTGCAGAGAACAACATTGCGCAGGAGGCGGCGGCCATGGATAAGGGCACTGGCGAGGGTTTCAAGAAGAATTGCTGGGAGGGATTACAGTTGAGCATGGATGTCATCGCGCAGAAAGGCATTAAAGTGATTGTCAATGGTGGTGGGCTCGGCCCCCAAAACCTAGCGAAGCGGTGCCAGGAGCTGATCAACAAGAACAACTACAATCTGACTGTCGCGTACGTCTCAGGCGACAACATCACTGGCCGAGTGAGGTCTTCACTCAAAGAGCACGGAAAACTACCATCAAGTTTTCAAGACGGGAGTGGAAGAAACCACCGGGACGCGAAATTCACGGCGGATGAAGTGCTTGCGTGTACCGCCTATCTTGGAGCCCGAGCGATTGTCAAGGCGCTTGAAAACAACGCTGATATCATAATCTGCGGCCGTGTGGCTGATGCTGCTCCGATCATGGGAGCGGCCTGGTGGTGGTATGGCTGGGCGGATACGGATTATGATCGTTTGGCTGGAGCATTCCTCGCGGGTCATATCATCGAATGCTCTGCTTACGCCTCAGGCTCTAACTTTTCAGGCTTCAACCGATTTCCGTTGGAAACCTTCATTGATTCTGGATTCCCGATCGCGGAGGTGGAGGAGGATGGAGCTTGCGTGATCACCAAGCACGAAGGCACTGGCGGCATGGTCACCGAAGAAACGATCAAGTGCCAGCTTCTTTACGAGATCCAGGGCAACGTCTATCTCAACAGCGACGTGAAAGCCGTCCTCGACCACTGCCAAATCAAGCAAGTAGGAAAGGACCGTGTTCGACTATCTAACATCAAGGGTTATCCACCTCCTCCGACGACCAAGTTAGCCGTGTTCTTCCAGGGGGGCTACGAGGCGCAGAACTTGGCCAATTTCGCGGGTTATTCCACCCGTCGGAAGCACAAGCTGTACGAGATGCAGATCAGAGCCCGTCTGGACGCAAGGGATTTGACCAAAGAGTTTGACGTGCTGGAGTTCCAGATGATTGGCAGTCCCAGGCCGAACCCCAGGAGGATGTTCGAAAGCACCACCTATTCCCGCATCTTCGCACAGGCCAAACGGCCAGAGCCTCTGTCGGCATTGAAGCTGATCCTGGCTGACGACACACAGCAAAAGCCCTCTGTAAGTTGACGAGGCCGTGACCCAGATGCGTATCGTGAGAAAAAGAGCTCGACTGACTCTTCTGCAGGGACTCCATTGGGCACAGGACATGAGAACCGCCGACCCCAAGACATTCTACGTCTACTATCCATGCATAATGCCACAAGACGAGATTGAAGAAGCCG